TTCTCGAAACTTTAGGGACGAGAGGCTAGGACTCCGTCGTGGGAGGCGAGGACAGACGTTGCTCGTCCTCCTACGGTGGAGCGGACGGATAAGTCTCAACAATCAAGTGTTCCGACACTAGTCGTTCCGATGACGCACCTGGGGAGAGATTTTGGTCTGATTGGAAGAGGCGTGCATGCACTAGATCGTTTGTATTCCTCGAGATGGGTCCAAGGCTCGGGTCTTCCGATCAACAGGAATCCCGCTCCTTGCAAGCGACCCTTTGCAGGTTCTTCAAATCCGAGATGAAGTCGGAAATTCTCGATCATCTCCTTAGAAAAGTCACTAGCTGTGAATGTTGAAGCGTAATCATATCCACTGGGGTCCGCTGTGTAATCATATCCACTGGGGTCCGTGCGGATATCTACCTAGAAGTCGAAAATGTATGCCACGAAAATTCCGACCTCAATGACAGCGAGACTCGGTCAATGTCGATGACATTCGTTTTGACTTAATTGGCAGCTACGACGGATCGGAGAGATGTGGCTGGATGATCCAGGTCTCGACCGCAGCAACCTCGGATGATATTACGACGGGCATATGGAAAGGAAATCACATGGAGACTTGATCTAATAAGAACCTCTGATGATTCATCCTATCAAATATATAACAAGCAGGTTCTGTGAGTCTCCGCGTCCCCATAGCCAAAGCCTGTTTAATATCACCCAGACTGATCGAGTCGACTTGACAATGGAGCACTGGGCTAGCTTGATTTTTGGTACGGAAAGTATCCGGCGAGGTTCCTGCCGCAGCTTCCAAAGAGCAGAGCTCCAGCGGGATATAACAACCTGGAAGTAAGCCCCTGAATCTTTGTCTACGTGAGAGGCCTCGTGGTGGGCAATCAAGCTCCCTGACAAGCTCGCCATAGACTGGGGAAACTACGATCAGCCTGTGCGAGACGCGGGTTCATGATCCTCGCGAATCTTGTACACAAGGAAGCGTCAGAATTCACTGTTTCGAACGCTGCTTGATTCCATTTCTACAAGATACCTATATAATTATTATATATCTCAATTTACATTCACGACATCCGGAACGTCTACCCTGGTAGTGCTCCCTCATTCGCCACTTTGACTTTTGTAACGGTCCTCTCTTCTGTCTACTTTAGATCGTTGAACAAGCGACCGAAATTCTGAGGACTGTCTTCTGTCGAGTCGATCTGCGAAAGAGAATGTTAAAATGTCTATAGCGGGATCGTAGCGCTTCTCGCGCTAAAATGAATCACGCCGAATTACCTCGTCGAGCGTTTCATTGCTAAGGAAGTCCTCCAGGGGTGATATAGGTTCTGGTCGGTGTTGCTGGCGCGGCTCGAGCGTGGGCGAGTATTGTACCTGGTTTGGAGAAAATAAAGCATCGGTTGGGGCAGAAGAACGGGGCCGGAGGTGCCGTCGAGACCGGCTGAGTCGTGTCGAGCTTTCTGACATTTTTCCTCTCGACTTACAGTTTGACTTGAGAACCTCTCTGGCGAATCGGGCTTTTTTTTGGCCGAACATTGCCCCCCGGAACTACATCCACATCTCGGGCATTCGTTTCGAGCGACCGACAGCTTTCGCTTCTGACCTCGGTTTTCCCGTTTCACTTTGTCTGCGAGAAGCGAGAGGCGAAAATGAGAATCCTCGAAATACATTTCCGGTGACGAAATCGTGTCAAGCTGTCAGCGTTCTCGAGTTACGGAGGAATATATAACCGTTTCGGGTGGCGAAGTCTCCCAAAGGTGCGTTAGAATCCGATCCGTTGTACACTCGCGACATTTGAGATGTCCAATCGAAATTGCTTGATTCATCATACGGCTCATCAGTTCCCACGCTAATGCTGTGAAAGCGGACGCAACATGTTCATTTTGAACTTCTCTCGGAAGTCTCGGGGCGCGCGGGTTCGCTCCGCTTCCTCTCGCAGAGGGGAAATGCAAGAACAGAAGAGAAATTATTGTGTTCGCCCGTCCGAGAAACCCACTTTTTCCAGCCTACGAGGCGACCGTCCGGCGTATGCAACGGCTGCCTGGATCGGTAAATGGATAGATTCTCCTGCTTGATCTCCGGTTTCGAGGTGACGGTTTCGATGCCTGCCGGCATCGTGTAGTGACCGATGTGACCTGGACATAGAAGAAGAATAATTGAAGGGGACGGCTAATCAAAAGAGGTCCTCGTAAATTTGGCGGAGCCTCGTGGTGATGAAAATCGTCTTGCGGAGCTATCGCACACTGACCTGTCAAGTTCAAGTGCTGTCTTAATTCGGGTTCCGAATGGCACGTGAAGTGACAGTTCTCACATCTGATCATTGGTTCCCAATCGCCGAAAACCATGGTGTCTAATGCTCCCTTACCGGAGAGATATAAAACGTGCAGGTGTCCGGATTCCGATGACTCTCGTCTGTGTATAATAATCTACAGTGACCCACACGTATCACAAAGAATGTTGGGTTCGGGGAGTTCAGTCGATCGCTGCGAACGAGGTCCTCTGTCTCTGTGAGGAGACACGGACTAGCGGATTCCGTGAATCTCATTTGGGTCTTCGGCCTAAACGCTAGGTATCCCGGGCCTAGGCTTATTCTGTATCGAGAACCCCGATTCGATCGGACAGTCAAAAGCTCGAATTGATTGTTCTGACCTACCGGGAGCGGCCGACCTTAATCGTGAGATTTCGGGTCTCGATACAGCCCTCTTGAGGCGAAAAGAAATTGGCGCTCACCTTGATCGCGGGCTTGATTTTTCGGCACCTTATGGCACAGCGCGCTCAAATCCAGTTCGAATTAAATGGACATTCAGTAATTCCGACTGGGAGACTTGGTGTCTCGTGGGTGAGGGAATATGTGGCGCGCTCACTCACTCGACACGATTCTTTCCGAATATTCTCTCTGCACAGACCACGTCAGTGCGATACTCGAATCATTGGAGAGAACTATGCGATTCTTCCACGCGAAGCTCATCTTCAACTTCCCCCGGAGCAGAGGCTGGGGAGTTTTGTCCCATGAGGAATTTCCCTTGATGGGGGCCATCGTCGCTACGGCGGCACTGCGATAGATCTTGCGAGCGATAGATCTTGCGTGAATTCCCGTTTGATGCTCATGAAACTCTCAGAATAAATGTCTCTTGGTGGACTCCATGTCGCTCAAAATACAGGATACCTCTCGGTTTCCGCTGCAGTGCTGCCCCAGTCGAGGTCGGTGACTGCTCCCTTCAAGGATGAGTTTTGGATCTCACGCAATCGGAATCTCAAGATCGATTCTGCCATCGATGGAACGCGACGAACAAAATGGACAGGCTCGAGATAAATAGCTCATGTATCTCATATCAACGATGTAAATACGATAGCATTCTCAGATAGATTCGGAAAGCACAGGATCACGATCATCGCGAAGAGAGCTCTCGAGAGTCGCGTCTCAATCCGGCCCAGTCCTCGTCGGAAGATTCGACGCGATGCAATTTTCGAATCCTCCGAGGGCTGAAGCTTCCTCCCACCGTGATCGGACCTTCTCCTAGTCGATTAGAGCCGCTTCGAATAATCCGACTGCGCATCATCTTCAATTGAGAATTTGGAGCGATGGGGAGCCTTTGAAGGCTGGCATCGGGTGCTTCGGATATTCCCGACAGATCTCGTTGAAGGATCATCTTGTTGTTCTTGTTCTTTGTAGAGCGCTAAGAGAACAGCACCCCAAACCGCGGAGGCAGCCCGTGCCCCAGAAGTACATCATGGGATCATGTGATCCGACCGTATCTCGGAAGAAACCTGCGAATTGAAAATCTTGCGGCTCCGGAAACGTAGTTGCAGGGAGGTTGAAATTGCGAACGCGATGAACCCCACGCTCGAGCAGATGAGACCATTGGCTACGGCCAGATTGTGAACTCCTACGATATCTGCAAGCACGAGATTTAACATTGGAACCCGATCAGGAAAATGAATTAGAGAAGCGAGTGCCACCGAATTGGTTCTCCCATCCTGAATCTCGTGTCCCTGTTCGACGGAGACCATGCAGATCGGGATGGACCATCTGCATCGAGGAATCGATAAATCTCCGAGTCGGTTCACAGGAGACTACTACTGTGCACATGACCACAGTAGAATCGTAGAACAAGCCAAATAGGAGGAACATAGAGGTGAGAGGCACGTAGCGCGGAACCGACGGATGATGCACCCCGATGCCCCTAAATACAGGAAGTTGAGAGCGAAGGTCACCTGCAACGGTCATCCGAGGTTCTCAAACTCACTCGGAGCAATCACTCAGTCAGTGCTGACAGCGGCAGCTCGACAAAGAGGGCGATGGTCGTGATGACCGCCGGCTGATCGACGCGGAAGATCATCATTCAATCAGATTCCGAGTTCGTAATTTCGGAAATTGAATATCGCCACAGTTTTGTTCCCTGTCGCCCCGTCAGCTGGGCTGTCTGTTGTCGTTTGATCTGGATCGCTCCCCAGCTCAGCTGAGCCGTCTCTCCGAAAGTGTGTGCTTTCCGGTGTCGGATTAGAGACCGTTCTTGTCCGCAAGCGCTGTGATATTCCAATTGATTTACATAATCGTGGACTCCGTCCTCGTATGAATGAGTGCGGGAAATACGTGGAGGGCAGCGTAGAGAAGAAAAACGGGAAATTTTGCTTTGAGGAATCCGCCCGTCGGAGGAGCCCGGTACCAAAGGGAAATCGGCCCGTGTCGCATAAGAAATCTCGACTCCGATAGCTACCCCGCGGCGGTAATCCAATTGGGCTCGGGCTCGAGATCGGCAACAGGTCTCGCTCGCCGTTCGTTGGACCACTACCGTTCTGGGACTCGGCGCGAGCGTCTCCCCCTTGGTCCATGACGGTCTGTGCATTAGATAGGAGATGACAGGCCTGTTGAGCGTGATAGCTCCGAAGACGAGGAAGAGTCCTGAAATCCTCCAAAGGACTCTCAATTTCTACCTCATGTGCAGATTTAAGGGTATAATAACCCTCCTTGCTCAAAGCGCATGCTATTCATCTGAAGACAGATCAAAGGAGATTGTCGTCGCCCCCACCCCTCAGACCGTAGGATTTGTACAAGTACTCCATGAACTTCGGAACCACCATGGCGGCCACGGTCGATCGGCAGTAATTCATGCCGAGGGCCAATCCACTGTGCTTTCGGAAGTAGTGACTCGAGATCACGGGGTTCAGATTGTAAATGAGACCGATGCTGAACCCATTCCGGAATGAGCATATTAGAATCCTTCAAGCTCCATATTCGGGCTCGGAGAGCTGGGGCAGTGGCCCTTGGAACGATGACATCGATGTGTCATGAATGTCGCATCCTTTCCTCGAGGAGGGCTTCCGATGCCATTGTGAGAGCTCACCATTGGGTATCCCGAAAGAGATTGTCAGGTGAAGTATCCCGGTGGCGAAAAAACTCGCAGTCAAGCACACGAAATATACGAAGCCGCCGATCACGCAGGTGATTCGCAAACCGAGCATGGTGCTGAGGGGACCAGAAAGGATGCCTGTGGATCGAATTTCCGACATCATCCTGTGATCGTGCGGATCATGGATTGGGTCGCTTCTTGCTCATCGCGGAATTTTCTGCGGGGAGGGAGGGGGGAGGCGATTTAATTCTCATCGATCTGCGGCCGACCTGCGGGATCAGCGAAGCCCGAGATGAGCGAGATCGGTCAGGCGGCGTCACCACTCACCACGCGTCACGTTGAAGGTCTCCATCACGGCGACGTAGAGCACAGCAGCGGACAGCGTCGAGCCTCCGACAAGGAATGTAGTCGTGAAACATGCCAGAGCCATACGCCAAGACTCCCTGCCGTCCGGTCCAGCCCCCAATCTTCTCTGTAATGAGGATTCAGACGAAGGAAGAAAAGGGTTGCAATTTCTCGCCGACCTTGACCCAGGACCTCGGGTCCCTGGTTGAGTGTCTCACCCGTTCCATACTCATCACATTCCCTGCCCCTATCACGTCAGCAGAGACCGAATGAGAAATGAGCTCTTCCCTCAGTTGAAGTCATCCAGCAGTCGCAACAGGAGATTTCCTGATATGGTTTCGAATCCTCTCCCTACCCTCATTCAGTCATTTTTCCGCTGTACTGCTAATGATCGCAGCCCGGGTAGATTCGTCGGAACACGACAAGTTTATGGCACGGAGGACTCCGCATTCGTTGTGAAAGAACTCTGCCCCCTCGGTCGAAGACCCAAGGCTTTGAACGCATATAGACTCCCAAAAGACGAGGACTTCACCGGTGTACGACCACTATAGAGCGGCGTCTGCGCGGTATTCTGTGAAACACCGCTCTGTTTTGGATCTCAATGAGCCGCATGAGAAGGTTCGTCCAAATGGAATAAACACGCTCTGGCTCGGCGAAATCCGCCGCGTAAATCCGAGCCGCAATATTTCACCGGAGCGTGATCGTTTCTGGGGATGATCGCTATGATGGGCAAGTTCACGCAGTGCAGGAATGACCCGACTCAATCATAGACTTGAAATGTACGTTCTGAATAAGGCGCATCCCGTCCGTGGGGCGACTGGGCTATTCACGGTGAGAGTGTAAGGCACATTCTCCACCACGGAGCAGGAATCGGGAAGCGAGGGACGTTCTAGGTTATCCAAAGTCGCGGACGACGCCGCGTGCTCGCTTGGGCGTCGATAGGGTCGAGCCTGCGGCCAGCGATCGAGACTTCGATCTTAGCGAGTCACGAGTCACGATCCTCGTTCGCTCCGGTTTCCGAAATAGGTACACTCGCTTCGGCTTCGAGAGCACCTCGTCTTCGGCTTCGAGAGCACCTCGTCTTCGGCTCCGCTTACCATAGTCGCGAGAGATGGAGCTCCGCTTAGAGGCGTAGAGCAAGAGACTGGGGAGCAACTCTTGCCACGCCACCGAGTTTTTTGGTGAAGATGCGACAATTAAAACTAAAAGGCGTGAAGCTGGTCATGTAATGCCGGAAGCAATCTAGACCCCAGTGATCGATATTCCACGAGGGTGGAATAGAGCGAATCCCCCACCGAATTTCTGAAATCGGAGAAGAGGCGCCGCGTGGACGAAGTCAGTTGACATTTATTGCATATGAAAGTACATGTGTCACAACGGGATATCTGTCCCGATGTCATGAAGGACATGCCGCTATTGAGGGGTCAGCAGAAGTCTAGGAATTTTCTCCGGGGAAACTTGGACGGCGTAATATGTTTATTCCAGGGGCGCTCATGAATGATCTTTCAAAGCGGGTCCTCTTGACAATAAAGTGATCTGCCGGACACTGCAGCGGGATCCGACACCTTGTCGTCACTTTCCGGAATCGGCTTGCCCTCTGTCCGCCTGACGCCAGTCCTCTGTCGACTCGATATTGTTATACTCTGTTCCCGGCAGTCTCGCGACGGGGCCCGGATTTTCCGTCGCTATTCATCTTTCTTTCTTCGCTCTCCTGAGTGCGAGCAAAACAACACTCCAAACAGCGGCCATTGAGAGACAGCCTGCGCCCCAGAAATATAACATGGGATCGTAGGATCCCACCGTATCTCGAAAGAAGCCTGCGGATGGAAAATGCCTGTATTTTATTCATGTTCCCATAAGGGGACCTCTCTGGATGGCCTTGAGGGGAAGTTTCGGAATGAATCCTCACCAATGAAAGCAGGCCTCCCGAAAGCTATGAATCCCACGCTCGAGCAAATCAGACCGTTCGCCACGGCCAGGTTGTGAACTCCTAGGAGATCTGACGGGGTAGGGATATTCGAGTCAGGTTCAAGAAATTGAGTGACATCCGTGATCATAGGCTTATCATTCAGTTCCACTTACCGGAAACTATGACTGTACACATCACCACGGTTGAACCGTAGAACCAGCCTACCAGAAGGAACATTGCGGTGAGGGCGACATAACCAGAAACCAGAGGGATGATGCAGGCCGAGGCTCCCAAACAGAGGAAGTTGATTGCGAAAACGACCTGCGATGGAGATCAAATGATGCGGATATGGAGAAGAGTACGGATCGGGCAAAAGTTTTCCCGACCAGGTCGCGGCAGCTGATGGACTAGAATACTAGAACCCGAGGCGGAAGGGGACCGACTTCAATTATTATATTATAGATCTCTGAGTCCATTCACCTTACGATCCACGATGCCCTTATCTGCGATCAGCGGTAAGGCGATTCTCCCTGCCATATCCGTGATCGAGACGAGGGGAATGGTCGCGATGGCCAGCGGCTGATCCACGCCTTTGTCGCAGAAGAGGTCAACTATCACCTTCGGGGGAAAATCATAGCTCAGTCGGATTATCAGAGTTTCACCGTGGAAATCCAGGAAACAGGTCTCGACGAGAAGCTCAGGCGAGGCGGTTTGAACGAAAGAGGAACTCGCAGGTCCAATGTCGCCGCGCCGTCGTCCGCGGCCTGTGGATGCCGCCGACTCGATCGAAAAACTTCATGGAGCATGCCGCAGAATGCGACGAAAAGCCATGCAATGCGGCCGCGGAAATTTCATCTGTACATGCATGAATCTGCTCTTTGTTGTTGAATAATGCTCGTGACGCCCCACCGTGAAAAGGATATCCGTGTATGTGGTGAACACTAGGTAGGACACGATCAGCAGATAGAACAATGGATTGCAGAAAATTTCCCGCAGTGAGAGCTCTGGCTCGGGATCGGGAACATCCTCTTCTCCCTCGGCGTCTGGACCTGGATCCAGGATATTCATTTGGAGCGGTCAAGAGAATTTATGAGCAACATCGATCTCTTCCATCATGTCGGTTAGGGGAAGTTCGTCAGTGACTCACTACTCGCTTCGACAATCTCGCTTATGCTCCGAATGGTTGACAAATGAGGGAAGTTGTCGATGGACGGCATCGTGTTGTCCTCTCTTACGGTGACGTTATCGAGATGCGGATTGGCCTCATCATCGCAATTATTCTCTTCCTCCCCGCCGATAGTCATCGGCAGCACACCTCGAAACGAAGAATCCCAGATTCTCATTCACGTAATCCACAGCTCGTTGAGTGAATCGGTCAGATCTGAATGCACCTGGACCGTAGATACATGAGTGTCTCGTTTTCCGCTCAATCCTTCTCTCGATGACTCTATATCCTGATGAATGCATCTCACCTATTCCAATATCGGTGGCTAGGACGAGATCCGCGTTCTTTTTCCCTGGCTTAACTCCCGCAACGCTGATTGACGTCGATCGGTCTCGATTGTCCTCAAGCTCAGCTGCTCCGTCCTTCCGGGAGCGCATCGTCCCCGATCTCGAGCGGGGAACTGTGCTTGTCCGCGAGCGCTGGAATTTTTTTATCGATTACTCTTCTCTGTACCCATAAGACGGAAAATCTACGGGGAACTCGAGGTTCGGATCGAGGTATCGGAAAGCAGCAACTTCGAGCACTATGGTCCGCTGACATCGGGGCAAGACAAAAGGAACGATCTTCAAAAGGTTCCCCGAAGAAATAAATGTTTCCCTCCGATGGGTCTTTTTAGATCGGAGCCATACCATGCTCGGAGCCCGAGATTCCCGGTTCGAGGCGCTCGTCATACGCCTGATGAACTCCCTCCCGATATTCGGTGCGAGCATCTTCTTCCGGGTCCATGGAGGTTTGTGCATCAGATACGAGATCACGGGCGTATTCAGCATGATAGCGGCGAATATGAGGAAGAGTCCTGAAATCCTTGAACAGATTCTCAATTCTTCCTTCTCAGGTGGAGCCAGTGAGCGCGAATCACGCAAAAAAAAACGTCAACAACCTGGAATATATCTTTTTTCCATGAATATCGCGACGAAGAATTCTCACCCCTCAAGCCGAACGATCTATACAGATATTCCATGAACTTCGGGAACACCATGGCGGCCACGGTGGACCCGCAGTAGTTTATACCGAGAGCCAATCCCTTGTACTCCCGGAAATAGTGACTCAAAATCACAGGGTTCAAGTTATACATGAGACCGATCCCAATTCCTGGTGGAGAAGATCGTAGATGAATCTCTCTTCCGCATCCGGAATTCTCACGCTCTGAAGCTGAGCCCCGAAGGCCCATGGAGCTCACCGTTCAGTATCCCAAAGGAGATCGTCAGGTACGGTATTCCCGTGGCGAAATAACTCGCGGTCAAGCATACAAAAGACATTGAGCCGCCAATGATGCAGGTTATTCGCAAGCCGAGCTTTGTGCTAAGCGGACCGGATAGAATTCCTGTGGGAGATATTTCAGAAGTGCAACCAACTCATCGCACAGAATCGGGCGAATCAATCCCGTCTCGCCGTATGGATCACCATTTGTTCACTCGTTATTATCAATGTGCAGCAAACCTGCGAAATTGACGAAGCCCGAAATGAGTGAGATTGGCCAAGCGGCCTCACCACGCGTCACATTGAATGTCTCCATCACGGCCACGTACAGAACAGCTGCGGACCGCGTCGAGCCCCCGACGAGAAAAGTCGTCGTGAAACACGCGAGAACCATGCGCCAGGACTCTCTGCCGTCTGGTCCGGCTTTCGGTGTTTTCTAGAATCGAAATTGAGATGAAGGTACATCTTGGATCGAGCATCTCACCGATTTCGATGGGTGCGGATTTTTGATGGACTTTCTCACCGCTCCCCTAATCACCGCATCCCCCGTCATCCCGACAGAGGCTGGAAGAGAACTGAGCTCCTTCCGGATATGTAAGGGTCATGCGGGCGATTCGTTTGGAGAGATTACGATATTTTATAGCTAGACGGTCTTTTCCTCTATTTTTACTGCTTCGTATTTCGAACCCGCTACTGGTGACAGGTTCTCCCTTTCGTAGGCTCTTCTTCTAGCGCGTTTTCTGGAGACTCGCGACGCATATCCCGTCCGGGAAACTCCAAAGTCCCCGCACGAGTCAGTGGATCACGAAAATCATGATGAATAATGGAAAATCTGCGAATCGAGTCCCTGCGGCCCTCAAGCGCCCAAAGGGCACTCTCATCCGCGCTCAGGTCACGCACTTAGCGCAATCGTTTGCCTAAAACTCTCCATCAGGCCGGAACTCGGAGGAAGGATGCGAACTTTTCCCTGATCTATCCGAGCAATTTCTTCTATTTCTGAAAACTTCCGCCGTGATGAGCTGGACGCTTAGTCGAAGTCAGCCGAAAGATTCCTCCGAACCCTCAGAGATCCTCCCGATCCAGTCTGAGCATGTCCTCAGGTCTTCTTGGGATCTTCGATCCTCCGGATGGTCTGAGAGGACGGTCGACCATCAGTTACCCGCTAGCGGCGAGTGAAGCCAGACTCTTTTCCACATTTCTCTCAATTCTTTAAGATCTGCTGTACATATAAGCATCAGGCTCGCGAGGTCACGAAAAGTCACAGAAAGGCAGGGAGGAGAGGGCGGCACAATCAGAGGAGGCGTCTATCTGCTTCCCCGCCTCCTCCCCGGAAGATTCCCGTCCGTTTTCCTACATCATCAAACCCTCGAAAATCGCCGAACGTCTGTATCGGAGCGTGCGATGAGGTAGCGAAGAACCGCCCCGAGACGTTGGACCTCACAGTCAAGAATACTCAGCGAAGCAAAAAACGCTGCTTCCGGAGGCGGAGTGGATGAATAGTCCACGCTGATGATATTATCACCGAATTGTAATAAATAGTCTCGAACTCTCTGCTTATCACCGATTGCCCGGGAGAACATCTAATGGGCTGGTGATATCCTCATATTCATTCTCGTGATGATCGCTTCCAGGCTCGGCAATCAAGGTTTGCCATCGGGAATCCGGACCTGCCAAGAAGATACGGAAATTCTAAGTGAGTCGCTCCGAGAGAGCGATGTCGGCTCGCACCTGCCAAGTCCGCCAGTATTGACTGCGCGTATCATATTCAGTGGATGTAAATGTAAATGGAATGCGTGAATAAAAACTTCTCCAGCGTTCCTGGCTCTTTCTGACTCCCTCAAATTCGATGCGCAGATTCGCGCGAACCGTACTCCGAGCACTTTACAACATCAGAGGTCTAGCTTGGAGCGAATCAGCGAAAGTCACTGTTGGCGAGATTCGGTATGTCGCCCCAAAAGAAAACAACTCGATCGTCATGTATGCCAGCGGCATCTTATTTATTGGTCGACGAATTTATCTTTCTTGGTATGTTCTTTGTCACCTTCGGAAAATATACATTGATCGGCGTTTGTCGTTCCCGTCAGCTATCATATCTTTGGGAACAGAGACCGACAACTCAGACTCATTAACAGCGTCATTTCCAAGAATGGAAGGTTCGAGCACTGAAATCGATCTTCGATTGAAGTCCTTTGTCTGAGAAACGCAGTGGTATGCCCGGATTAATCGAATAAATTTTTGAAGGAGATATAGAGAATATTGTTCGATTCTGCCGGAGGGGAACACATTTCGAGAAGCGTGAAAGTCTCAGAGCTACCGATGGAATCGAAGATCGAGATTCCGTCCCGTATTCGAGGCTCAATGATTCGAGAGTCAGGACGCAGTAAGAATCGTATAATAAGTAATCCGTTACGTTCTCTCAATCATTTCAAAGTACGTAACGCTGTTTGGCGCAGACTACGTGGATACTGCAAGGATTTTTCCTCCCTGCATCTTCCACTCAAACTCTGCGGCCCGCGATATCCCGAGGCGCAAGAGATGATTCTGGGACCGATTCCCCCCATGTCGATCTCTCGGGCGCGGAGTTGAAGAGTCGAGCTTTATTTACAATCGAGTCAGCTCCAGAGGACCGATTCCAGAAGAAGACGAATGGACATTCCCATGTGACCGGAAGCTCCCGACCGGCAGGATAGGTCGTTTGTCGTCTGAGAAGTTGGCTTTGTTCTCGTGTGTCTCGTTGTAGTTCGTCTTCGCAGAAGCGATGCTCACAATCAAAGAGGTCGTCCCGTACTATCGTTCGACTTCGGAGAAGGGACTTTAATCCGAGAAAAAGTACTCGAAAAAAATCTGCTCTGGATCAAAACTTCGAAACTCTTCTCGAGTTTTGCTTGAGATATCCGAGACTTAAAGAAACCCAGATCGTCCGTCTCGAGCGAGTCAGGCTCCCAACTCTAATCAGGTGACAGCGAAAATGCTCATTTTATGTTCGTCGGAGGGTACTTGGATGCGTCGGACTGATTCCTCGAGTTCCTGATCCTGTCGATGCGGAAGTTCAAATTTAGGCTTGAGAGATGCGGTCCCCACAAGTTTAGTCTAATGAATCGGAATCCGAGTCTTGAATTTCCGTCGGCTCCCGCCACCGAGCGCGGACGATTCTGCCGGCGGCACCGATGCAGAGCACCGACCGTTTCGCGACGTGCCGACTCGTCTTCTATTCCGTCTAGGGTTTCACGGGAACGGCCATTGATCCCGAAAGGCTACGACGATATTCCTCGTATTGATACGTCAACAATAATGTACGTCTGGGCTGGTTTTCCGACTCGACGGCTGTAATGCATAAATGCATATTTCATGGAGTCAATGTGTGACTCAGCGGCTTCGCTCGCTCGGATCAGATCCAGAAAATGAGGAACTCGCTTCGAGACGCCGCGCCGCTGCTGCTCTTTTTCTCAAACGAGGCACCATCTCGATCTGTGATCTCTCGATGAAGTTTCAGTTTCGAAGTTGTTCGATCCAAGAAGGTGTGCGTCTTTGAATGTCGTCATCAATACCTACATACGTTCTCATCTCCTTCATCGAGATGCTCTCCGTCATTATCATCATCAAAACATCCTAATCACGTGTCATACCCACACACCGCGTCGTAAACAACGCAACCTAACGTCTGTCCGCGTTCCCATGTTTATAGCATTCGTTGGTTGATTGGTTCCAAGCGAGGTGCGCTTTAGCATTCCGCCGTAATTTTCATCTCATCGATACCTATTGAAGACCGTCGGAGGGGGAAGAAGTCCGGAACTCTGAAAGAGCATTCCCCGCTCTTCGCAGCATGGGGAACACTAGTGGGCATGCCCATGGCCTCCCACCTGGGACAGCACCGCAACCAGTCGTCCCAAACCGAGCATGATACCGAAACCCAGTACCACCGCCGTCAGCTGCAAAAGTCCGTGGAGGGACGTGTTCTTTTGTTTCTGTAATACCTGCAAGAAAGAATTCTTTGGAGTCTTTCGGCGAACATTGTTCGATTACTATCGACCAACTCCTTCGTGCTTCACGGGCCGTATACAAGGGTCCAATTGGGCCCAGACAGAAGGCAGTGTTGGAGACCTCTCAAGAATATCGGCTTACCTCGAAGAAGGTCACAAACAAGAGTGTCCCGGCTGCGATCCCATTCAGGATGGCGACCACCAGTGTGTTCTCCTTTATGACCGACTGCGCAAGGGCGCCAATCGAGGCTCCCATCGGTGACATGATGCTGAAGATGAAAATGTTGACCAAGACGTACATCTGAAAACAAATCAACGATGAGCCACCTTCCCCGAAAACCAAGTCCGAGAGCTTTCATGGTAGCGGAGTGGGAATCCCCCGGTCCGGACGGGATCAGGTTTATAAACATACGGACCGAGTGGAGTCGATCTCTAGGCATAAAATTGATCTGAGTTAGGTAGACAATAATCGGTCGGAGAAGAACCGAGGTACCTTTCCGTTGCCAGATACGCATAACCCGAAGCCGACCACGAAAGCTATGGCCAGTTTATGCGTTGCTATGGCCAGTGTCAACAACCACGTTCTGGCTGGAGTGAGCTGTACACCGAGCGACAACCCCTGCAGGAGAAAATTGAGAGTTTATTTCATTGCGGGAGCTCGATTAGCGCCCATCATGGGAAATTATTGCATTTATTTGACTGATCTCAAATGCAGGGAAAGTACGCAGCGACGAGGGCCATCCCCTGAATCAGACCCATCTCGGATGAGACGACACTCACTTCGAAAATTGAGTGGAAACTGAGAGCCGCCACCGTGATGAGGCCTCCGATGCTCACTGTCGACGCTTTGGCCTCTGCGGCATTGACACTGCCGCCGCTTTCCATTTGATTGAACACGGTGAAGTGCGAGTACGGCTTTATGTTAGGGTTGTTTGCTTGCTCTCCGTTGCTGTGAACAGAGGGGAAACGATCAGATTTCATGAAATTCAGATCCTCCACTACATGATATTTCCGAGCGGGCGTACTGAAATTTTCCAGCACGTTCTCGCCTGCCGCGACGCCGAATCAAATCAGCATTGAAATTCTTCCGTCGCTCCACGCCGAGGGGAGCAGCTCCTCTCGGAGTCACTTCATGGGCTGAGATGTTTATTATCGCGTTTCAACTGCAGAGATGTCTTTGCCAACAATGGAATTAATAAGACAGGCTCGAGGAAAAAATGACGAGCACGAGATACACATCTGACGGAAAACAAAAGGGAATGGAATATCCGCACTCATCACCTGGCGTACACGACACGCGAAAAAATTCTGCCTTGACCTCGACTCCATCTCCTTGTAGAGTCCGTCGTATGGTCCACCCGAACGGCCAACGATGACGCCGCGTGAGAGGCAAAGGCCTCGGCGGCGAGGAATTCCATCCGCGGTTCGTGAAGAAGAAATTATACAGGTAGAAATTCGGAGGTCGATCGTCGGTTTGAGGGAGCACGTAGCGAATTGACAGAGCGGGGAAACGAGCCATTCTTTCGCTGCTTGATAAGGTGGCCCATTAATGAGCAGATTCAATGGTCAGGGAGCACAACAGCGCTTAAACTATTCGAGCCGATACTAATGAGTCTTCACGGTCGTCTGAGGCCGCTGACGCACCGAGGGGCGTTCACGCATGGTCACAGAATATGATTTCTTTCGGCGCGGACAAACCCTTCATTTAATCCGCGTGTCTTATTGCGGATTCCCCTCCGCACAGAGACTCCCAAAACGTTCTCTGAAATTGGCCACATACGTTCGCGAGAGTCCGATTCCGACTCAGAGTTGTGCGATATCCCTATCGCCCGAAATCTGGGAATCACGATACCACCGAGGCCCGAAATCAGTGCGACGTCATTTAAAACGTAATTGTCGCCTTCCAAATTCAATGGTACTCTATTCAGAAGCTGAGTTGGATCTGTTGATGAATGATTATCCCTTGAGGCTCAGGTGGCTAAACATTCCACCGGACCAAGTGCTCAAACTCAATTAAGCGCCTGACGGAAATAAAGCGTCACAGATCTCACCTGCCCGACCTCGGTGGACGAAAATATGCAAGATTCCCCTCCGCGTCTGGCGGACCCAACAATAAAGCAACATGGGAGGGGTTACGTTGGCAGAACGAGGATATTTCCGATTGCCATCCACTCAACAGAAACAGCTGTGTACGTGCGGTGCATCAGCTGAGGCGACGCGACGTCTTAGTCGCCATCGTCGAGCGAAGAGTCGAAAGGACGACGAAGTCAAGAACCTCCGCTTTTCTGGCTCATTGGCTCGAAGAAGAAGAAGAAGAAAATACCCGGAAAAGCGTGAACTTCGTCGGAACCCTTTCTAGTTCGATGGAAGCGGTGCCGGCGCGACTGCGGTTTTCCATCCGCGCGGCGTCACTCGATACAACCTCCACTCATTCTCGCGATGACTGTCATCTTGACAGGGCTGACATAATTCTGACCAGCAACGGGGGATTGCGCGTTTCATTCGCTGCACTGGGTCGAGGTGTGGGAGGAATATGTAGAGCGGACATCGACCCCCTCCGAGAAACGGGTTGGACGGGACCGAGGCCCGGCAGTCACCACCGAATGGTGATGCTGTCGCGGCAGACTCGTCCATTCTATTCGTGTTGTTCTCTGCTGATCGTGGCTCACGGAAGCCGACGAATATCAGAACTAAATGAAGCGCGCGGGCGATCGAGCTTCGTTACGTCAAATACAGCTCCAACCTTCACGCAATCGGTCCGTGTTAATGTCAACGCGGATGGAAGACAAGGACGCGCGGCTCTCGATCTCCCAACCGGAGATCCGATCACCGAAGCGTTTTCCAACATCGCCCGGCAGCATCCATGGAACAGATTTTACAACGCGGATCGCGTTCTTTCAATGAGGTGCCCGCGGGCACGGGAAGGCGCAATTCGCCTTCCGGAAGAAAACATGACGCGTAATCCCTCGACACCAGCGTATGTTTGTCTCGATCTCCGACAAGACTCTCGTCGCCTCGCAGCAATTCTCGAGAGCGCCAATCCGGCTTCGTGACAACCAAAATAGGCATGGACAGATCATAAACTGTAGCACAACTGAATGTCGGCTGACTGACTGACGGGCTGACTACCTGAATGACCCACCGACCGATTGGCAGCGAGCGGATGCTGTGACTGAATGCATTACCAGAACGGGAGCTTATGAGATTCTGAGCTATAAATATACCTAATCCAGAAATGATCGAACTTGCTGACAAAATAAATATCATAACCAAGCTCCATTCGATCGGTCGTTTTACGGAAGGTAATTGCATTTGAATTACGTTGGCATTTCCTCGAGAATTCTCAGTGGACGGCGGTCGACTTCCACAGGCTATCGAGAAGGAGGGCCGCCCATTTCTCGAGGGCTGAAAATTCGCCCTGTAGTGTCCGTGGAGGAATTTTCTAAATGTATCTTGCCTGATCCCACCATGAAGGAAGTGAACTCTTTTCTGGCAGCGCAAATGTCAAACGAAGGCTCATCCCGGCGACAGAGCGACCTTCCGTGGATCGGTCCAACGAGACTCACGAGTCGTGAGCCACGACCAATAGCAACCAAGGAGCTCATCCAGTTCGATAAGCGAATACTCCGGTCATGATCCGACCTTATCATCCGGCTCCCGATGCACCGGAACCTCTATCGGCTAAACTTCCGATCAATCGAAGGCACGGACGAGGTTATGCGACGCTCCGAAATTACCCGGAGCCGAGGCTTCTCGCGCACCGTATCGATACGTGGGTTTCGAATGACGCTTCGATGCCCGCGTCTCCGAGGGAAGTTCTCGGGAACCGGACACGGGTGTTCTCGACTGAGCTTCTAGCTCGAGAAATACTCTGCGGTTCTTCGCGGGCCGACATTCGGACAGATCGTTGCGACCGGTGGGCGGATGATAATTTCGGATTCGGGCAAACTCTCGCTCTCGAAGGGAAATATTCATAGAAGCGGGGAGAATCTCTTATCAAATCGATAGAAGTTATGTATGTCGATAGAATAATCCTTATCAAAGAGGGGGACCTTGACCGCAAATAGACAGTCACTGTTTGGAATCAACAATCCTGATTGCTTGGATCCCGAGCCGGAACCATCCAGGACGACCGCGACACGCGGTCACGCGATCGCATGGAACGATTGATGTTTTTTTCCCTAGACCCTCAGGGGCTACAGCGGAATTCCAGACGTTTGGCCTATCGATATGGAGTCACACTGTGAGGGATCGGAATCCGGGATTCTATTAACTTACGTTGCGCATTGGATGACTTGCGGCGAGTGCGAATGGCCATGATCCTCGTTGACATGGCTCTTGTGGCCGAGGCACGCGTGCACAATCTGTAAATTCAAGTTAGCTCGATTAGGCGAGTCATCAGATCGGAGACGACCGATCCCACGGAATCGTCATTCTTTCCAGAACGGGGAAATTTCGCGTTCTCTACGTCGACGCACCCCGATCGATGAAATCCCTGATTCTGTCACGGCAGCGATTCAAAATTCTATCTCCAAATTATCAACCTTGGAGTTCATATTAGATCGAAAAAAATTCCCCGATGCAGAATCATTCCTCCCTTCACGATGATGATTGAGGGCACTATGGTTCGCTAACATGAACGGGACCCAAAAGGGAGAGGAATGTATTTGGGTCAGTGATGTGGCTGGAAAATGACCTCGGGTCATTCATCGCCAGGCCAAGCCGAAACCATTATTTCATGGAAACTGATGGACGAACATCGTTCATACGGTCTAAAATGGCTGAAATCTCGTTGAGGCGATGATTCCTCCGAGATTCAAGCTGGGGCTGTGACCGCATCGGGGAAAAACTCGCGTGCATGAAAACTCACCTCATCGAAGAGATAAACTATCAGAAATCCTACGCACACAACGAATTCCGTCCACGGAAACGTCGTGTGATCGTGAACATGGCTGGTTTCGTGATGGGTTTCGTCATGGTCGTGGTCATGGTCGTGCTCGTGCTCGTGGTCATGGTCATGTGATGAGTTGTGGCTCCCAGCTGCATACGATGAATTGTGGCTCCACTGCTCGAAGCCTGCCCGTGCTTCGGGAATGATGTGGATCAGGGCGGTGGCGAAGAGCACACCCCCACTGCAAGAAACGGGAAGAATCCAATTGATTCAAGCGCTCCGGACAAAATATCTCAAAACCGACGGAAGCCTCGACGTCGTTCATCTATACCAGTTATCGGCCAACTTGGCGGCTTCCATACTTTCGGGAATTGAACCAACTTTATTTCACGATAGGTTGCGTAAAGAAGCCTTCTGGGGCCAGCATTGTTATCTAGCGCTCGACGCATTTTCAAAGTGGACCGCTACTGCTCGATGTTCATTCACGGCCTGTCGGACACTTTCACGTTACGGTCGCTTTCCTGGCGACCGACACTTCTGGTCAGATAACTCAAGGTACGCCGCTTGCCCTCCGACAATTGACAACGGATAAGCCGTGCGACGACATTTCTTCTAAGACCTGCTCCTTGGGACTCTGTTCCAGAGACTATCAGCATGTTTAGGGACTTGAATCCAAAAACAGAACTCGCAAGTGAGAGAGACCCGTTCTAGGAGATTTCCAGCGTCTCTGTAACTGCGGATAGGTAACTGCTAAAAGATCTAGGCTCGTTGCTAGGCGAAGTGCCTTTGATTTTCCATGGAGCGGATCATTAACTCACAGGAGAGGGGGAGGAGAATTTCGCATGCCAGAGTGCCCCTCCGACGATCTGATTGAGTAAAAGCTAGTTCGGCTAGGCTATTTTTGCCTACGCGAGCGAGATTCAATCTGCAGCGACAAGTCAGTGGAGCGGCTTCAGTGGCGGGCTCATTCTGTTCAAGTTCTCTCCGTTTCTACACTAGTTTGCGCGATGAAACGACTTGACAGAGCGTGCACTGCTAACAATTGATCCGTCTTTTGTTGTGGGGATCGGAGTTTTTGCATCGATGGCGCTTTTCTTGCATCATAGGCGCAGGAAGGAAAATGACAAGAGCCGAAACCGGTTCCTGCCGCTGCCCCGGTCCACACCAAGTTCTGTCGGCGTAGTTTGATAAGGTCGCAAGCCTCGCTCCCGTTGCTGTATCAGCCACAAAAGTCTGCCGCGACAGTAGACACGTCGTAGAAACGAATCGTTCCCAATGAGCCGCCTCGGTGGTCCCCCCGTCGTCGTAATAAATAGATGGTCAAATGTTGCAACTAGATGGACGATTTACTAACACAATTTCTTGTCGGAAGCATCTTTCGTAGTCTCTTCGTGGCTCGCTACTGCATCCCCGGCTCGCACTCCTGACTCTTGATCCGATCTTCTTCGATCAAGAGCGAGATCGCGACGAGGGAGAACGGTATTTCACAGTCTGCTTGTCGTAATTAGCTACGCTTGCGAGCCCCGATCCCCGACCTTCAAGTTCCGCGATGCAACTCGTTCAGAGGCGTGAGAAACAATCACAATGAGCTCTATTCAAGAGTTGCCACAAGTGAAGGGTGCTTCCATACGAAGCCCTCCTGTCGCCAAACAAGGGAATAGAGAACATGTCTCATCGGAACACACGGCGTGCTCCTGAATTTTCTGGACTTCCATCTTCGCGGCAGATATTCGTCGTGATTCCTGACGTGTATTCACACGAGTTCTCTCGGGGAGTTCTGCATTCGAGGCGTAGGCAAGCTTTTCATTCGAAGCGTGCCAGGTCCGACCGAGGAAGGTTTTCGCCGCTCTCGGAGGGCTCAAACTGGGAAAAACAAAGTTGTCTCGGGCAGTTCCATGGACTGACGGCGTGCGACTGGCCGACAAGAAATCCAGACTTCTGCGCTCAGGTTTTCGCGAGGGTTCTCCCGAGGATCAAATTCACAGAGCTGTGACACGCATTGGCGAGAAATCCGCGCGAATTTCGACCGGAGCACACAAAAGATAGTCTGACTCTATCTCACAGGTGATATGAGCTCCGTTTCGGTCGCTTGAACACCCTAAACGGCGGAAATCAGGAGAGACTCGAGTCAACTCGTTCGGAAAATACCTTTTGTTCACACCGTCACACCTGGGCCCGCCCAGCCAATTAAAGGGAGATTTGGCTTTATGGTTAGTAATGGACGTCACTCATACTCTTACACGAACTGGCCTCCACAATAAGGCGACGGGGCATTGAATGACCGAGCGTGTGGAAGTGAATATAATTTCATGGCATGACGGAGAGCCACTCTCAGATTTTTTTCCTCAATTTTTTCTCCCCAGGGAATTTCCCTGCAGTCCGATAAGTTTCGCTGGCCAATAGAGGGCGATTCCCACACTCCTCCCTCCCTCGCTCCACGAGGCAATGGAGCGAGTTTCCCACTCAAGCGATTTTGAAAGACCGCAGCGGGACATGATCCGCACATCATTCCGTCTGTGGTAATCCATATTATCCACTAACAGTACGATAGTTACTCCTCATCGGAGAGACCCACAACGATCGAGCAGCAATCGCTGAAATTCGACACCGAACAGCAAGAAATCGATCCCCACTCTTGAGCTCGAAAAACTCACTCGGACGGGGAGAATGATAAGTCGCTTTTGTTCGAAACACGAGAATGCAGCCGCAAAAATCAGAGCTCCAGCCTGCTCAAGACAGTGAGCCTGTTCTTACGGTCTATTCCGGACGATATTCTCTCTGATTCGAATCGACTGAAGGCTACAAGAAGGGACAGAGTTCGCGTATCTCCATAAAGATGACCCAAAGGACTTGGGATGGTGGAGGTGAAGATTGTCAGCGTTTGTGGAAATCACTGGGAACGATAGTTCCTGAAATCGGCGATTGAGGTGGTGGAAGGTGGGCGTGACCTAAAGCCAAGAGTTATGATCTCATCTCATGGATACGTTCCCATAGGTGTTCCAGGGTACATGAACCCCCTGGGGATCGGACTTTCGCGAGAACGAGTGTTTCAAGTCGGTTCCCCAGTCAGTCGGTTCTTCGCTCGGGATTCTTCTGATAGCCACGTGACCTCAATGAAGAGAGACTCCCTGCCTGAAATACCTCCCCTTGCCTTTCCCCGGAGCTTTCGTTGTCCGCGAGTCGCACGACCATCTCGCATTTTGTCTGATAGTGCTTGCCGAGCGGACCCATCCAAGCGCTCATCTCAGTGCCGCCGCAGCTGCTCACCAAGGATGCCTCCATTCGTCGGGCTCTCGGCAGTGATCGGAATTTCGATATCCACACATTCGGTTGAGCAAAGATTGCAGAGAGATTATTCACGCGGAGTCCGCCTTGGACGGAGCAGTATTGATCTCGCTGGAAAGCCGTCGGATTTTCCCTAATTGAGCGCCATGTCGTGTATCACCGATGGACGTGTCTTGAAATTTTAAGAAAGGAAGACCGTGGCTTGTGACATCGGGATCGGAGCACGCGATGCATTAATTGATTTCATCGACAGAACGATACTCCGCTCGCCGGAATTCTACCGAGCGATGGACGGCTTCCCGATCTCATCGCAGATCTTCGTGGCTCCACCAACTGACGCAGTCGACTACGGGACGTATGGAGGAGAGTTTCCGCCCCGAAACCCACAATGGCATCTGTTTGACATCGATTCCGTTCTCAGTATCGCGGTGCGGCTGCGTCGAGAGAGCGTCGTCGTGATGCACGTATGCGCCCAACGTCATCCCCTATTCATCCCGTATTTATCCCTTTCCGTGCCGTCAGTAATGAGTTTTTCCGCACTTTGGCTCCTCCTTTTCCTAAGTACCAGAAATATTTGGTAAGTTCCCAGGCAATGCTTTCTTTTCCTCTATACTCAAATCAGCCGCGTTCGCCACGCTGATTGCGTCTGTTTTCATTCGTCCGTAAATGTGCGACTGTGTTTTCGTCTGTTCGCCGCGCCGTCCGCATGCAGAGGCATAACAGGCATAACTCAGAAACCGTGTGGAACGTGGGCAAGCTAATCGGCGATTGCTCGGACTGCGAGGCAAGAGCAGACACCGGGCAAGGAGAGAAAGCGTTCGAAATCCAGAAAAGTGACTTAGCTTTTCATAGAAAGCCACGGCTCGTATTGCGCGACCTCGACGTCCAAACTTAAAGAAGCATCAACACAAAAAGCGTCAGGGTCGCGCCAGCAACCATCGCTGTCAGGATCCGTCCGTTTTCTGATTCCTTACATTATTCAGCGCTATATTTCATGTATTCACATTGAATTTCCGAATCGTTTGTTCGCCACAGCGTACAAGAGAAAAAATCAACAAACGAGGCGCGCGTTGTTGTTCGACCGAGTTTCTGCAGAATCTCCTCGTGAGAAACCCGAGGCGAATATGTATAAACGGAGTCCTCTTTGCAAAACAATCAAACTGTCGAGAAACAAGATTCGACGCCTTCTACTGGGATTCGTTCCTGGAAGTGCCATCGGGATGCCATCGGGATGCCATCCTGGGAGATTTCCTCAAGGGATCGACTCGCCCGTTCCTTAAGTGCTTTTGCTCTGGGATGGTGACGACGTGATGACACCAAGCAAGCAAGCAAGGATGCAGTCAATTAGCAAGTCACTCCTCCCGCATGCCGTACAGTCAGCCCTTCGAATACAGCGCCTGATTTAGGGGAATCCCTCGAAATCTCCAACTCGACGGAGGTCAGATGGCGATATCGATTTCGCGGGAGTTCTGTGTTTCTCATTCTTCGAGAACATCTCGAATCGTCCACGCTTACAGCGGGGGAAGAGGGATCCGTGGATTCGCAGAGCTCCATCTCAATAGATCTTCCTCGAACAAATTTCTCTCACATGCCCTGAGCACAATAAATAAATCGAAACAAAGCAAGCCCGGCTAGAGTCGTTGGTGCCGTGCCAAGAGAAGTCTTATAGTGAATTTAAGCTGTTGGTACCCGTCAACTATGCTTGGTTTATTCTCGCCTCTACAGCAGAATATTTTCGGATGAATCCACCCGCTGGAGAGGGAGGACGAAGTGTCTACCGCAAACTATCGATTCTCGAGTACTCTCTCGTTCGGTTCGATCTATGGGAACTGAAACCATTCACGGAACGTGCGAACCCCTTTGATTCAAATAATCACTGCAATGAAACCCGACAGCTACGATCAGAGACATCGAATGAGAAGATCAACGAAAAAAAACTAGTCTGATAGCAGTGGTCGTGGTACGTAACAGAGCTCTAGCTGTGAAAGTTGTCTGGCAGGCGACCTGTGCCTGGAAGCAGTGGGCTGAGCGAAGCGTGGTCACGCTGAACCACTTTCTGGGCTTGCGCAACAGCATTGTAACGGTGTCGGGTGTCGGTTTCGTTAGAGAATGTCACCATCGACGCGAACCGTTGATGTTTGCGTCCGACAACAACGGCAATAGCAACAACAAGAACGACGACTGAAACATGATGTCGTCGGCTTTCCCGGATCGAATCGTCAATGCCATGCAGCCTACTGCAGGGAGGTCCACAGAGCAAATTGTGAACGTTCCAATCGGCAACAGCGCTGTCTGCGCGCGTTCTAGATCTGCTGTCGACTGCCGCCGACGCCAGAGTTCACGACGAGGCGAAATCGGCTCTGGCTCCCATCGAGCTGCTTAACCCGATGCTCACCTTTGAGTGACTTTTAACGCACAGCCATGATATGGATTCGAACGAGGAGATGATTCCAACACCACGTCGGCTTTGATCGCGTCTGCCTTACGCAGCTGATCGCTCGCGCGGGCTTCAGCTCCATGAAAAGCGCCGGCGCCGCGCCGCTGGCTAACTGATCCCAGCTTCTCATTTTGTTTCGCTATGTGGCTCGCTAGGGAATACCGCGAATGCGGCGTTTCCTGCTTCCCAATCTGCCTCATCTTGCGGCGGTTGCGTTGACTGAGTTGGAACCAGTTGTTTTCGTACGGGCGGCAGTTCGGAGCTCTTGTTGTGTTGCTGTTGCCGCCGCCACCGCTACTGCTATCGGCATAATAATAACTATCATCACACCAAATAATATCCGAGCGACCGGGACTTCATCAGGCGAATGTCCGTCGTTAATTAGTTCAGCGCCTACGGGTGTTTCGCGCCGCGCAACCGAAGCACAGTGTGCGCCCATCCAGACTTTCGGTCTCGAGTCCCGTCCGCAGCCGATGGACTCGCAAGCTCATTGTGCCCTCGTGGAGCGCAGTGGGAAGCGAAATTTCGAAAAGAAAACGAATAAGTTGAGAAATTGAGCCGCGGTTGAGGTACTCACCCTACGCAAGCTGTGAATGCGATCAATTTGGAGTTGTGTGTCTGACTGGCAGCAGTTTTCTTCTGGGGGGGTTTAACTATGAGGATTGGACACAGCCCAAAGGCCATCGTCAGACAGAAGAGCAGTAGAGGGGCCAAAATTTTTGACACATCCAATTCCGCCAGCGAACCTGCTGAATGTGCACTCGACATTTTCGTTCTTTTCGGAGGATCCTGTGAAATAGTGAACATATTAGTTCCGGCCCGCGAGCATTCACGACGGGAGTGGTTCTCGGCTCCAGGCCACCAATAATAATCTAGAATTATGTCAGCAACCGAACATGTTCAGTTCGGTCTCTGAATTCGGAGGGGGAAGGGCCTAGGACGGATATCCTGACCTCGGATTCGGACAAGATTAAGACGTCTGATCCAGCGCCGACGACTTCAGCTCGGCTGACTGTCGGTCTGCGAATTTTCGGCGTTCGAGAATAATTTTTCTCTCCAAGTGAATACGGGACTAAGTTACCGGATAACTATACACCTCTGCCGCTCGATCGAGGGATGAGCAGCGCTCCCCGTAACTCTGAGGAACGACTTTCTCGAAGAAAATTCATTCACATGCAGCGACTCAAGGGCAGAGGAGAACGTGTTCCCCGACGAACAGTTTGTTCTCGTCTTGGATTCTGATTGGGTAACGGTTCTTCTCCAGAATCGGGCGTCGTTACGGAGTCGCTGAAACCCACACGCACGTTCTTCATCAGTGTGTCTTCCTGCGAGCTCGTGGACGAGCGCATGTCGAACGCGCGAGACAAAAGGGATTTTAGCCGAGCCGGTGGAATATCCCGGAGAGGCTTCCCAAAACACACTTTCCGCATACACGTATCTCAGGTCAATGCGGGGGGATCGGCCGTCGGAGAGTCCGGTACGCCGCGGATTGGAACAATGGCTTCTCGGTGGAAAGCTGTTTCAGGTCTGAGATCCACCGGTGGATTCGTTACAAGCGTTGATAAATATGCCAGAGCCTCGATGGAAACCAAGCTCCTCTCCCGATTTCCGTTGGTTTCCGACGCGAGAAACGATTATTCAATCGGCGGGTGATTGGCGATTCCCAAGATAGTTGCATGAGGTGCAGATCGTGGCGGCGATTGTTCACCGAAACCGAGTGAGTCATCAGTGAAAGTAATTTCCATTCGAGCCAACGAGTCGTCCCTGAATTTGTTGAACGGAACGATTCATCCTTGAATAACGTTGACCGATGACATCGTACAACTCTTATCACTGGAAAGAACTTTGTATTTCGAACACGTTTCTAGTCCTGCGGCACGTTCCAATATATCCTTCAAGGAACATTAAGAAACCTGGCAGATGCCATTTCCCAACCACCGACTGGAATTCTCAGCTTCGGCTCCCAGTTCAGAGAATCAAATTTTCCGGATTGGGTAGCGTCTTCCGAATCTCGAAATGGAACGAGAAAAAATATTCGAAACGCATTTGGCGGCTCTCTGGGGAAACGCTCACGAAGTCGCCAGCGATCCCGAACAGAAATACTCACAAATTTGAAATTGACGGTCAGCAGAAACGAAAGTCGAAGGCTCGGGAAACACGGACAACTACAATGGGAGATTGAAATTTCATGGAACCGTCGATCGGAAGCCCGCCAGTGTGAGAGTCCCCCGTTCACCTTCGCCGAAGATGATCATGATGATTACAATCACGGAAACTCTGGGAACTCCGTCAAAATGGGACTCCTCACAAATCGAAAGGCGCACCTGCGCTACCATGAACTTGAAAATGACGAGAGGATATTCCAGGTACGGGGCGGAATGCGGAAAAATAAAACCTCTGAGACGAGGTCTGGCGGACGAAAAAATGAAGAAAAGCGTTGCGGGATCAGAAAGGTGCGAGAAAAAGTGAAAGATAGGCTGCTCGGAGTTTCGGCGCGGCGTCGGTCGACGCTTGCTTCCGCACGTGATTTTTGAACACTTTGAAAAGCTCGAATCAATGAAAGCCGACCGATGGGCTGCGATTCTTCTGAAGATGCGAACACCGCCGGAATGGACCAGATCCGTGTTGTTCGGAAGAATTGAGGCGCGAACCGTCACGAGCACGACCCGGACCGTTTCTGCGCGGTTTCTTCGGGTCCAAAGTCTGGCGAAAGATACATAGCCCGCGGAGGACTCGGTCAGCGCCTCGAGGAATCCTTAGTTCAGCTCACTGAGTTCACCGTACGGATAGCTGACACATCGTCACACATTGTAGCACGCTCTGCATCTGAGCGATGGCCGTTTGAATTCCTCTGATGCTCCGACGCGCGATGTCGTATCAGAGGTCGCTCAAGGGAACGTTCCGCGTAAAGGCTTCTCAGAGCGATTCCGGACGCCTCCCTCGTGAAGCCTTAACCACGAGCGATTGTGGGATCCGCGGCCGCGATGAGGTCGGGCATTTTGAGCGAAGCGAGCTCGTATCCGATTGGGACCAGTAACATCCACAGCCCTCGCTCGAAGTTTTCGTCATCTCTTTTTCAAATGTTCTGGAACTTCTTCATGGAACCCAGGAGAGATGAGGGCATTGCTGGAGGACTGCTACCCGTCAAGAGATAATACAACAATAGAGAACGAGTTCCGGAGGAAGGTGCTTGGAAAAGAAATGACGAGTCGCCGCGTCGAACTCTTATCTCTATCGGAAGGATTCGACGACTCTCGTCGCGCGATCCCCTCTTCTTTGTTGCTTCTCGGATCAGAGTAAAAAATCCCAAAACTGTGTTCTCTGACATCTCTCCGATTTTGTCCGGACCTCCACATTATCCACATGATTCGACACAAAATACTAATTTGTGGAACGACGTTTCGCGTAGCTTCGAATCAGCTCCGGAATCCGTTATACGGATCAATCATTCCAGTCTGGATTCTGATGACGGAGGAAGCGTGGAGACAGGTTGTCGCCTGAATACAACCCTCGATTCCCGAAACACGTCAAGATTGACAACAAGTTCGAGGACGCGCTCGAACGTCATAAAAAGAATTCTTAGATGTTCCTAATATACGAAAAAAGCCCTCGTAACGAGGGAGGGATCGCGTGGGAGATCAAAAGGTTGACTTGTTCAAAATATTTCGTCGAATCCAAGCGTGGAGGAACGAGCGTACGACCGCGAGAACCGCTGACCGAGGATATCAACGAGGCGTCCAGGGATGCTCCTAGAGGGAATCTTTCCCTTCGGCCGGTGTACTCACTTGAAACGCTTCGATTAAATCCAAAAGGCACTGTTCGGTTGATTCACTTCCGAATCTTGAATTTGAATCTCTGAAAGGTTTGGCACTCGGAGTTCTCACACGGCTTCAGTTGGTGTTGTTGTGACACTTGAGAAGAGCGGCACGCTCTCGCTGCAACCAGTAGTCGCACACGTTTTCCTGAGTTCCACGCACTTAAGCTCTGGCGCTTGATTCCTCAATGGCCACCTGATTGACCGAGGGAGGGTGTTCCCTGTGTCCGAGTTTCGCTCGGATTCTCAGTTCTGCCAATTTTCTACCCTCGATCGGTCGTCGTCGATACGTCGGTCGTTTGGGTTCGCGGGCTCATTCGATGGTGGTCCGTTCCATTCTATTCCATTTTATTTATCTATACAGGCAAGTGACAAATGCTGCTTTCGGAAAGGGTCGGAAAACGCTCCTTAGAATGATGCGTGCTCTCCACATTTGCGGTGAGAGGCCTGGCCGTGACGCTGCTCCAGCAGCGCATTTCCAGCGCGCTTCGTCTTTCTGTTCTTCCGTCTGGCGACTGATTCGAGACGACAAGTCTGAAGTGATCGTCAATTCTGACCGCGAGCGCTGGGTGCTACGACTTCTGCCCTCATTGGACTGGTCAGACTTTCCAGCAGTTTTCTGTTCTCCTGAGTGCGATCATACACTCACACATGCTCACAAAAACGGAGGATACAACTGGCAGCGGCTGGCAAAATCAGCGGCGGTCCCGGAATCGAGACACCACGGGCATCATCACTGTGCTGTTGCGGAACTCAGCCTCATTTCCCAGATACGCGAGCCGGATGGCTCGGTACTGGGATCTCTGCTTTTTCCTCTCTCACCCCTCTATTCTCATCGCGACTCTCGCCGGCTCTGGGTTCAGACTTTCTGAGAGAACACCCTCGATGGAGCAAGAAAGCATTTGACGGGAGGCCGAGCTCCTCGGTGGATGCGGGTCAATATTCAAAGATGACAAAAGGAGTGATGTGAACGCTGACATAAGGCCCCCGATGGGGAGCGGGAGCTATCCGCAGATATTTCCAGGAATCGGAAGGAGCATTCCATCTTCTACGGGCGCTTCTGTCCCGGGGAAGGGAGGGGAGCGGGGTCGACGGGAGGGAACCAGTGATACATCTTGGAGGTATTGCGCATTCCTCGTCGCCGCGGAGAGCTCGAGCCAAGGATCTCAAGATTTCGAAACCAGTTCAATGGATGATCAACGCTCCTCTGAAAGAGTTGAGCCAAGAACGCGTAGCCTTCACGTCAAGACAGAAGTCGGAACCCAGAGGCTCGTCGCGACCGCCAATGAGACAATGGCTCAAGTATGCCTCGACCAAGAACAAGAATAATAGTTACAATTATTTCTATTGCATAATGCGATCCGCCGCCGCGTCGCATCCTCGAGTTTCCGCGCTACCATCTCTGATCCCAGCTTGCTCACGTGCGTGATCAGTGCTTCATCGAAGCACAGCAGCACTTACAATGTCTTACAGCATTGGTCAAGTCATGGATAGAGGCAGCTACCATATTCGTACGCTTTTCGGAAAAGAAGGGTGGGCAGTTGGAATCGCTGAACGGGGAATTCGAATTCATTGATCGCGGCTCGTTGGAACTTCTCCCCAGCCTGGTTCAGTCTGCCCCTCTGGGATGGACAGTCTGAAGAGCATTTCCTCAGCAGGGATTCATTCTCGTCGTACGTTGTATTTCTCCTATTCACCACTAGTCTGGGATAGCTGCCAAACTATGCGAGGTGTACTGCCGCTCCAAAATTGCTCCCCCGCTCTCGTCCCGAATCTGTCTTCATGGATATTCATATCGGAGGCATTATTATCCGCGGAGGAAATTTGAATGAGGTCGGTACAATGCGATTCTGATCCTTGGCCCGATGTTCATTTTGAATCGCGGATAGGCATGACCATGTTGCTATAATCGAGTCGAGTCCGATCATGCAATTCACTCCCTGACATCATCCGTTGAATTAGGTGTAGATGCTCGTTCTCGTCCTGCCATTCGCTGTTACAATAATGAGAAGCAAGCGTAGACTCGGACCTAAGTACCCACCTATGAACAAACTTCACTTATTCTGCCGGTCGATGGACGAAGACTGCCAGCGCCTTACTTCTACACAGAGTGTACTGTTCTCTGAAGCACAACCCTGTGCTTTCAAGAAGCGAGGGCGCGGAAGTCGAGATCGAGTGAGGGCTCATCGGGGTCAGCGGGCACGCTGGGGCAGAATTCTCGCTGTCGGGGTCCTTTCTCTCCTGGGATGAACGAGAAAGACCTGAAATCTTGAACTTTTACGGATCGACTCGTCCATGTTTCGGAAGAGTTACCTACTTGTGCTCGAATCTCCAAACAACCGGTGTTGGGAAATCGCCATTCCTGTGGCTGTTTTCACATATCTTAAGCTTCGGGTGACTTACCCGATGAATAATGTAATTCAAGGGTTATGGATAGTTTCACGACTTTCCTCGATGCTCGCATGATATTTTTATTAGCCATCAAAATATTAATTTCCTTTCGCTTATCAGAGAATATCCTGAATATACCATTAATAAGATCATTTTATGGGCTCGTGAAAAAAATCTAGTGCAGAGGTCGGCTTGAGAATGATCCACGCTCGAGGGAACTTGATGATTGCGAGGAAGGACGCTCAGCTCAGTTGAGTAGGTAGGTATTCGTGCGACAGACTTTCTGAATAATGTCATTCATCTTCTCCGAGCGCCGAGCTCGGTTTTTCATCCCGGGGAATCAAATCTCGCCGGCTCAGAAGAAGTAGGGCCGTCGCTCTATTGCAGGTCGAGGATATCGTGCTGGTCCCAAGAGCGATTCAACGAGGCATAAGGTTTTCAGACAACCCGACGGAGGAAGAGTTTTTTACCTCGCGCTTCCCCGAAACTCCGACAATCGACCGAAGCTGTCTTGTCCAAACCTAGTCACGCATCCGGAATCATGCGTGACTTAGGTGGGAGAAGTCTTATTCTCCGTTCTAAGCTGTCATGTGAGATGTTCTGCGCGATTCGGCCCGCGAGATCTTGTCTCGTGCCCTGCCTAATCCGATCCGATCTCCTCCAGAAAATCCTTTTCCTAGACTGAGCTATTGGCTGAGTGAGTGAGCTGAAACGCTCGAACTTCGCTCCGATGTCACATTCAAACACGGATACATTTTGCGACCGAGTCCAGGTCCCTGCTAGGACCTCCCGAGTCGTGAAATCGGCTATCGGCAGAGCGGAATGGGACGGTGACGGGTGTTGCACCACAAGACTATGACAGCGGAGAAGTATTCAGTCTCGAAAACTCGGAACATGGATTCGGCGAGAATTCGGAATGAGTCCCAAGATTCCAGAGCTTATTCTCGGATGAAACTTCGGCCGCATGTAATTTCCGGACAAGGATTCGTTCCGCGAAAACTCCAAGTTGGTACAACCGTTCTGTGCGCTTAGAGAACTTATATGTCGCGGGAAAGTTCCCGTTCCTATCCATATGAGCAGCTGCAGACCATATGTGGAATCGTACGGGAGATTCCATGTGAATTCAACCTCGATCTTCGATCTGCCGATCTCCCTTCGAAGGATATCAGCAAGACCGGGGACGGACTCTCGCCTCCGAGCTTGGGGAGTCCTATCAGCCATCAATTTCTGCGGAGGCATCCAATGATGACTCCCGAAATTCGTAGCACGTTCTTCCGCACGAAAAAGCATTGAGAACTTTTTCGAAGTCGATCTTTTATGGCTCATCATAAAGTTCCCTTATCTTATCGAGGATGGTGAGCGCGGCGAAGGTCGTCTTTCGCTATTCTCGCCGCGAGGTCAACTAAGAGAATGTAAGTTCCGACCTTTGACCACCTCCGATAGCACATCCAGTGCTTCGCTCGTTGGCCGACATCGGATTTCAATATTCCCCTATTCCAGCTCTCGGACTTGAGCCTTTCTGCAAGGAGTCGATCCTCAGAAATTTCGGCGTCGCAGCTCCTCGGCAAGGGGTCTTCCAAGGAAGGGATTGAAAATCCGACGGAGCAGGTTCGATCTGTGGCCAGGTTAAGCAGATCCACTGTCTGCGCTTCCAGCAACGAACGATCGTTCATCGGAGTTTAATTTTCTCGGAGATATCCAGGTTCAAACGGAATGACCAATGGGCCGATCGGGTGACACAGAATGATCAAACGATTCCGCTCATGTAGACTGGAGAGTGAGCATCGAAACCACAGAGATCGGGGCTGTTTGACACTGAAGATATAGCTGCGGTGGATCTGAGAAAATATTGTTGGAATTACGTAAGACTAACGATTAGTATTTTCTAAGAAGTTTTCCTGTCCGCAATGGAAGAAAGACCATGGGATCTGTCGAACGTCGCATGTCGTGTTCGTGGTCTTGGAATCTACCTTGGCAGGTATAAGATACATGTCATTTGTTTGCGGTTCGACGGGAGCTCTCGAAAGCAACGCGTGGCAGACCTTGAGACGATCACATTTCCGAACTCGAATCATCGAGCAAATCTATGAGAAATTGATTCTCATGTTCTCACCTGATCCTCGACCTCGGAATGCAGCTGGGAGCTCCGACGTTGACCGCACGAAATCCTCCGGAGCGCAGTAGTTCCCCTCGGTACGCTCGACGTATCCTGCTGGGATTTCATGGAATTTTTCGAGCAACGGCGTCACTTGGGGTTGCACGTGGTTCCATCATCGGGTGAGCACTTATGCTACCGTGTCCTTCGAATTACAATGTGGCATCATTTTCCCGTCGGAGAGGTGCAAAAAGCCTCCCACGAATCCTGAATCTCGCTCGAAGGTTTTCTTCCACTCATGGGGGTGAGAGGGCTCTTGGCGGAAGACTGGGAGCTTGTTTTCATGGATTAGATCTGTTTACTGCGCGTTGCGTCCCTTACGAAGAGCTGCCATTGGACGGCAATCGATGATTCCCTGGGTAGACGACCGAATCTCCCCGGACGACCTGAGGACGGGACTCACGAGGAAGCGAGCTCACTCCCCGATCGGCACACTCAGATTCCACCATCGATTTCAACAGACTCAGAGGCTTCGATTCCAGATGTGCGGATTTCTTCGCGAGGGAAGCAGCAATACTTCTCCAGCGAATCGGCTCGTGGTCAGACGAGCCGACCTGATGCGGTGATTCCGGGACAATTTAACTAGATTTTGCTTTGAATCGTTTACTGAATGCTACCGCTTCTGATCCGGTCCGACGACGACTCGTGGGTTAGATTTAACTCCTGATTCTCCTAGCTCAGTTTCATGGAGGCCCTCTGCCGATTCGCCTGAGCTCTCTTCCCGGCAGAGTCTCAATTCGGGTCGTTCATCACTGGGTCTTGAAACTTGAGTCGCGTCCTGTACAGGGACTCGATCGCGTTACGTTTAGGCAGTTTCGCTCGAAGCCATGCATCTGCAGCTCTCGTCAACAACCTTGAGCACCATTGGTAAATTTTTAATTCCTCGTGGCCTTCGCTACGTCCTAGAGTCGAAAGAGGATCCCATCAGAGCTTAGTTTTCGTATCTGCGAAATATGGCTACTGGCCTTATTCATCCTGCTCAGCCGTGGAGTTGTCACCTTAAGACCCCCTGTGTTCGATTCCGCGCGGACAACGTCGAATGCTAATCAAGTCGTTCTCAACATTCGAGTCGAGGCAGCACCCGCTTTGCTCTCGCTCATCTGGAAGAGACGTTCGGAATCCCACAGCGCATTAGAATCTTAGATTCGGCGGGAGAATTGTCCCGAGGGCTCCGAGGAGTCAACCCTCAGCTCGACGGGGACTCTTGAAGGTCATTTTGAGGGTCTGGCTGATTCCGCCCCCATGAACGGTCTGGGAACATCCCGAAGGGAACCTCGAGAACCAAGCGCCACTTCAATTCGCCTAGCATCGAATGAAATCTCTATTGCAGCTATACACATTCCGGGACTTTACCCGAAGCCGGCCCCGCTGATTTTTCGATGGAAAAAAAAATTGGTGTAGGTAACAGTCATCTTATCTCTCAGTCAACCATCAGCTTCACAAAATAAGTTTATTCTTCTTCTATCACCTTATGTATAGAGCTATATACACCGGGTATTGCTATCGTGGGCACCAAGCTTTCCAATGAGGCGACGGAACTCCGCTCCGAAACTTTGCAAAGTCTTCTACACAGTTTCGGGCAGCTCTCCCGATCACTCATCCCAAATCTCACATAAGAGAGCTCACAAGCCTGGAAAGGGGCAAACGCACGATGAGTATAAAATTAATTTCATTCCTGCGTGACAGGAACGTCGTTTCATCGAGACGACGTGCAATTCTCAATGCCCATCCTAGCGACGCGGCGCGACGAAAAACTCACCCGTAGAGGTAGTAGAAAAATCCGAGCAGGTAAAATGCCATTTTCACCCATCCTTCTCTGACGGCTTGGTTGAGTATATTCGCGTTCAGTATTATGGTAGGATCGTATATGCCTGGACCACTCATGACGGGTCTGGAATAAGAAAGAACGAGATTCATAAATCTTATGAACGGAATGACGAGCCTCGATCCTTCGAGTGATTGCATGCAATTTCTAAGGGAATAGGAAATCCCGGAACTGGGATTTTGCGTCTTTACGGCCAGGCTGCCTCCATCCATCAATCAATCAATCGATCTCACCTGTTCATGTACTTCATTAAATGGAAGGCATCGAGCGGAAGATTTATCAACACCGTCAGGAACTCTCCCGCGAGTAGGAACAATACGGTGAAAACAGCGTGGATGACGTATTCGGGAAGAATCAGCTGCAACGTCAGATTAGTTTGTTCAGTCATTGGCTGCTCGACTCCTCTCCGCAATCGCCTATATCGATTCGAGATATTCTGAGAGATCCATTCTTCTATCTTCTCAATGACTCGGAACAGCGGTGCGGAGCGAGACATCTATGGAGCTACACTACACGTGGTTCGCGAGCAAGGGAGACTAAGGGTGAAGATATCGACTCCGATCGAGTATCGAGTGCATGCAATAGCGTCAGAGCCCTTCGTTCTGATGCGCTCCCATCTGAAAATCTATTTCGCGCGTCCAAGAGACCGGCTAAGGATTCGCGCACCATGATCGCTGATGGTTGGGTGCTACATTCAACCGCCGCTACGATAGAACCCGAAACGATCTCTCCAAAAACCAGGGAGCTTCCGCGACTAGTGAGGATACTCACTATTCAATGACTGTGAAGAGATCATCTTGGACTTATAGAGAAAATTGGTGTCTTTGTCTTATTTGGAAATCGTATCTGTGACATATCGCACCGATTGTCCACAGGCTAGATCACTAATCTAATCAAAGTGAAATCTTCGACTCACCACGTTGAGGGATCGACATTGCTCGATCGGGTTCTTGTAACTGCACTTCAATTCGTCGAACGCAATCACCTGCAAAGAAAACAAATTTTCGAGATCGAAGTCTCAATCGTCGTCAGAGAATTCCGTGAATCAATAGAGGAGTGCGATCTTCCTCGTTCCTCATTCGGTGACCTTCTATCACTGAATCCGATTGGCGAAATCGATGAAGCGCTTCTGGCTCGATGCAAAGAGCGTATCGCCCTCGGGCTCCACCTGCACTTCGCGTTTCAGTAACTAGCTCGCAGAAGGAAGACGCTCGGAAATCGAACCCCGATTGAGCTTGAGCCCCGATTCAGGGTCCCATTCATGAGTTCCCGAGATACATCTTCTATACTCACACTCGTGGCTCACGGGCGTTCAAGATTCCAATCCGGGATGAAACCTCGAATGGAGACGCCCACTCCAGATGGAGTTTTACCGACAGACGTCATTTCCCGCGTCTTCCGGTCAGTGGAAGCTCTCTTCGAGATTGTCACCGAACACGCTACAGAATGAAGTCGGCTCTTGAATCAGCATCTTGTTTCGAACATCCCCGCATATAATAAATATGTATAGGATCTTTATAGTCGTAATTTAATTGTCGGTGAGTCACAATCGGCGCGAACCAGAAGGAATCAGCAGCTCCGCGAGAACTTCCCCCCGCCCAGGTCCGTAGATCTCACTGGACATTCGACTTGATTTGGGGAGAACTCTAATCACTGTGGGTAGACTCTCAGGATTCGCGGCTCCGATCGAGGAACCACTTCCGAGCTGTAGAGACGACGTCAAAGTCGAATACTCGTCCCCGAGGCCTGGGCAAGGAGCTAGAGAGAACCGACGGAGATCGGCGAAAGATATAAGCAATTTCGAACTTACATGGAAGACTGCTACGAACATCAGGATGCCATTGAGTATCATCCCGAGCCCATAGCACACGGCTGCGAAAACCATTGCGCTCTCGGTGCTTATGCTCTCAGTCCTGAAGCGAAGCCGGAGCGATCTCGTGGAGTCCTGTCACCGGTCGTGGACGATCGGAAGACAACGCAAGTTCCCGGTCACTTTCTTCTCATTAATGAATGCAACGACCACAACTCCTTCGCGAAACGTTCGGCCGAAAGGCTACGACTTGAATCTTCTCCTCGGAGATCCTCTATCCCAAGCTCTAGCCTGAGAAACTCCTCAATCGCGACCAGAGAGTCTATGGTCGTCGGTGCGGGACTATGAGCTGCGCAGTGCTCACCGCTGGTTTCTGCTTTTGTTGTTTATCCTCGAGCGTCAGCGGCGCCTACGATTGCGTGTTCGTCTGCTATCGTGTTCCTACAGCACACAACGCCAAAGAAGGAAAGGGCGTGCCAATCTCACTGAGGGCAGCCGCGCACCTTGAGAGTTGGTCCTCGCCGTTTCAAGCTTTCGAGTCTTTCGGGAAAGGTCAATCTTTGGACTTCTGGTAACCAGCGAGACCTTATATTCATCGTGAACTGACCCCCCCCCTCTTCACGATCTTCATGACCTTTATTCCTATCGTCGGGGGTCCAGTCACGGTCCAGCTTTCAGCGGAATTCTCGGGCCCAACTCGATGAGCTACCTATGATTCATCTACCTTGATTCTCCTGTGAGAGGAGAATCTCTCGACGCCTGTCCAACCTGTGCGATGATGGGAGGGAGGCAGAAGGGAATGCAATTCCAGGTCCTCATCACATAGACTTCCGCCCTTCGTGTCGTGATCTCCACGGGGCTGAGGATCGAAAAGAGACCAATGAGACGCGGACTCTCGCTCATTACTCATTATTAACAACTGGCAAGGAGGGCGCGTCGCGCCCCACGTTCCAGAGGAGCTGTGATGACATCATAGTGAGAAGGCTGTTCATCTGCCATTAAATCACGATAACTGGAGAAATGCATGAATCTTGCATTTGAGCAGCCCGAAAATTATATCTCGAACTCTTTGAGGTGATTTGGCATCGATTGAAGAAAAAATTGAAGCCTGTTCGGAGGACGTAAGCGCTAAAAATCGGTTCGGTGACAGCCAGGCAGCCAGACAGACGTTGTAGTTTTATCCTACAGGGGCAGGGGGATAAACTCCGAGAATTCGCTGGAATCTCCATCCCAGATGGATCTGGGGTCCCGGCAATAAGAGCAAGCCGTCGATACGTTCGCTCGGCACCGAGAAGGATCAAATGAATGGATTTTCGGTCTCAATCATGGATCTCGATGGATGCGAAGCCATAGACGGCTTCGTCTGTCGGAGATCTGCGCAACCGTGACGTCGAGCGAAGACATCAATCAATTCAAACGATTGATGGAACGTTATTTCAACCTGGAGGCCCAGATGTACGTGACGACTGAACTCCAAATATACTTCTCCTATGGATTTCTGAAAACTTGGATTTGGAAGGATCTGCTGCGTGGTGACGGGTGACTTAATCATATCCTCACTAGTCTCCGAGGAGCTGCCTTTCAGAGGGAGGGAGTAGAAAAATCATTCGAATTGGAAAGCCATAGGGGTTATCTATCGCACATTTTTTTTGAAACCTCATAGTTCCCTATCGGGCACCGAAGGAAGACACAAATTTTCCTGCTATGTAGATCATATTCATTCAGATTTTGAGCACAAGAACTTCAACGCGCTGAAGGAGCTCAGCGGACCCGTATATTCAATCAGAAAACGTTCAACGGGACTCCAATATTCCACAAGACAACATGTGAGCAATTAGTGGAGTCGACTCTCAACTAGATATGAGATTACTAGTGATTACAGAGAGTTTGAGCTCACGATCAAAAGGACCTGAGCTCGGGAAGTCGAAGATGGAACCACGTTGACAAGATCTTATTCCGGGAAGTTCTTGAGGAATGCAACGTTGTCTTCTCCGGAACATCGAGAGTTGAGAGATGAATCTATTGACTTCCTCTTAACTGCAAACTTTTCTTAGTAGTCGCTTCGATGGCGTCCATGAACAGAGCACGTACGGCGCCTTTCTCCAGCACGTGGATCCCACAGATGGTGGTGCCGCCAGGAGAGGCGACCGCATCCTTGAGTTGTCCTGGATGGTAACCCGTGTGTGTGACCATCCTAGCGGAGCCTTCGACCGTGGCGGCTGCGAGTTCGATGGCGAGATCCCTCGGAAGACCCATTTTGACAGCACCGTCCGAAAGCGCTTCGATCACCATGTAAAGGAAGGCGGGCCCGCTACCCGAGAGCGCGCAAATCGCATCGAGCTGCGATTCGGGGACCGTCTTCACAACTAAGCAGCTCGGCTTCAGCAATTCGAGCGCTAGTTGTGTGTCCTGAACTGGCACGCCTGCGCCTGGGGATATACAGCAGACTCCTCTCGAGACCATCATCGGCGTATTCGGAGCGCAACGGATCAGTTTCGGAGGCGGATCCTCCTTCATCATACGGGAGAGTCGCTCGAGCGGTATACCGGCCAACACGCTAATTATGAGTTTGTTCTGCCAACTGGTCACTTCCCGAATCACCAACTCGCACTGAGACGGTTTCACGCAGAGGAACACGACTTGGCACTGGGACACAATGTCGTTGTTGTTGTGGGTGGTTCGACACTTGAGTTTTTGGAAAAACGCGAGATTCCGATCCGTTGGAGCCGATATGAAGATCCTGTCGCCGGGGTAACTGTCGAGCAGGCCTTTGACGATCGCCTTGGCCATGTTGCCCGCCCCGATGAATCCTATGTTCATGTTCTCGTCTCGGGACCTGCGTGAAAATTATTTTCTGAAATGATTCGATACTGGAGCCTCATATTCACGAGAGCGGGGGCCTTAGCTATTGAGAGCTCCGAGAAGGTCAAAACCTTAATTCGAGTCCGAGCAACTCCAAGAACTTCACTCTGACACTTACTTGAACATTTGAACGATAATGATTCTCCGACAAGATTATAGAAAAATCAGGAGTGAGTGTCGCTCTCAGTTTGACAGGATGCATACGGGAGGAGGGTTTCCAGAGAAGCCTCAATGGCAGCCCCTCCCGGTGCCCTCAGGTGAGCTACGGTCGGTGTTGGCATATCACTCTATCGAAGAGGACGCTGTCATCCTCCCGACAATGGCGAGCCTTCCGGCGGAGATCTGAGTACCGCGACGCAGACGCCGGCCGTGATATACGGTGTCGTGCCGGACAGGGAGGCAAGTCTCTATGCGCGATCAAGCCGCTCCCTTGGCACGACCCCGTTGGCGCGCGCTCATAGATTGGCACGAGAGTTCCACGCAGCTTGGAATCTGCGCCCCTTCAAAGAGGGCAATTACTGATTCTCCCCCAGCCATCTGATCCTATCTGGTTCATCGAATCACCAGATGATTTTCAGAGCCGATACTCGACAAAACGATTACTTGACAACAATAATGCATAATCCAGTTACTATATATATTCGCCCCGATCGACCAACTGAAGTCGGGAGGGGAGCATCCGCTCAAGTCGCGGCCGGGAGCTCAAAACACCCTCACGAGAACCCTTGGAGGAAGAGCGGTGCACGTGAATCTGTTCATCATTTCTCCGGCCTACCTCTCCACAAATTGACAGATATGAGCGGGAAGAGAGCGATCCTCACTCAGTCTCCTATTCGACTCTAGCCTGCGCTCAAATCAGGTAGCATCCGTCCGAGGAGGCGACTGTGTATGAAAGCTCCACCTCTTAATATTCTCCGTCCTCCTGGTTCCTGTCGTGGTCTCGCCTTGAAATGGGTCACCTCGACCTGCCGTGAGTCGGGAGCTACCGAAAAAGAATCACTCCTCTCGGATTTCATGGAGCTCCGTGACCTCTTTCGAATTTCGAACATGCTCAAGACCCAATTCAGATTGGGAGCTCAGAATTCTTAGAGAAAACGTCGATTCGGGATCGCCGCTTTAGAGCAACCGCTCAGGATAAAGTCTTCTCCCTTCTCCAAAGCACGGGGAAGGACATCGGGGAGCGGCGAATAAAATGATCTTTCCCTGTCAGGAGAGGGGGAAGAGCTCCTCACGTGGATACGGGGCTCATCCAGACACACGAACCTCCGGAAAAATTCTGACCCGAAAGAATCGTCCACACGTTCCAGATCGTGGGAAGTTGAACCGAGAATGCCGATGGATGGATTAGGAATCCCCCTCCGTCAAGGGGGGGTGAGAATGAGCTTACTTGTTCGAGGGTTCGGTTTCAGATTTCTGCCCAGTCTCACCCTCCATCTCTAATTTAGGGTCTTTCGCAGGAGTCGGAGACTGGAGCTTCTTATCCATAGTGGATCATAGAACGACGATGCGTATCCAGGTAGCAGACGGAAAATACATAGACCTGAACGCGTGAGGAGGAAATCGCGAGGAGGAGAACTCTCCGGAACGCTCGCCTTCCATGCCACGACCCGAAATGACGTCCTCAAATTCGGAGCGCGAGGACTAAGGATAAACTGAGCAATCATTGGCTTGATCGAGATTATCGAGACCTTGATCGAGCCCTCAATGGGAAAAGATGGGAAGAGTGTCTTTATGATGAATTCAGGATGATGGTACGGTAAGTGGGGTCACGATGATGATCCCCGTCGATGAGCGCGGGCCCACAGAATCGGTTAGAGGGATATTCGGCTCATTGGATGAATGATGCGACTAAAGACTAGAGCAAGAAGAAAGAGCAGGGAGATGATAAGCGACGCGGTAGCTATCTATCCGTCTCGGCTCGATCTGATCCTCCATGCACTAAATGCTGGAGGATGTCTCGCGGTTCGCACTCGGGGGAGATCATGGCGTCAAGCTTTTTGTGGAGCGTTGCGACGCAGCATAAGGATACGACGAATCAGGCGATTCGGAGGCTAGCTTCTTAGAAGAGCCCTTCATCCGGACTGGGAAAAGGTTGTGAGAATCGGTTGTGAGCCTCTCCCCCACGGGTCGGCTAGCGCTTCGGTCGTCGCATTCTTCGCGGTGACCATTGACTTCCGCAGCTCTTCCTCACACGGGGGATTCGTCGTCGGAGCTTTCCTCCAATATCCGCTGGGAAAGCTTGTTTTCTCGCAATCCGGAATAACGTTCGTATCTCACACAACACACAACCTCCAAGCCTTCAACTGCCCTGTACGAATAATACTTCCGCAGAATGCGCAACTCAATATGTATTCCAATCCAGGTAGCTGTCAACATGATGGCTTGTTCGCAGGGAGACTCGTGAATTCGGTGGGCGCATAGTCGGGATACGTATCGGTAAGCTGGAATTTCAGCTCACTGGGAGATCCGCGCGACCTATTTCTGCTCGTAAGCAACGACGAAGCTCCGTCGAACTTTGCGCGCGAAATCTCACCCGGGAAAGATTCTCGAGAGAGCGACATCCGAACCCTGATGTGTGAGCGTGTATGTCGACTACTCAGTTAGAGATCAGCTTTTGACCCCTCATAATCAGTCGAAATGTGCGAGTCATTTTCCGATAACGAATCGGTTCTTACCGAGAAATCCGGATTCCGACCAACTTTGAAGTACCTTTTAACCGGTTGGCGAATGAGGGCATCTCTCAGCACGTTTCCTTTCAATCATAGTCAAGACCGCAAATTGTGCAGAATGGTCTTCGCCGAATGGAAGGCCAAAAACTATCTCACAACGGAGCAATTCCAAATCGCCGCTTACAGGTAAGATACCCCAAGTTCAAGCCCGAATGGTTGTCATGTCGGGCTGATCGCAATGTTTCAGCCTATGGGCCCACTCGACGTGGGCTGAAAAACTCGATTTGAATACATCTTCCTCAGTTTCGCGATAGCGAACGACATCAAAGTTCTCCGAGTTTGGGAAAAGTGTGGTCGAGCGTCAAACCATTGGTTGAAGAATTTTCTGACGCGGCACCCAGAGGTCAGGGACATGCTGATTGGAAAACGGGGAGCTCCACCGAAAAGGAAATCCGACGGTTGTGAAGAAGATTTATTGGACGAAAGCCCTTCCGAGTACTCCGACGACGATGACGATGACGACGACGACGACAACGACGATTCTCTCGACGAGGATGAAGACTCGGACTCGGAGCTCGACGGAAGCGATGCATGAGGTTTTTAGGGGGACGCGATATCAGCTGATCTTTGCGAGTCCGCAAGTCGGCTTGGTGGAGAACTTTGCGTCGAATGTTTGTGCGATTTTAATCCCTGAGCCGCGAGTACCGCTCAGCAGTTCATGGGACTTTTCTCGACTCATCGAGTCTGAGCGAGCGAGAGGGAGCGAATTGTATATCCTCAATGGTGGCTTTGCGCGAACATTTGTCTGGCCGCAGCCCAAACAATGAATGGTCCATTTCACGTTCCGAAAACTGGTTAGAGGAAGAATCGCACCCGAGGAGAAGCCCAAGATAATTTCATGGAATAGGTATTGTTTCTCAGAGATCGAGAATAATCGGGGGATCTCCCAAAAAGGTCTGGGAGAACCAACGACATCAATAAATCTCAATCGATTCAGTCGGTGTCATTGTTCTCAACTCGCGCTCGAGCTCCACTTCTGAAGCTCTCAGGAGACTACAACATATTCCAAGAGCCTCTGTAAACCGAGGTAGCATTATACGATCATGGTACGAGTCCACAGAAGAAAAAATCATGAGTACGGTCAGGGACCATCAGGAAGATTTATGCTTCAGAAATATTGATGGATCATCCATTCTCTTCCATAGAAGCGGTGTCAGCGTCATCCATCGCCTCATCGTCCAGCGTCATGTCGTCAAGCATCTCTTGGAGGCTAATGTGGGGCGCATCGCCGGCTTCGCTCTCCACAGCGATTTTCTCGCTATCCTTGTATATGTTAACATTCTGTCTGAGCGCGGGATCCTCTTCGAGGTCTTCACAGAACTCGTTGAAATCCCTCCCAACAGAAGAACTGTCGTCCAGATCCAAGTTCATTCGCTTCAGTCTCCATCGACGTCTTTGGGCCCTATCGGCCTTGCTTCCCCAGTACTTCCTGATGAGGACGACTTCGGGAACCTGCGAGCGCGGGGGAGATATTTTATTTGATGTTCGTAGTCGGGACCGAATCGAATTAAAGTTTGAATTCCCGAGCCAAAGATTACCTTATCGCTCGGCAGTTTGTTCAGGTTTGGATCGTTGAGATTGGCGTTGGCCAAATCGAAGCCCAAAACGGAGTCACCTTCGCGGAGATAATGACCCAGATGAGTTTTACAATGGATGTAGTTCTCGTGCGTTCCCAATTCGCTCGCGCGTATCACGAAAACGTTCGCTAATACGTGACGGTCAGACAGTTTCCCTTGACCGGCAAACGTGACCTGGCGGGGACGAAGAGTCGATGATCATTTTAGGATATTGATCAATAGGATAATTCCAAAAGTATCCATGGCATACTGTAGCCGGAAGTCTCTGCCCACCATTTGACTCTCGCCGATTCTTTCGATCTCCATGACGATGTACTCGACCAAATGCTTCGGCGCAAAAAGTCCCCGGAAAGGTGTTTTCCAATAAAGATGCGACGGGATCTCGGCCAACTGCGGATTCGAGAACTTTAAGAGTGAGTTCACTCCGATGCATATTCGACACGGATAACTTAGACCCGGCCTGAGACCATGACTAATGCACCCCGACGGCTATCTTCACCTGTAGAGTCGCAGGATCGATCACATGGACCGAGGCGGTCACCCGGAGACAGATGCAGATTTGCCCGATGCTCCCTGTTGAAGAAAACAAGCGTCTCTCAAGCAGACTAGTTCCAGACGTTCCTCGATCGCTCTTTCCGTTCTCATCGCTCTGCCCCCGAATCATCCCAAGTATACGATTCCTGAAGTGGTCTTACCCAAATGTCTCGCGAGTACGGTCGGCAAGCACACGACGTCGCCTTTACACACCGGCGCAATTTCAACGGAGAACGTCGTTTTGTAATTGAAGTTATTCGAGTGAATATCGTGCGATATCAATTGTTGCGATTCGACGGACTTAATCGGCACCATCGTCTGCCAATGAAAAGGATTGAAAGTCAGGAAATTCCTTGGTCGACGATATACTGCCCACGATCGTATAACAGGCACTTCAAGCACCACAGTTGAGAGCCGAAAGAGACTCCGTCTCAGAGTTTAGGAACGAACCTGGAAGAATTGCACCAGTTTCCTCGCTTCATCCTTCTTCGTGAAGAAGAAATCGATTCCCTCGTGAACCATCTTGATATTTATGGCGTCTTTGTGGGCATCGTACTTCAGGATCAACTGTTCCATGTAGAACAACGTCTTCTTGTGATCGACCTGTGACGAAATGTAGAGTCAAGCGCATCTTGACGCAAATCAGGATCATCTGCACGCAATCCTCAGGGTTCCCACAGCGCTACTGACCTTCTGTCGGCACTGGACAACCGCGCGCCAGAAATCCTTGGCTTCTCTGCGATGACACTGGTCACACATCAGACCGTTCACTGTAAACTCCACGATGAAAGCCTGCAATCAAACGAGCCGGTGTTGAGGATGCGGGTGCCCTTGCCAATTGTGCGATTCGTTCATCGTGCATTATGGACTATCGAACATTATGTTCACTGATTCGAGACCCTGCTCGCAAGATTTCCGATCTCCACCGGACATCGCTAACCTGTTCGATTATCGCTCCACCCATCACTTCCTTCTGAATGGTCAGCTTGACTTTGACTCGCTTCGAATGGGGTTCTGTCCATATAAAGCCGGCGTCGATCAATCGCACCTGACGGAGAAGAGTTGTCTGAGTAATTTATCCGCTCCGATACCGACGATTCTCTTTGTCATGCTTAGCCCCGCGCTGTCTCTCGTCCGGGGTCGGCCCACCTTGTTCAATCCTTTGATTCTCTTGAGACATATCGCGAGAAGTTCTCTCGACTCCAAGGACGCCACCACCCACTGCGCCGGGGGTTGTAGATACCGTTCACAGCCTTTGCAAAACTGGAGAACCCCTGCAAGCAGAATGGAACCCTAGCAGCATGGAACGGCGAGGAGTTTTTGGGAATGTCCTGATACATCCGATGCCATGTACCCACCTTGCTTGGGAATACTTTCCGTGATGTCGACTTCTCTGCTAAGGCAGTCGACGCACATATTAGCCGGGTTCGGGGCAATCGGAATCCCACATCTGCAGCAGAGAATGCGGCCCGTTGTCGGGACTGCCTCCCCGTCTATGTACTCCATCTGGGGGAAAGCCTGAATTGAGAAATTCGAAGAGGATGCCACCGAAATTAAGCCGAAGATATTCTAGTACAGTGTTCTCCGTCCCCGATCATACGGGAGTCGCCGCCCGACGATCTAACTCCCAGAAGGTCGGGACCTGAGCATGAGAATCTCAGACCGAAACCCAACTCATTGTCTCTATCTCCCGCATGGGGCTGCCGAACCAAGACTGTGGTTTGCTTGTCAATGGAACATCCCCGCTGGCCTCGAAGCGGAAACCGCTCATCTATTCGAAAGGCTCGAATTCTCTCAAGCGCGTTATACTCGAGACTTGCTCACCGTTGAGGAGGGAACAACGTCTTGAGCTGTCGTCAATTCTCTGTTGAAATTAGTAGGATATCAGCGCAGCTCAAGTAAAACGAGACGGATCGGTCGATCGAGCACGTGCGATACACCACTGGAAGATGTTGGCGTGTCTGAGACCGCCAAAACAAGGGTCGATCCCCTCCTTTCGGTAATCACGTTCCTCAACAAGTCGAATCGAGACGGTCCGAGAACCGTGGAGTATACCGTCAAGCAGAATGGGAGGATTATGGAATTCCGCAGAGGCAGAGAGTCTCGGCAGAGGCAATTCCCGATCCAGTGTTCCCGCTAAGTCAGCGGCGAAAATCTGATCAGATGTTGTCGGAGCCCAGTACCGCCGCGCCGATACCTTCTCCGCGAGCTGATCGTCAGGACTCTGGATTCGCGCATTGCATACGATTTCTGTGATCTCGCGGTCTCTCTCACACTTCTCAAACAAGTTGGAAGTGTCTTCCAGAATCCCTCCGAAACTGCTCCAGAATCGGAAGAAACGTTCTCATAGTGTAATGCCTCTAACCATACAGAAGACGGTCATCCTCGGTCTGTACAAACGACTGGCTCGCTACGGACAGAAGCTCGCGTTCACAGACAGAGATTTCTTCCAGAGAGAGATCCGGAAGAAGTTCGAGAAGCCCCGTGCCTCGCCGGCCGACATCGATCTCGCCGTGAGGAAAGGTCGGGAGCTTCTGGAAACGAGACGTTTAGTTTAGATGAGCCCATGGTCTTCGCGAAAACCTGAAGTCGACGGCTCACGCGCTGGAACGCATCGGTGTTCCATCTGGAAATTGCGTGCCCGGCACAGTTGGACGCTCTTCTCCGGAGAGGAGTCGAATTTGCTATCGACGCAGAAGATGATGCTTCGGAATGGCTCAACCAGAGCTCGGACCCCGGGGTCGGGAATTCAATAAAGGGGTCGGGTGGAAAATGTTGTCTCTTCAGAATCAGCCACATATCATCCGGTCTACAGCAGGTGGGACTTCAGAGTGCACAGTTAAGGAACGATTCTTCGGCGATTCTCAGATGTGTGCGCTAATTTCTCCGTTTCCCCTCCGATGCGGATGCCGATTGAGACGCTCGGATATCAACAACGATAATAAACATTGAGCGGGTGCCCCCCGTACCCGCAGCTAAGCTCGGAGGGAGCCTGAGAACAGATTTGAGTCGTTTCTCTCAGTGACCTGTTTATTTCCCGTCGGAGGCTCATGTGACACAATCTCTGACACTGGGCTGGGTGAGGCATGAATGGGTGCAATTCTTTGAAACTGATCTCACTAAACAGCAGAGTTGAGCTTCGAGGCCCTCAAGAATGAGAATCCTTGCCCGAACCAAGGATAGTATCTCTGTCACAATCGGACTTATCGGGGAGCAGACAAATAATACGAGGCCAAAGGCATAGAGAATCCGCCGATGTTTCTCTCAACATCCGGACATTTGTAGTCATCCGTCCCCATCCGAACAATGGCTTTAGCGGTGGTTGCGATGAATTTGTAGGATGTGGAATATTCTGAGAACCAAAGAATACTCAGGCAGGATCTGCTCCAGCGACAGTCTCCCTGGCAGCTTCAGGATGATTCGCCGGTTTTCTCCCTCGGATCTGGGACCTTCAAGTCTCTCACAAATCTCTGATGGTTCACACGAACTCCTCCAAGTAAACGGCAAGGCAAATGTTTCCACCAGTTGTGCGTGAGGATCTTGGCTCAGGTTCGCCCGTATATGAGATCATCGTTACTGTTTCTCTTCTTTGGTTGTCTCAGGGATATTCTCTTTTCCTTGGGGAGGGGCGGATTGCGTCGCGGTGGCGTTTGTCGGAGTGGACGACGAGTCCAGGCCAGTTTGAGCGGAGATGTCAGTCACATTCCTCTCAATATCTTCTATTCTATGAGACATGTCGTCGATGCGGCTGAGAATCTGTTCCGACATGTTCGCGAATTTGTCCTGCATCTGCTGCATCAGCTCCTGCACCTGCAAGTCGGAACGGATTTAGTGCTCTCGCTCTGGGGGGGTTCCGAGCTCGTTCTCATGATTTGCCGCTCGAGATATGATTTATTGTGAGATATCCGACCGACGCGCTCCTTCATGAGTTGCGAGCCCTGTATTCGATGCTTCAATGAACACGAGATCATTAGCGACCGAAGAGAGAACCGAAAAAAATCGAGAGATTCTAGAGAATGCAGGGCTCGGTCGAGTTTCGGATGGATTCGAAGCCGTCAGTGAGAGGGCAGGACTCCCCCGAGGTAATCCCTCTGACAGGGACCCTGAATGAGAAGCTCCGAAGCTTACCCGCTCTATACTCACGTATTGTGTGAGCGCCTCGAGGTCTCCGGGCTCGATAGGTCCATTCTGGCTCTGGTTGGAGGGACTAGTGTCTTTTTTCTCGAGAGTTACGCTTTTCCTCAACTCTTGCTGCTGTTGGTCCGCCATTTTGACAATCACAAATGAAGCAGCCGCCAAAGCAGCGGCGTTGAAGCAATCCTCCCCTAGAAGTGGCAGCGCGCAGAGACCAGTGCCCTCGGATTCACAATTTCACCTGTTGCGTCCTGTCAACGCCGAACGGATCGGTCGCTCGAGCTGTATCATATCCGACCGCGCAGCATAGATTAGCGGAGGAGCCTGCGGACATCAGGAGAACCAGGGGGAGCCGTTCCGGAGGGAGCTGCGTAGCCAAGCCTACGAAGCCGATTCCACATTCCATGCTGGGCTGTCATCATTATCGGATCTCCGCTATCGCCGCCCAAGCTAAGCTCCAAGGGAGGCAGTCGTCTGTCTCAATCATTGCGTTCCTTGGCGCGAGGAGCGCAAGCCCCGACGGCGTTTGAGTTCTCCGGAGCAATCGCGACACTGCCCCCCGGAAACTCGGACGACCCGTGTAGAGCGGGATAGAGATACTGATTGATGGATTATTCCACCATTCTGTAGGGATTCTCGAAAGTCTTTGATTAGGGGTAAATTGCAAGTGTCTAAACTTGCGGAGTGAGAAGAGCGGGTACCGAAATGAGGGAAGGAGGAGTGCTTCTGCCATCGCCGAGAATCCGCCGAGACGGCGGCATCCAGAGGAAGGGAATGATGACAGTGATCCCTTTCGCGGTGAAAATGAGTGAATGCACAGTCAGAGCATTCGGGAAGGAGTTCTGATTGAGCTGACAATTGAGGGCTCTGACCACTGAAAAGGAGCTTATAACTTTGGACTCGCAAGCCCAATCACGTGGAATGTGGACAGGACGCTCGCAGGAGCGGATGCCTCCAGGTCATGCAGGACCCAGAAACACAACGAGAATAATTTCCAAGACAGGGAATTTGATGGTATTTTCTATGGAACGATGATTCTGGTACCGCGCACATGATCACAAGAGCTTCCACAAACTGAGACTATGTACGCTCTGTACGCACGGTCGACCGCCCGCCCCAGAACTCTCCAAGTTTCCAAAACGAGCTTTTCCGGATCATAAGCCATGACCTCCGAGCATTGAATTTCCTGACGCATCATTGGGCGAAACGAAGCAGCGGAAGGCTTGCTCGTCGATTGTGAACCTCCGCTCGACTCAGGGCATAAACTCTGGCCGCCGCGACGAGAAGGACTTCTCCGCAGATTCTGATGATAGTTGACCCGGAAAAACCTGGAGCGGAACATCCATTCATAGCTCCCGCGATTCCGATGCGATAGAAAGGGAGACGCTTTTACGCGAAGATACCATGGCTGCCCGGAGCTTGAGCTCATTCCAGGGGAGCCAGGAGGGGTCTGGCCCATTCCGGAAATGTCCGCGATTCGATGCTACTATCTCCGGGCCGAGATAGTAGCTGCTGGCTCGTCTCCGCAAAGACGTATGATCTTCCTTGACGAAAGAGTTCATATCAATGCTCTTGCGAAAAAATGCTCTGCAACAAGAGGTTCCTCAGGTGAATTATCGAGCCCGACTTTCTGAATTGCATTCTGAAGTCGAGCTCCGAATCCGAGCGAGGGGACAAAAGAGTACCGACTAAGGACTGCACTGCCGTTTTGAATTCCAGAACATGCGTCGCTCGTAAAATTCAAGAATCTTGAGCCGAATACTCGCTGAACATCTTTTTGTAACCGATCCATGATTGCCTCAGCCGCTTACACGTCACGCGGTCCGGGGCTGCGGCTGAACCTCTGTAATTGCCTGCGTTACGCGGCGAAAACTCAGGCTCCTCTATAATGCTCGAATTTTCTTCGCGGAAGAAACCGATGTCACGGAAAAGACGGAGTGCCGTCTGCCGTGGCGAGTGATCTCGTCGCGGTGTGCTCCGAACTCGTCTCGGGAAGGAAGAACTCGGAGCGTTCAAATAAAAGACTCACCCATGAGATGCGGGAAAAAAATCCTCTCCGAAGTTTTCCTTGGATCTTGGAGGAGACAACTTCCCCTGCTCTGCTTTGTTGCGCGCAGAATATCTCAAGAGTTCGGATCCACACAAGAGGAAAATCTATGCATTCACTCACAGCGAAAGCGCTGACTTCACGGCCACGGGCGCTATCTTCTGTCGCGGAAAAAATCAGGCTTCGCCCACGACTGACTTGGACCGATTTTTTTGTAAGACTTCGAGTTTCTGGTATAAATTCTAGGATGACTGGAGAAGCGCCAGATGAAGATCGTGCGCATCATCGAACAACTACTCGTGAAGAGCTTTCTCAACAGGGGCGTGTAGCCGAGTTACGAACCCGAGCGAGCTTGCTGACTCCGGATTGCGTGATTCCGCTTTTAAATTCTGCCGGCGTCTCCAATTATTGTAAACTGTGACAAATTGTCGTGGACGTATACAGAGTTTCGTGGAGGAAGCTCTGCTCTACGAAATCGTGGGATGATTCCTCTAGTTCCGAAAGATGGGAATACCGCCATCAGGGCAGGGTCTGTCCACTGTCCAGTTGTGTTAAGCTTGATTATCCCTGCGATCTTCGACCCTCGCTACGATGTTATACCCGGACGATTTTCAGAATATTTGTTTTGCTCGTGGCTGTTACGAACACTCTTCAGACCGGATCATCCGACGAGGCCGCAGCGGAAAGTAAGTGTCGGTTCCGTGGTATCTTCGCAAACGAAACCCATGATGATTCGTCTTTGGTGTCGGACTCCCCAGCTGGTCAGGAGGATTTGAGACAATGTTCTGGATAAAAAATCCCTTGATAAACTGGGACCCATCCGTATTGTAGCTTCTCCAAATTTAGAATCCTCTTGAGCAGTTTGAATATCCCTCTATATTTCTGCAAAGTATCGCGTACATGAATCACGCTGCAACGTCGAGTCCCGCGTGAGATTATTCCTGACTCGCGCCTTGATTTTGCTCGGAATGTAGGAACATCAGCTTATTGGAGAGATGAAGCCCTCAAGGACCTGAAGTTGAAAATTTCGCGGATCCCGAATGAAGGGAAGGCTCGGAACGTTGTATTCTTCCTCGGAGACGGGATGGGAGTCGCGTCCGTGGCTGGGGGCAGCATCCTCAAGGCCGAACAGAGCGGAAGGACATATTCACGGAACACGAAGTTACAGATGGAGCGGTTGCCGTTCTCCGGCTTAGTCAAGGTTGGAAAGCTGACTTTTTTCCATCTACTCATTTTTCTCCGCAATCTCTTAATATTTCCTAGGAATTCAAGGAGTCATGTTCTCTCCCTACTAGACTCATTCAATCGACGGAATAACACCGGACTCCGCGGCAACGAGTACTGCGTATCTGTGCGGAGTCAAAACTAATAATGGAATGCTCGGTTTGCTCGGCTCTGTACCTCGGGGTGACTGCGCCGCTTCGCTCGAGCAGCAGAACCAGATCGATAGCGTGATAAAATGGGCTCAAGCAAACGACATGTGGACAGGCAAGATTTCCCTAAGAATCGTCCTGATTTCGCTCGAAAGTCACGGGTTCTTCCCCAAACACTCTGACTATAGAGTTCAGACTGTCGAATACTACTACTACTCGAATCCTCTGATTCAGGCATTGTCACCACGGATTCTGTCCTCGGTGCCTCGCCAGCAGGAGGTTACGCGCACTCCGCCGAAAGGAAATGGTACAGTTCCGTTCCGGAGGGCTGTGCCGCCAAAGACATCGCCGATCAACTTCTCTTCGGCTCGGTTGGCAGCAAAATGAAAGTCATACTCGGCGGCGGCCTGCAAGATTTTTTACCCCCGAGTTATCCAGCCGAAGGTGAAGAGAGAATTGAGAACTTGACCGCGCAGAATTCGACCGGTGTCAGGTGAGTTACGGTTGTTGAACATCTCAGTTCATTTATTATCTCCCGAATGTTTCTGCTCCAGTATTGAGGGTACTCTGACATCCTTGCTCAAATCTCTTCAGTATTCATGAACGAAAAAGAACATTTCCCGACCCTCCAGGAAAGACGAGAGGAACCTGATCCGAGAATACCTCGAAGCCAACGAAAAGTCCCGCTTCGTCTCTACACGCGAGCAGCTCCTGCAAGTTGATCCGGATTCGGTCGATCGGCTCTTGGGATTATTCTCGAAAGATGCTCTGACTTTTACTCTGGACAGGGACCCAGACTTCAACACTGAGCCCACAATCGAGGAGATGACTGAAATAGCCATACGGATCCTCTCGAATGCTCCTCACGGTTAGATTCCGTCTGCTATCGCAATGTGACCGTCGCGTCGGCGGAGGAGGTATCCCGGGGAGAACTGAGGCATAGCTCCCTCTTCCAGGATTCTTCTTGTTCGTGGAAGGCGGAAATATCGACACAGCTCATCATTCCAATAAGGCGAAACATTCTCTGGAGGAAGTAATTCAATTCGATAAAGCTATCGAATTGGTCGCAAACACCGTCAGCTTCGAGGACACGCTCGTTTTAGTCACCGCGGATCATTCTCATGGAGTGAGCATCAGCGGCTATTCTTCCCGAGCCCAATCGATTACAGGTATCTGTCTCTTTCTATCTCTATCTAATACCATACAATTCAATAGAGGTCGATCCAGCAGGACTGAAGAGGACTCCTTTGCAGGCGACTCCGACAGCATGGACCTTGAAAATAAGACCTACAGGATCATATCTTACCCAACTGGTCCTGGGGAAGATTATCCGTCGCTTGTGAAAATGACCTCCGGGGCTCACAGTGCCGAAGATGTACCAATATATGCCTCAGGTCCTTGGGCGCATCTATTCGAGGGTTCTATCGACAACACGCTGATCCCGAATATCATAGCGCACGCAGCCTGCATCGGGCCTTTTCAAGGCGGAAAGTGTTTAAGGAAGAAGGTAGAATGATGGGTGCCATCTCAGTGGAATACAAGGGTTTCAGAGTTCCGAAATACAACAATGTGAACAAAATCGATCTTGGGGTTCCATGGGGATGAGTAAGCGCCTCAATGCATTTTCAGAATTGACGCGAGCGAGCTGAATGCTGAAAGCGACGTCACGCACAACTCAGCTCGAGCATCGCCGGAGGGGAAGTGAATGTTTTCCCGCGACCTTGTCAAAATATTCGTTTCTGACGGGATCAGCTGGTTCCGATCAATCAAGGGCAATGATGCTGAAATGATTCGTCGGCGATTGATCAGGGTTTCCAGTTTCGACTATGACATGTTGTCCATCGAGTTGCTTAGCGTGTCAGCGTTCATATCCCCCCGGACAGAGATCCGATCGAGACTCCCCAATCCGAAACGGCACTTTCGTGCGGACTGTGGAATAAAGTGTCGATTGAGATGACAGAGGGAAGTTAATTTCTTACCGCGTCCGTATGCACGGATGCGTCAGAGGCGCCGGCTCATCCTCCACACAGTCCAGAGGGTGCGAGGTCTCAAGAGTCGAGTGCTGCTCGACTAGAGCCTGATCAGACCGGCTTTCACGCACCCTTTCAGTGAGGGCGCCTGATCACGAAAATTCGAGGAAAGGAGAACAAAGCATGGAAGTATTCGCATTCGTTCGATGCCTCAGAAATCCTCAGCAACCGGTTCCCGCCTCGAATTCGCTTGCCGTTAGGCATTTGTAGCTTAGCACCTCCCACCTGATCCGCTCCCCCCTGGGAATTTCGAGCACTCCTGCTTGCTGACCAGTCAGACGAATCTATAATTTTACACCCCTTGATTTGAGATTTGGGATTATCGCATTGAAATAGTGTCTGTGAGAGCTGGGGTCTGAGAGACGTTAGAAGTTCCTTCATTAAATTCACCCGGCCTACGACAAGGATCGTCCGGGAGAATTCGATGTCAAGCGACCTCTTACCTACTTTCGCGCGCCTCCTGCGAATTAGCAGCCTCTTCGACCAGGAGAATGTGGAACCGGTCACTTTCCTAAGCCGTCGCGCGAATGCCCGAAAGCGAGATTTCGGCACTCTGATTTTGAGCCTAGAAGGTTCCGTCGACAGGCTGATTTGCTTGCGAGTTGGTTGCGACATGTTGGCGAGTTTATCGCTCCCATTCAGTTTTCGAAGCTTATTAATGTCTGCCCACGCGAGTCGAAGGGTCACTGATCGCTTCCTACGCAACCCAGCGGGCCAGTCGCGGGCCACTCGCGAAATCGCGATCCCCCGCGAACTCCGGATCCACGCCGGCTCCAGGGCGAGCGACTATGATAACTTTTTCCGGGCTCGGGCTAGAAGCGCCGAAAATGAATCTCGCCGATCGAGCTTAAGTTCTGTCTAGTAAATGGTACCGATCGACTCAAGTGTTCTCTCGCCGAAGCCAAGCAAACTCCTTCCGACTTCCGGAAGCCCATCACCATCGATAGGGGTGATTCCGCGACAACCATCGGAGGATCAAGTGCCGTCCGGGTGGGAAGGTAATCAACAAAACAGCGACCTAATCCTGGATTTGGGATCTTGAAATGAGCGACTGCGAGCGTAGAGCACTATCGCGTCAGGTCATTCGGTTCCACTGACTGAGTACTCGGACCTCGATCGACCTCAAGGGACGCTCCGCACCGGATCACCATTGTCCCGGATACTGTCAGCAAACGTGGTTCACCACGGCTGCAGCAGTGGAGTTTTCGAATCCTTCTAGCCTTCCACTCCGCTTGCTTCCACTTGGGTCGTGGAACAGTGGATTCTCCTCGAGGTAGCTCTCTTTTCCCTCGGAACTCTGCACCCATCCGAACGGAGTCACTAATTTCGTCATGTCGAGCTTTTGAGAATCTGATCTACCGTTCCCACGGGAGGAAAGCACTTTCAGAGACCCGCGGGAAATAATACGTCGTGCAGTGATGTAATATCGAGTGTATCTGGGACAAGGGAATCGTATCGGTTTCTCATTATATCGACCCGCAGAACCGGGTCAGAACCTCAAAATGAGAGGAGTTCCGGATCGATTATTATCAGCGAAATTGTCGAGGAAGATAATTATTCAAATGTTCAGTTCGGGAGGCATCGGCACAGGGTCAATATTTAATCCATCAAAGCTTAAGGGATTCTGCTTTATGTATGATCCTCGTCGGAGATGACGTCGTATGACGCTTCTGTGGTATCCCTATTCAACCCCGCAAGCCTTCAGGTCCAGAAGAGAAACACGATGTTGACAGTAGCCCACCGCAGCACTGACTCGAAACATCAGACGGAAGCGTGCCGTTTTCCCATACCAGGTGCATTGAGCGGGAAGTTCCCTTTGGAAGTTTGTGACGCTTGCCTTAATACGTTGCGGTTTTCCTGATCGAGAAAACGCCGATAAGCTGCGATACAAAGAAGTTTTCCGTGTTTTTCAATGAAGGGAATCGAGCCTCAGCGGAGAGTTCGGACGTGGTTCAGCTATCGGTGCGGTTGGAAGATCGAGGGAGCTTTCCGGGCAGCTGATACCACGCTACTGGCACGACCTGTGCACATAGGCGATGCCTTCGAGGCAAAATATCGGGGCTGACTTGCATGGGCTGCAACAACCGAGCTTGAATATACTCGAAGCAGACATTGGAGGAACTTGCTCGATGACATCTCTGTACGTTGACCTCGGCCGATAGGCTGTTGGACGACCAGTTTCGTTATAAATTCGGGTGTGTCGAAACTCGATTTGAGCTTCGTGGGCTGGCCAGACACAGATCTCGGGGGTGGAATCGAATAATCAGTTGATGGCTCGGAGTGCGTTGACCTCTGCTGCTCTCCTCTTCCGGAGTGTGAGCACTCGACCGGTGAATTTCGCGCGGCGAGGGGGAGTCCGCGAGGGAGTCCCTGAGCGAAATTTAAAATTTTCACAAAACCTTCTAGATTCAGATAATGAAAGTGTCCCGAAGGAAGATCGATCGGGAATCCAAGTCGATACAAGCTTCCCACAGGAGCAGCAGCGGGAGCTAGCCAGCTCCCCGGAGAGATCGTGGCTCCAGCCCCGCAGTGCCTGCCCTCCCTCTCGAAGTTGCCCCTCTCCGAAGCATTCACAACACCGCTGTCCGAGTATAGAATACTTGCAGCCCCCGGGGCACTTCCAGAGGGTTTGTTGAACTCCCACAGCCCAGAGAACCTTCCTGAGGACTCACTCGCAAAAGGAATAAGCTCCCGGAACTCGGAGACCTTTCTCAAGACCAAACACACAGCTATCGAGCTCAATCGATAGGCTTCGGCGCAGCTGCATCCACCTGCCGTGCAAGGTATGTGGAGAGCTCGGAATCAGACGACGTATTCACGACAGACTCGTCTCTGATACCACCAAGTAGACGACTGCATGATGATGAGCGGTACTCTTGTGCTCCCATCGAAGTTCTAGCGGTGTCAACTTGTTGCGAGGGCGTTGACCTCGAGACTCTCGATCAACTCACGCGTGAGTCTCCAAGGGAATCGAACCGTGAGTGTTCCGCGGATGGCAACCCGACCGAATACGGAATTGGCAGTGTCTCCGTCGGAATTGAGAAGATTGGACATTCTCCCGCAAGAAGCATGAAGCGATATCACTGGAACTGATTCCGCATTCGGGACGCGTCCCACTCTCTGAATGGGTCTGCTCCTCGGCAGAGAGCTGTGCGCCGACGCGCGACGCTGCTCGAATTCCCTACGCACGATTGTGTGTTTTCGGCACGGCAGGAATCACTTTCCCACTTCCGAGCCCGTCAGTGGTAGCGTACCGTTTGCTGAGTATTGCGGGGATTTGATTTCGAATTGTTTCGTCTTTCTTAGATCGGCAGCAATAGCTATCGAGAGGAGAGCCTGATCACGCTCACATTCCTACATCGCCTAACAGCTCTAGAGTCACGCGATGTATGTATTTACTCCCTTCCGGCCGAGCGATTGTCAGTGACGAGGGCTTCCGTCCATGGGAAGAAGCGCATCGAGAGACAGACGGGACTTATGTCGCTTCGAGTATTCAATCAAGCAGTGCCTGCGTACAATAACCGGCAGGCTCTGCCTCTCAGCTCGCTTATCAAGAATAACCTCCTGGGAAGCCTCACATTTGAATATTTGGGAGCCTCGCGGCAATTTCCCATCGGGATCCTGGTCAGGGTCCCGATACGGACGTGTTGAACCTTCCGTGATCGACGAGAATGACCCATTCCGATGATATAGTGGGAAGTAGGGTCATTCGGGTGGATCTCTTGCTCCGAAGGTTCAGAGTAAGTGGCCCGTAGCATTTCTCGCTTGGCGCTTGTGGAACGGGTTTCCGGTAGCGTTGCCTGTGCGCAGCAGCCCACCACGATCCAACTTACGTCTGTGGGTCATCAGCAGAAGTTGATGGGCGACAACAACGTCCCTCTCCGAAACGGAAGATCTAGATCTAGCAAACGACACAGCTCACACCGGAGCTCGACTAAGTTCACAATCGAGGCAGAGTCAATGGCCCTCCCGCTAGACAGCCGCACCGGTCGTCTGACTCCGTGTCGTTCGACTTCAGACCTCGGGGCAGTGCTGGAAAAAACAAATTTTCCCGTGACGGATGACGGTGACGCCCAAAAATATCAGCGCTGGTTCTGACTTTCCCTCGAGCTACGTCGACTCCGATGGAGCGCGACCTAACCGTTACATAGGTTCAGGCGCGTTGAGTTGCTTCGTTCATTTGTGAAGGTTTTCGACTGGAGTTGCGAGTGGACTCCTGCCTCGCACCAGCAAGGTCCAGGTGATTCCGTTGGGCGGAGGGCGGAGTTGGAGCGTCAGAAGTGCGCGCCTGATATGCGTCAGCTCTCGCGAACCTTGTCTTCTGGAGTCATCGATTGGTGATACGAGTGTTCTGTCCTTCTCGCGGGCTTCAGTAAACGGTTGTTCGGATTCCGCGCTAACGTTGAACTGCAACTTTTTCTGTGTAGAGAACACATAGGGTACACTTCGGGAATTTCGTGTCCAATCTTCTGACTCTCGATTGCTCTGATTCTCAAAACAATCGAGGGAAACCAGCGGGTCTATCGATCACCTTCGTTGGCAATATGCATCTGGTTTCCAGTGGGATTCACTCGCAGTGATTGTTTGCGTTCCGCTCTCCTATAATGTCTACATCGACCGCAAGCGATTCCGCGTCATCAACGAAATCGCGTACGAGGACCAAGAATGGGAGCGAGGGCAGCAAATCGTCCTCCGTGGATTCAATATCAGAGTTCCTGCAGAACTACGACTTCGATGACGAGGAAAGGTGAGCAGACTTGGAAAGGAAGAATGGCGTCGCGACTGATGGGATTCCAAGCCATGGGGAATCGGAAGTTTGCGAAAGATCCCAGGAGGGTTGAAGACAGTATACATGCTGAAAACTCCCGACAAACCTGAGAGATATCAATTTCAGATTCTCCTATTCTTCCGCTCACAGTTTGCGGAGAGATGCGAACGGCCGCAAAGAGACGTCAATCCAGGACATGGCCGAGGAATTCAATCCTTCACACCTAGCGTCGGCATTCAGGAATCTCAACACGATGAGAGAATCTTCTCAGCTCTGTGATGTCACCCTGAAGACGACGGACAGCTCGATCGGTCTCCCATGTCATAAGATTGTGCTGGCTTTCAGCTCGCCATATTTTCTAACAATGTTCAACAGCAAACTCATTGAGAGCACTAGGTGAGCCCAAACACCAACTGGGTCCAGAAAGACAGATCACAGATTATTTTGTAGAATTTCCATCGAGAACATAAGACGAGAAAATTATTTTTTGCACAGCTCTGAGATCGTGATCCATGATGTGGATCACAAGTCCCTGAAGACAATCGTGGACTATTGCTACTGCGGGAATCTGTACCTCTGCACAGAGAGCGTTCAGCCCTTGCTGCAAGCTGCGTGTTTGCTCCAGGTGAAACTCCGGAGGGGAATCAGCTGAAAAAGCCTACATGATGAGGATATTGGGATCATCTCTCACTTCCCCCTCTGCGTCCTTCCAGATGGAGAAGATCATCATCACGTGCGTCGGCTTCTTCTTACTGCGGTTGGATCCGACGAACTGCATAGGTGTGCGAGCTCTGGCCGACACGCTCTCGCTCCAGAGCCTCCAGTCGAGCGCTGACTTCTATATCGTACGGAACTTTCGCCAGGTCGTAAAATCAGAAGAGTTCCTCCAGTTGACTGCCAGTGAAGTAGAACGCTTGCTTTCGGATAACAGACTCAATGTGCCCGGGGAAGAGGTCGTTTTCCAAGCCATCATGAGGTAATTTTTTTTGAAAATACACATTGCCGATATCGTAGAATATTCCCCCATCTGGCAAAAATGTCGAATTATACGGGATCCCTAACTACGACTCGTCGAAGCCCCGGAACGATACATGGAGTTTGTGTTTCGCTGCAGGTGGGTGAAACACAGCGAGAAGAGGATCTGTGAACTAGGCCGTCTTCTGAAGCAGTGTCGGCTGCCACGCTTGCCGAGGAATTTCTTGATGAATGAAGTCGCCGAAAACCCCCTGGTAAGGTTTCCTTGAGGCTTCTCCTCTCGATCCGAGAAACTCCGACTTCGGAATTCTTCCACATTCGCGGATTCCTTCGAATGAAGATTCCGAATAAGGACACGTCCGAAGAAGAACTTACGTACCCGATCGGGGTTTACGCGCCCACAGGTGAAAGAGAGCGATGCCAGCAAGGATCTCCTCATAGATGCGATGAAGTATCATTTGATGCCAGATAAACGTACGGAAATGCGATCCGCCAAAACCACGATACGAACCCCTTATGGACTCTCTCCATATATCCTTGCCGTCGGAGGCGGCTCCCTATTCGCCATTCACAGCGATTGCGAGTTTTACGACTACAGTGCCGACAGGTTAGTGTTCACAATCTCCGACGTAAATGTGCAACTAGAAATTATCGCGCCGAAGGGATGGGGAGCAATACCTCGACGCATCCATCTGGAATCCGGAAGACAAATATTCATTCTCTATCTTCTCCATAAATTGCAGATGGTGTCATTTCGAGTCCACCATCCACCGGAGGTCGCGGGCCGGCGTGCTGGCCTGTGATCGATTGGTTTATGCTATCGGTGGCTTCGACGGAATCAAAGATCTAGCCGCAGTCGAAGTCTTCAGCCCTTATAGCGGTCACTGGACATCTTTGTCACCGATGAGTTGTCGGAGGTCCTGTCTTGGCGCAGCGGCGCTCAACGGTTTGATCTATGTCGGAGGAGGTTTTGACGGCTACACCTGTTTGAGTACCGTGGAACGCTATGACCCCCTCGTGGGGGTTTGGACAACGGTTCAGAGCATGGACCACCGGAGACGATATGGCCGGTTGGAAGCACATGGTGAGATTTTCCGTCCGAGATCGGAGGGCAAAGAACGACCGCTCTGACGTTTTTAGAGGCCGATTAGGTCTCGCTGCATTCCGACTGACGCTGAAGTATTCCATAGGCGACTGTATTTATGCCGTGGGGGGACACGACGGCTCCAACTACTTGAACACAGTAGAGCGTTTCGACCCTCGGGAGGGGAAATGGCAGTCGCTACCACCAATCAGCTTCAGAAGGAATTCTGCCGGCGTCGCATCACTGGGGGAGTAAGTTATAGTAATAATTTTTTTGAATACCTTGACTTACATTAGGCTTCAGCCCAGGCACTCCGGAAAGCATAACCTGTATTCGGGGAGTTCGGCTTTGAAGGATGGGTCGTAATTTTTCCTCAGCTATCTTTACGTTGCCGGAGGGAACGATTCGGCCCTATGCCTGAATTCGGCCGAGAGATTCTGCCCGAAGACGAACAGTTGGCAAATGATCAGCAACATGGGATGCAGGAGGTTCGTACGGGAATCATTGCCGCGACCTGAGATTCAATAATTAGTCAACTTCCACACGGACGCTCACGCTGGATTGCCGAAGCTCCAATCCACTGTCGTCAATGTCATCAAATTTTCATTCGCAGGACGACGCACAGCCTTCTGCAGATGCATCATTCGCTCTATGCGCTTGGAGGCAACGATGGAAACTCAAGCCTGAACACAGTTGAAATATTCAAACCAAAGGAGAACAAATGGATCCCGGGAACCTCGATGCAGCTGCGTCGAGGCAGTCTCGGAGCAGCGGTTGTCGAAGCCATCTGCCTGGAGTCCCCCTCGTAGGTCTGCATTCGACATTTACAGGGGATAAACCCTTTCTGGCCGAACAAATCCGTGGCGGAATGCCATCCGGTGCTCAACGGAAGATGGACTTGTCGCGGGAGCTCTCGCGTATCTTGAGCTCCCGGAGAGATAATCGCTTTCGGAATAGACTAGCTTGCATTTGAGTCTCAGTTTCCGGATTCCGGTCGAATAGCTGATTCACGCCCCGGACTCGGAGGGAGATCATCGAACTCGCGTCAGCTGTCGAGAGAGTCCGGTTTCGGGGGAGCCAAACCACCGACTCCGGACGATCCCGACCTGGCGCGCTCTTCCGGATTTTGATCGTTCGTCTTGACTTTCATTCCGCCTGGATCATCCCACGCCCCCCGGATTTCCTGCGATGAGCTCTCCGAGTAGCTCTCTCGATCTTCGCTAGTCGTCAAACTCGGGACCGTCGGGGTCCGAACTCGTGTGTATTGTATTCCATTCGGATGATCCCTTTCCCAGAAATGTACAGTCCTTGTTTCCATCGCTCCGATATCATGTTCACGGAACGAGCGATCAGGCGTCGCGCTCATCGCTAGCTCTCTCCACGAGGAGTCGCGGATCTTGATTTCAGATATTTGTGATACATACACTCCATGCTTTTCCACAAAACGAATGCAGTCGCAGATTCGAGAAATTTCGACGACCTGATCACGGTGCAACGAAATAGAAGCTCGAGGGGAAAAGCGCTGAACGAATAAAAGTTTGAATCTATGGGCTATTCGTGTCCTGATTTCATTGTCAGATCCCCTTGTATACATCCCCTGCAGGAAGACCTCCTCTTGAAGCTTGAACCGGAAAATCTTATCTATCCCTACGATTTCGGGAGATTTCTCGAAATCCTGTTCACTTGGGGAGCAATGGTCATTGTTCGGCGTGATCCTCATCGTCACACTGGAATCGGTGTGTGCCGAGGAATGTTCTTGAACATTTTCCCCCTCGACATCTCATCGGAGATGCCGCTCGTCTCCGATCGCCTCTCCAGCAAAGATCATCGGCATCATCTCCCCCCTCATTCCCCCGTTCAGGAGATTCACATTTGCAGAATCCGTCTTGCGTTCTCTCCTCTCTCACCCCGCAACTGCGTTCCGGAGACCGGCGCACCATCGTACGAGCGTTTTGGACCACGTTCCAGGTCTAATCATCATCATCACCATCATCATCGGCGTCAAGCGTCTGCTTCACGTTGGCAAACAGAAGAAGGAAACAACAGTTCTCACGGAGAGACAGCGGCAGACACAAGCTCAACCTACCCGCATGCTAGACAACCTAGCTCGCTGCCTGCCTGCCCGCTTGCCTGCCACCCCGACCGCTAGTGCGGGAGCGTTTTACGTGTCGAGCTTGACCGCGACTGGGGTACCGTCAATCGAGACGAGTCGCTCAAAACCGAGATTACTCTAGTGACTGTCTACGCAGTAAGGGGGGAAACTTCCTGAAACTCCGTCCTGAAGCGTGACTTTCAAGCGGCTGTCCGGTGTTTTCATGAATAAGGTGAAAGAGTGAGTTTGGGAACGAGCTGCGACGGTGTCAGGGACTTCGGGGGAGCTCGGAGACCGTCGTAACTTGACGACTGATCTTCATCGAACAACAAGCTCAACAGCATGCCACATTCATATCGATACACGGCCGGCGTGCCGCAGCTGTCGACTAAGCTGTCGGTGGTGATATTGGTAGCTGCTGTTGTTGCGACGGTGCCAAGAGCCGTCAGTGCGGATCAAGCCCTTCTGAGATGTGCTTTCCACAACATCACGGTGCCTGTAGAGGATGAAGTTACTGAAGATTGCAAGATCGAAACTCCCGGTCACGGACCGTCGTTCTGTTTCGTCTTATTCAGTCGAAACAAGGTTACTCAGGAGTATGAGGTGAGTTGAAGACCGGGATCCTGGTAGTCCATGGCCGCCGGAATCTAGAAATTACTGTCCTCGTTCCCTTTCCAAGAAAGCTCCCTCTCGGGAATTTAATTCGGGAATTGAGCTCCTCACAGAAGACGAGCGATTCAGCTCGATGTTGTCGATCCCGACGGAGACAATAATTCGATTCAATGTGGCGATCCGACTGTTTGATATTCATTCGTCTCCGTAGTAGGAATGTCATCCGTAGGGAACGGACGGCTGAATGGCTAGATCATCTTTTTGCTCCGGAAGATGAGCAGGATCGGTTTCCTCGTTCTCAGAGGGCTGTTCAAGAGGGAATCTGCTCAATCAGTTTCGGATTCCGGAAGTAGCTGCTGTCATTACTCTGTGAACTTTTTCTGATCACTGAAAAAATATTTTTGATCGCTCGCTCCGATTGAACTTCGGTTGGTCTCGGTCCGCCGGGATAATGGTCGACTTAAAAAGTTGAAACCGACTTCATTGGTCGGGCGAATACTACTCCCAGTAGACTCTCATGAGTTTCCGTGATCGTCCGTTGGTCTCGATCCAAATAGCGACTGTCTGTCTAGGAGGCGGATAAAATTAGACGCATCGCTACCGCGACTATATTCCGAATGGTTACGGAGCGGAGCTTCCCCAAAACAAAGTTAGCGACTGACGGTCCCGTGAACCAAGAAACCATCTACTGGTCTAAGTCCATTGCGACATGATGAGTCATTGAGTTGCGGAGTGATCAGTCGAGGCGATTTTTGCGAGGGAAAAGAGTAGCGGAAGTCCATGAGGAGTCCGGCATTCTCCCTTAGACAATGTCGTCAGCTGAATATACTTGAAAGTATATTATGACATCATTAATTGAATATTCTCGGTTCGGTCGACTTTCCTCATCCTTGGGAAGGTAATTCCTCGACTGCCCCGCTCGATATATGAATACGGGATGATGAGCGAGCCGAGATCTGCAAGCGTTTTTCCAAAGAACGAGATCGCTCGCTGAGCGAACGCCCGTCAGATGAAATAGATCTCGCCGTGAGCGAGCGCAAGTACGGGGCAGAGGAGCGGCTTCCACTTGCTGAGTCATGTACTCGAGAGTAACACTCTACCCCGCCGTACTCAAATCTAAAGTGGTAGCGGAGCTCTTTCACTGGTGGCAGAGCAGTCTGTTCTATGAGGGAGCTTCGAAGGAATGGAAATACTCGGCCCGTCGAAAGCCATGGGATTCCATGATTCGACAGGAGAGCTCTCCGAGGTGCTCTTACCAGGTGTCATTCGAGAGCATTCAATTCTGCCGCACTCAGATCGATACCTTTGCGGAGACCCACCAGCATCGCGAATGATGTGTGATCTGCGACCGGGAAACTTGAATCATCTCTCCACGACCGGACAGAAGGAAACCGGCGACCGAACGAAAGCAGAACTTCGCCACGAGCGCTGATCCTTAGGCTCCGGAACTCACTGAGAATGCATGTAGGGCTCGCCATGGCAAACCCTCCTGTTTTTCGTCCCGTTCCTGATCTTTCCGTTTTCGTTTGCAGGCATCTATGAGAGGTTGCTGGCAAGGAGGCGAGAATCAGTGCGTTGAAGGCGCGCACAGAGATCCGGATATGGGCGCGTGCTACAATCGGAAGAACAACGGAGCGACGATGTTGTTCTGCTGTTGTCTGAGCTCGGGATGCAATCGGGATTTCAGCCCTCTGCCTCCGATGCAGACGAGGACCGAAGACGAAGATATCGAACCGTCTCTGAAGAAGCTCGCCGATCGAAGCGCATCCAAGGCACTCGAAACGGGCGGAATCTCGTTTATCTACATCATTCTGGCGATCGGCGCTCTGGGAGTCGGTACATCTTTGACCTACCTGTCGGTGCTCGGATTCCGGAAGCATCGTCAGATCAAAGACGCCCAGATGCATTTCGGCTATGACAACAAATTCAGCAAGGGTGCACAAGAGCACCCGGGCTCGATGCTGCAACTTGACAACGTCTCGCTGTTCGATCTGGCCGCACAGGGCCGATTCGGTGCCGTTTATCGAGGTCGAGTGGACGATACTCAGGTTGCGGTGAAGATCTTCCCGGCCGGGGAGCGACAGAGTTGGGAGAAAGAGCTCGAAGTGTACCGCTTGCCCCAAATGGAGCATGCCAACATCCTCAGTTTCTTCGGGACGGGTACAAAGATAAACCCTCAAACCGGTCTTACTGAGTACTGGCTCCTGACCACCTGGCACGAGCAGGGCAGCCTCTACGATTTCCTGTGTCGGAACACGATCACCTACGAGCAACTCCTCCTGTTGGCCGACTCGATCGCCAAGGGTGTGATGCACATCCATACGGATATCCCAGCCTCGGCCACCCACGGTTATAAACCAGCCATGGCTCACCGGGACATAAAATCGAGGAACATCATCCTAAAAGACGAATCGTGAGTGTTGTCCTCCGGGTCTATCCCTCAATCGCGACCTTATCTTCAATGGGTTTCGATATGACGTAGTCAAAGGCCACTGGTAGCGGTCGAGAACAACATAGATTTTTACCAGTCGATTACCCATGCTTCGACTAAGAAGAGTTCTTCGCTATAGCTTCGAGCATCTCGGCTCGAAGGCCTCGCTCTGCTACTCCCGTTCGATGCCCGAAGTCATCGTTGAGCAATATATCGCATAATGAAGTCGATCATAATTGATTTTCCAGCACTGCCTGTATAGCCGATTTCGGTCTCGCAATCGTTTTCGAATCCGGAGCGAACATCGGTGAAGTTCACGGCCAGGTTGGCACACGTCGGTAAGAATCTGAGAGAACTTTTCTTCCGGATCGGATCCTCCGTGTCTTTTCGTCTCGCTGTCGACACGCAGGTTTCGACAGACGCAGAACAGACGTGACTCCCATAACAGCGCTCTGGGCGGCGTTTCCAGGAAGAGAATTCCAGCTCGAGTCTAATCCCTCTGTTTATATTTTAGCTACATGGCACCCGAAGTTCTAGAAGGCGCCATTTCGTTCGATCAAGAGGCGTTCCAGAGAATTGACATGTATGCCGTCTCTCTTGTTCTGTGGGAGATGCTCTCCAGGACAAAAGATTGCGATCCGTTCCCGAAATGCAGAATGCCCTTCGAGGACCAGGTGAGAGCGCTTTGAGGTTCTCCCCGTCGTTGTCTGGCGGAGAAATCCGAATTTTCCGAATCGACGTCCTCGTCGTTGACTTCCGGCGACATGAATCCAGACTTTCGGCGTCGATGACTTTGCAATGCGGTCGGGTGACGTCGAGTCGTGACCGCGAGAAATAGTCGGTTTCGGCTTGGAAGGGGTCTCACATCCCGCGTTTTTCAGGTCGGCCAACACCCGACTCTGGAAGACATGCAGGAAACGGTCGTCAACAGGAAGTCAAGACCTCCGATCCGCGAGAGTTGGCGCCAGAACAGCAAACTCTCGCTCCTCATATCCACGCTCGAAGAGTGCTGGGACGCCGATGCCGACGCTCGTCTGAGCGCTTGCACCGTACACGAGAGGTAAGTGCGGAACCGAGAAATCGATAGTCGAATCGGATGCCGTTTCCGAGTTTCCGACCCATAGTCCCTGAGCTGAGACGAGTCCCTCTCCGCGATCGGGCTGAGCGTCCGGCTCATCCCGGATTCACCGCTCGACTAATTTAATCTTTCCCATCGCAGGCTGCAATACCTCATAGGGAACCTCGAGCCGGTCGAAAAGAAACCCGTCGATAGCGTCGATAGCGAATGCACGGCTCTGCTGCAAGGAACAGAGAGCTCAGACACCTTCGAGATGCAACAGATGCCCTAAGATCCTTGACAGCTAGATCGCTGGCCGCGATGGAAAACGCCGCACCTTTGACTGCAATAGCCCCGATGGGGAAATCCCATCGTACGCGGGCTCCGGATACCGCCTCTGCCCGGAACTTCGGCAGCGAATGGCCCGAGTCCGTAATTCTTACTGAGGTGTAGGTAGCATAGCTCTCGGAACCTGCGGTCTCTGTCACTTGCAATGAGCAATTTTATCGTTTCCAACTTCGAAAAATCGCGAGACAGACATGTCGTCCGGTTCTTGGTGGGCTCATCGCGGAACAGTGTCGATCTGAACAAACCGTCTTAGATCACTAGGTCTGTCAGACTTTTCGAACAAGGCTAGAAGCGCACACCATGTTGGAAATTCCGGAAAACTTCTCCGACGATTGTTCCACGCTTAATTCGGTTTCCGTGGAAATCAGGGCTGCGTCGACTGTGGGAAATAACGAATGGGAGTTCCTTGAGTACTCCCGGACCATAACGGCAGCTAGTTTTGCCCACGCGGCATCACGGCCAAGGAGGATTACGTCTATGAATTCGCCGTGCGGTGGAAAACCATTTGATCTCTGATCGGGAGACGAGTATACCTACGTTGCGGCCATTCGAATATTTTTCTCGGTTGGATCGGTCAACCCCGAATTCCGGAGAAGTAAAGCTACGTCCCAAACATGAAATGCTCTGAAATGGTACAAATTGACACTTCCACGGGAGGTCTCGCTCGAGTAATCAAATGTCATGGGCGCCGATCGTGCTCGCACCCCCTATCCGAATACCTATGTGGAATAACCCGGGGCTGATCGTCAAAGACAGGCAGCCTTGCTTCTTCGCGGCACTCCGCACTTGTTTAAAAGGGTTCAACTTCGTTTAATGTGCGACTTCGGAATATTGTTGACATCTGGAATCTCTCGAGCCATCACGTGTTGTGTTGAGGTTTTCGCTCTACTTTAATATTCTCTAGGTAGCTAATGATTCGTCTGTATCTTTCATCGTATACGTGGGAGAGTGGAATCCCAAATAGGTTTCCTGTACATTTAACTCATACGACTTTTGAACGTTGTGACCTCGCGTCGTCCGCGACTTTGACAGCGTCGCGCTCACTTGGATGCATGAGAATCGTATCGACTTCCGAGTTCCAGGACCGTATCCGATGGAACCGTAATTGTTACTTAAACGATACATCCCATCACTCAATATGCATCATTCGAGTCTATGGAGGACTGCTCTTTTGTGAAACATTGTTACTTCGTCGCGTTGTCATTCGTCAAGGTCCTTATCGACGCCGGCGACAGGATCAAAAAGATGGAAAAATAAAGTTGAGGGAGCGATGCAGATCGCTAGGAGATATATTGTCGAGCTTGTGCCGAAGACGCGTCTGGCTGCGTCGGAGACCTGGGGAGGTTAGAGTCCCCGGATCGAATGCTGGATCCCAATCGACCGGTGACTGAATAAAGGGTAGAGATCGAGCCAAAAAAATTACAGTAGGTTTTTTCAGTACGGTCCCAGAGACTTCTTGAGAGAGAATCAACAAATATTCGTACTCAGATCCCATGAGTAGAATTGGTCGCACGGAGGCGATTCGAATTCCACCGAGGGGCTCTCGAACAATTTCGGGGAAGTTATCATCCAATCTTCATTTATCGACGATCTCGCATCGAATCAGCTGCGAAGACCAGGCCGTTGAGTATCGGAGTCGAGTCGATCTGGCCTTTCAAGGATAAGAGGGCTCGTCAGAAGTCTCCAGATTCATTCCAGCGAAGTGAGGCAGGGGAGCGAATTTTCCGGTCAGACCGTGCTTCCAGGCTTCTGGAAAAGAGGGCCACATCGCTCATCTTTCCCGTACTTCGTTCGTCTCGCCTCGACCGCTCCGCCGCACGGCAGAGGATATTTCCTGGGAGTGAGCATCGGGGATCGATAAATGAGGTGGTCGTATAGGTGAGGACGTCCCGTATCGCGAGCGAGACTCAATGCGACTTCAAAAGCATGGGTCATTCAACTTTCAAGGGATCGGTCTCCTTGATGTCATTGGTTGAATGTCCTCACCAGAGAGCTCACCTCGAGAAGTCACGGCAAAAAATCTGGATAATTATGGAAGGAGTCTGATCAAACAAGGTGATCTCATAAATATTCATCACAATCAATCGACATCGCCCGGACCATTCATGCACTAAAGAAATTGATTCCGTGGGGTTCATCACATCCGCCAACGTTTCCCAAGGTCCACGGCGCAGCTGACGATGCGAAGTTCTCATTTCCGATCCGCATCGGGACCGAAAAAGTTTTACGCGATGTCCAGTAGCCTCATGCTAGTGGCTTCATTTCTGCTATTCGCAATCTCCGTCTCGGAGAGCCAATTAGTGATCAAGAAATACGAATTATGCGGTGAGCACGGAGTGATACCTCGACTCAATGCATCGTCATCCTCGATGACCCTCCCTCGATTCCGACATTCCGACCAGGATCATTCACGAGAGCAATATTTCTCGCCTCATCTTAGCAATTCCACAATATCGTTGAATATTCGAGAACTCATCGTAGGTACAATACCGGGGGAAGATCTTCTCATGACTTGTTCTTTTTCAGGCGGCACGGGCAGTGTGAGGTATATCAAAGTTACGCCTTGCGTTGAGGAGCCTTGCGAGTTCAAGCGGAACAGCAAAGTTCACGTAGAAATCGAATTGGCATTCGGTGGGTGTCTAAAAGTGTTTTTTTCTCCCGATAATTCACCATGTTTTGGATCCTACGATGAGGTCGGAACGACGAGAGATCGCTGACTCACGGCAGCGACAAGCGATTTTCTCGGAGCGATGGTGGTGCATCTCGCTCGTACGATACATGCATTAATGTACGCAAGAAAACGAATTTCAGAGCATCCAAGTGAAACCGCGACTCTCAAATCGTTCGCCGACCTTAAAGCATCGAACATGACTCTGGTAGGAGTTCCCACGGATTTCTGCAAGGCTAAGATCGTCGAATGTCCGATCCGGGGTAGAGGAGATTACCGAGTTGCAAAGTTCATCGTTCCTATCAAGAAGCTCTACACTCCCGTGAGTTTGTCGAAGAGCACGATCGCCCCAAGACTCAAATCGATATTCACGATGATTCCTCACAGCTCAACGACAGCGATACTTTACAGAATTTCTACAACGCCAGTTTCATGGGTTACGGTGACGCTGGCTGGGAAATATGCGTGAAGCTCCTAATCCGCGTTCTAGATGAGATGCTCTGAATGATGCTCAAGACGGCTTTCGACCATTCTGCGATGAATTTCGGCATTAGATCATGATTTGGGTCGATTGAAGGATAGTGAATAAAAAAGCGTTCTCGGAAAATCCCTCAGAACCTTCGAGCACCTCCTTGCTCGGAAATCCTTCATGAGCACGCCTCGACGATCGACACGGAGAAGGCGACGACTTCCTGGGGACTTCACGGCTGTCAGCGCTCATGAGTGGTTGGAATAAGCTCTCGATTCAAGCCACCGTAGACGTAGACCACTCCCCGGAGCTGGAATATCCCTGACCTGAACATTCCAAACCTGCACCAGATCTCTCCTCTGGTCTCTCGGATGCGGACATCAATCGAGAGTTTACACGATTAGGTCTAGGCTTGATCGCTTAGAGAAAATGGTTCCGCAGTTCAAACTTAACTAGCATCAGTTTATTCAATGTCGACAGCTGTTTTTCAGGGGAGGTTGACGCCGGTGGCGAGAGATAAGCGACGCATCGATCACTGCGTCAGGGACGAATCATCTTTGGTGATTCGTTTCTTGGTCTCCTCCCAGTACTTGATATATTCAAGTTTACGTTGTTCGCGGAGAGCGAAATATTTCGGATACCTCGCTTTTTCGAAGGGATGCCAGAAGTCTACAAGCCAATCGGGGTACGTGTCCCATCTGTCGAATGCACTTCCGCCGGGAGACGAAGGGAATCTGGAGAGAAGATAACGAAACGTTTTCGCAATGAATATCATCGAGCTTTTCCCGGGTGATGGGCGAAGTGAGGATGTGAAACATCCCGGTCTCACTTTCAGCGCGGAACACAATCAAGGGGATGCAAGCAGACCACAGAATTGAGGCCGAGAGTCTTACTTGAAGGGTGCGGGATGAGCCTTAGCCTCCAGCTGTTTCAGAGCTGAATCGTATAGCATCTTCGCTTCTCTCGGATTACTGACGTTCTTGTTTTCATCGAATCGCGCGCGCATCAACACACACTCATATCTGAAAGTGGAATGAATTTCGTCAACTATCTGGATACGGCATGGTCGGCCATTCAGCGACACATTGTCTCCGACACTTTAAGCTTCAGACAGGGAATCACGATGATGATGATGATGGGATAGTCACGATGAATCCTTGCGGATCTCCGCTTTCCCTGGCTGAGCCTTGAGTGTCCGCGAGATCGACTGAATGAACATTGTCTCTGCATTGGGTCTCGCTCAGATCAACTTGAATTCATGCTCTTGGTCAACCGCTGGGCGGAACTCACCTGGCTTCCTCCCGTTCGGGATGGTAAGATTCTAGATTCCGAATAATTCTCTTATAAAGAGCGCACACAGCCTGTTTGTGGGAGATAGTCTTTGTTCTGAGATACGACATTGTGACGTCCCTACGACGACCGTCAGGAGCAACACAATGTTTTTGTTTTGATGTAGGATAGCCACTTTCCACCCAGAGAGGCTGTTTCCGGATCATCAGCATCATCTAGACTCTCTTCGAGACCATCGATGAGAATCGACTTTCGAGTGATTTGCGGCAGAGCGATGGCTCGACAAATTCTAGCTTGGGGTCTGCCAGGGCGCCAGACATCCCCCAATGTGAACGGACTTTCCGAGATGCGCCCAGACCCTGGACGATGGATTCCAGAGCATATTTGATTCACGTCTGCTCGAGCAGACGCTCAGATGCGTGTTTCGAAGATGTACACAAGAGACGGTATCCTCAATCGAGAGATCCGACCCCGTTTTTCTCCTTTCGCACCGTCTTGAATTATGCGAGACTGGTTTTCAACCTCCTGAAGTCCGTTGGCAACTCGTGAAGTATAAGGTCCAACAGTGAATAGCTTCTGCTCCGGGAAGGCAGCCTCCCGAGAGTACGTTCAGAGAGATGTCGCCTTCTAGTTCATGATATTCGCAGACCCAATCTGACTCTGAAGTGCATTCGTGCGGATTCACAAGCTCCCAGGAATTCCGGAACCCATTGCGAGCTGCACGATGTCTCTGTACGACGATGAAGTCGAAAGCCAAGGCGCGTCCGGCTGGTCTTCGGGAATCAAGCTTCTCCAGAGCCATGTCCAACTCAAGAAAGCCACAAATCATGTGCAGCGGAAGACGACGACCGCGATTGCGCCGGTTATTGATTTGAACCGAAGTAAAGACGTAAGTGTCCTTCTCCGGGAAATCTCAAGTCTCGGAATTCATTCTGCTGTTCTGTTACCTTAGGCCCATCGATGGAAACTCGTATCCGGCGTTTTGCTAGGAGCCCATACTTCTTATCAGCTGTCTTTCAAGAGCCACTCTCATTCTAGCGTGTGAATGCTGACGACATGCCGGCCATACCCTTGTACGTCCCAAAGGGGGGTGCCTCGCTCCTCGGCGGCGAGTGGTTCCTCAAAGACGAGTATGATCCACTGTATCCTAACGAATACGATCGATTGGTCAAGCAATTTCGTAGAGAACAGCAGAACGAAAAGAAGTCGGATAGGAAAGCCAAGAGGTCAGTCCAGTGTCAGATATTGACGGAAACCGAAGAAACTTCCTCGGGACTCTCATTTCAGCCGATGATATCTTATTCGATCGACTTTTCAGTAGCGACTCCCCGGGCTCGAATGGCTCAAAACGACACTCTGCTATGATTGCACCCCCTCCGTCGCTCGCGGGAGATATTGTCTCGAAAACGGAGGATGATGACTACGCCGGTGACGATTCGCCCCCGAGACCCGATTTCTTAATGCCGAGCATCTCAACATCGGCCGTTGCATCGAATATGGGGTGTTCGTCGGTTGCGGCGAAGATCATGGCGAAGATGGGTTTCAAAGCCGGGCAGGGTCTCGGGAAGAGTGAACAAGGCATCAGTTCCGCTCTCACGGTGGAAAAAACCAGCCACCGGGGCGGGAAAATCGTCGAGGCCAACACGTCGACCTTCCTGCAGCCGTCGGAATTCTTCGACGCGGAAAATGCAGCGTCTGCTCCAGTCGCCAACGATGTGGGTGTTCGTTTTCTCTGTCCAGAGCTTTACCTCCCTCATTTTTCGAGCATATTTCTTGAAGAGGCGTGGGAGTCGTATATATAATGTAACTTAATCGTTGATTTTTTGGCAGGGCTTCATTCCACCCGCGGATCCAAGTGGTCCAGCCGCCGCTGCTGTCCCAAACAGACAGGGTGAGGAGCAAAGCATCACCGAAATACTGCGAGCTCCAACGAAGGTGGTCCTGCTAAGGAACATGGTCGGTCCCGGCGAAGTCGATGAGGATTTGGAGCCGGAGACGAAGGAAGAATGCGGAAGATACGGAGAAGTCGTACGTATAATCCATATTGCTTCATGGCGAATTCTCGCAGTGAAGTCGAATTTGAAGCCGAACCTGCCGCTCCGGAATGTAACGAATTTTACATTGCAGGTTAAATGCGTCATTTACGAGTTGCCCGGGCCAGAAATCAACCCCGAGGAAGCCGTCCGCATATTTGTAGAATTCAAGAACATAGCGCACGCCATCAAAGCGGTTGTGGATCTCAACGGGAGATTTTTCGGTGGCCGCGTAGTTCGGGCTGGTTTCTACGATCAAGAGAAATTCAATAGACTCGAATTGCTATAACTGTTTCCATATGTATATGAGAGAACCTCTCCCTGTACAATACTTCTGAAATACAAGACATCTGTGTTGAAGTCTGATCATCGGGCGCTCGAGCCCTTACTCTGTTCTGTCAAACGAATCAGGGAATTCATAGAGACGTCCCCCGTGTTAGCATTGTACGTTTTATGTGGATCGATTCCGTCTGAAGGGGCAGCATCTGACCACCTCCGAGAGGGGCTCAACATGAACAGGGGCGCAAATGAGGGACACCCGCGTCATCCCAACGGAGGAGCCTCGACTTTTACCCTGAAAACCGATCGTGAGCCCTCCTAGGCTCGACAGCAAGCCCTCCGAAAAATTGAACCTTCCGATATCCTCCATCGCAACTGTGGGAGTTCTGCGGAATCCTCCAAAGGAAGCCGATCGATCGAATGTTATTCCTCTCATGCGGTATCTCTGAGCAGGTATCCGAGGATCGCGACACAATGAGGCATGCAGACTTCCCAGGGAACATCAAATGTGGGGGGCTTATCGATGACGGTGGGAAGATATTGAAAGTAGACGCCGATTCTCAACCACCCGAATCATGGGAGTGATTTTCCAATCTCCTCATCAGTGAGATATGAGAAAGCTTCTCTGTACTCGACACCCAGTACCATTGTTTTCCCTGTAAATCTCGATGCGCTCGTTGCTCATAAGCGGGAGACGCCCCATATTGGGATGAACACGCCGTGACTCGGATAGGACACGGGTAAGCCGTCGCGCGCGGGTGGCAGCTAATTCGAGCTTGGTGCACGGTTCGCACTTTCGTCTTGAGGATACGGCTCCCTGGAGGTCTCCAGGGCGCATTTTACCCATATCTTGCCTTAGGCAGTAAGTCGGGAGAGAGTCCACGTTGAACTCTGCTCTCGATGTTCCCGACGAAGAATGAGCTGAGCTGAGCAGACGAGGAGCTCCTAGCATAGCGCAAGAGCGACGAAGTACTCGATGCCGGTCCGGGTCGATCACCGCGATTTCGTAATAATTCATCATCTTCAGTTTTTGAATCCGTTCAATGGAAGCTCTTCTTCGAGACAGAATTCCTCCGGTACTGACCGCGCGGCTCGTTCCGTGCTCGATCTGCTGAGCGAAATGGACCCATTTGATTGAGTCAGCATCCTTCCGGGGAAGCTGAAAACTTGAGTCATCACCGCTTCGGATGGCTACGCTCCTTGTGCAGACCGATACGAAGGGAGATCGACACGAATTTTTTTTCTCCGAATTTCCAACGTTGTGTCGTCATCCCGCGCGAACGAGCTTCCATAACCTTGACCGCACAGCATCAGCGGCTCGGCGAATATTGAGCCCTTGCAGGGAGGTTAATGAGCGTCTTTCGCTTGGAATACTGCTGAGTCCGTTAGGGCTCCCTAGTCGATGGCTCGACGACCGGCAGCGAGCCAGAGGTGGGGCTGCAGCAGGGCCGAAAGGAATGCTGCTCGCTGCGGACGATAGAGTTGGGAAAATGCGCTCTCTTTCGCTTCGTCGGCTGTGTCGTAAGCCGGCAGCCGACCCACGGAGCAGCCACGGCAGCAGGCTGCGCTCCCAATTCGTCCGATGACCCACCAGGCTTGTTACAAAGGAACAAGCGTCGCATGCTTCGAGCGAAGGCACATTGTCTCTCGTTTGTCAATCCATTTTCTCGACTTTCGTATTCGTATGAAAGTACAATCATGACCAACAGCATAAGTACGAGGGTTCTGCGCTTCCGCATTGACAGGGAACCCTGGTCAGAGGCGACCAGAGGAAGAGATGAAGGATGGCGTGGGTTGAGATTCGGAAATGAGCGTGGAATAATTCTATTCCCGAAGGCTTCGCGACGGGAATTCCTTGGGATTCCCTCGTACGGGAGCGTCGTCACATAGAGCTTGCTTGCTCTCGGACGAGCCGCAGAGCAACGCCCCGAGCGAGAGAATGGGGAACCGAGGTTGAATGATTCTTCTGTCGCGCGTCATGAGCAGCGGGAGCAGTCCGCTGTCTCAGAAGCCCCTCCCGTAAATTACTCTGAAGCAACATGAAGCTCCCTAGGCCTCTCAGTCAGAGGAGGATCGAACGCCACCACGAGCTTAGAGCGGTTTCTCGCGAGCTCGGGGGAGAACTCGGCTTCCAGATGTGGATGATGAAGTTTGAAGACATAGCCGCACTTGCACGTATTCCGGAACGGGCTGTTTATGTTTTCCGGCATTCTGCGGTGTTGTCCTCCGCTTCCCTGCGGTCTCGCAGCGCGTCGACGCAGCAAGAGGCTAACGATGAAATCAGGGAATCTCGACCTCCACTGCTCAATTTCGTCTGAGGAGAACATCGTCGATAGGGCTCGTAAGCGTTATCAGCATTCAGTCCTTCGAGTGAGTCGTGGTTATTGCGATTCCATCGAGAAGCCATCGAGTCTCTCGTGTTCGGGATCGGACTAAAGACAATGCCGAGCATAGAAGATTTCGTCGTGGTTCGCAGCGTGAGCTCGGGCGCTTTCGGGAAAGTTGTTCTCGCCAAGCATCGAACGAAGCAGGACAATCAGTTATATGCAGTGAAAGTTATGGAGAAGCAGCATATGCTCAACAAGAATATGGCCGATAGGAGTGAGTTTCTCTCGCCTTGAAAATCGATCCCCCGAATGCTATCCCGGTACTTTTCCTCCAATGAGCCCGTTAAGAATTAGATTGAGTTTCAGTTAACAAGGAGAAGAATGCGCTGGCGACGTCTCATTCCGATTACGTCGTGAAAATATTTTACGCTCTGGAGAGTCGCAGCAGGATCTACCTGGTACGCGGAGCCTTTTCGATCGATTGTATGTTCGGTTATATCGCCAGATAAGCTAACGAGCTCCATCCGACCTCCGAACCCTACATCTTGAAAATATTCATCTCTCCGATCAGGTCATGGAGTACATGGTTGGAGGAGATCTTAAAAGTCTTCTGAGACGGTACATCATCTTCCCGCAACAGGTAGCCACATTCTACGTGGCCGAATGCGCCTTGGCCTTGGAGTACCTCCACAAGTATGCAGTAGGTTCGAACTTTTACGAATTATTTCCCGCACGCTCCACTTTCGGCGCAGACTGTGGTCTCGACCTGACTCGATCTTCTCCCAGACATGGAATCATCCACCGGGACATCAAACCCGATAACATTCTAATCGGGAGCAATGGACATATCAAACTGACTGATTTCGGCTTATGCAACTTCAAACGAGAGAATATCGACGTGGCCGATATCATCGCCACACCTATGAATCCAGCGCGAAACCTGCCGGCGCGCACTCCCGGCCAAGTTCTGTCGCTCATAACAAACTTCCGCCTCACACCTCAGGTAGAGTTCCGAGTCCGAATAGTGAAAGTTCGTCCGGATTCTTTGACTTTTCCCCCCCTCATTGCGACCGACCGACCCCGGCCTCCTTGTGATTCTAGGTGGACGCAACTTACGCTTCTTCGCCAACATTCGTCACGGCACGCCAGTCCAGTCCAAGTCGGTTCCTCTCGAGTATCGGGGAAGAGTTTTCTACTCCGCAGAGCCGAAGCGATGAAGAAAGCGTTCTCTACCAATCTTGTCTTGCGGAGACGCCTGTTAACGGGACGAATTCGGGTACGTGGAGGACGAGGCCGAACAACGAAGTCTGCCGTGGTCCGACGATCGAGCTCGTTTTCGATGATCGATTTAAATCTCTTTCGTCGACTCTTCCAGATGAGCCGCGTGAGAACAACCCGGGTTTTTCAATTTTCGGATCGACGGCGAGCAAGAGGCTCTTCGAAGATTCTTTCTGCTCCGAAACTTCATCTTCCAGTCTTGGTCAGAAACGCTATCGAGGCGAGAAATCGGTTAAACGTTTGTGGTTCACCGTGAGCGGGGAGAGCGGAGCGGGCTTGAAGAGAACTTCCGAGTAAATATCCTCATGGTCGGCTCATCTGGGAGCCTATTGATCATCGCAATTGCGGCCCAAATCTCTAAGACGACTTTTATTTGAAGGAGCGGAGCCACGTCCAGCTTCAACTTGTCTTTGATAAGATCGAGCACCCCCCACGAGGGGGAAGGAGCCGAAGAACTCCATGGATCGAGCATGAAGAGTTTTTCGGAGCTCGGTGAGAACTCGGTGTCCTTCCCGAAGCCGACTTCGATATCTGGGAACTCACCGATCACTCCGCTCACCGCCAGGTGAGTTCGGGGAGTCCTATCCCTCCTGTGTATGGATGGGAGAGCTCGGCCATGAGTCATGAGTGAAAATCCACAGTTACACGCCCGGGAAACACCGGAGGAAGAAATCGAGAGGAAAAAGTGTCCGCTTCCCGTCTTCGGCCCCCATGTATCACACAACGATCGAGGAACACAACGAAACCGAAAGAATTGCGAGTCCCGATATGCCAACGGACCATACGGTGCGACTCACGAAATCAAACACTGACTTCTCTGCGAAGGAAATTAGACGTTTAGGCAAAATGAAAGGTACGCATGGCACAGGTTTGAGCTTTCACAGCACCATGCTAGTGGGTCCTCGCCGCTGCCCCAGATTCCACCGATGTTTTCTTTTACCAGCCGTCAGGTCCCAGTCCGGTATTATCGGAACTCCGGATTATCTGGCGCCCGAAATTATACGAGAAGAGCCGCATACCCCGGCAGTCGACATCTGGTCCTTAGGGGTGTGTCTGTACGAGTTCCTTGTGGGATGTCCACCGTTCATCGATGAAACGGTGGAGAAGGTTTTCGCAAACATCCTAGCCCGAGGTAGACTATACCCCTGCAGTATTTGATAAGAGCATACACCTAGAAGTTTCAGAATGGTTTGGCTCTATCAGGCCCGTTCCCCATAGCAATCGAGTATCCGGAGGGAGAAGAAGCCCTGAGCTCCAAGGCTGTTGAAACGATCGAAGTTCTGTTGAATCCCAGTGTTGCACGAAGACCTTCGGCTGTAAGTCTTCGGGGCTTGCCCCTGTTCAAAGACATGGATTTCGTCAACATGCACAAGCTTGAGCCGCCCTGGATCCCCGAGTCAGGAGAGCACAGCGGTGAGTATGACCTCCCCCGAGAGAATACCGATACTGAGCTTCATCCATCTGTCACTATCATCCTCATTCCTTCTGAGGGAATCGATACGATCGGAGTTTTCTCGTCCTGCAGGGAACACGGCAGATGAATGCATCGCTGATACTCTTTCAGCCTACTAGGTTGACTTTTTCGGGGGTTGTGGGAGGTCTCCCAGAAATCTGGAATATGATTTAGTCTGGTTCTCGCTTAATGCAGAGGTCGAGGGCCGAACTTCGAAAATATCTTCTGTGTCCCTCCATTGTTGCTTACACCTTCTCACGATCAGCAAGGAATTCGGTCTTGTCGTATGAGAAACGGCTGAATGCATAAATAAGATGAGCTTGAAGTGCAATTTTTGTTTTCCTTCCCGCTCGACCGAGACTGAATGTGCGTGAGAGTTGCGCGGACATCGATACGGATACCGGATACCCAAGTATTTGTCGGTGCAGTCTTTCGCTCCGCGATTCATGGACACGTTCGGATTCGTCTTGACTCGCCTGTGGTCTCATCTGAGCTTCGTCGGATGCAAGTGGGCCGCGATAAGCGCGGTCATATTTAAGCTGTTCCGAGACATTCCATTTGAGTTTGACATTTTCGCGACTTTCGAGGGCGCTCTGATCCCTCGAGCACCGAATCCGCCCCCATGAAATCGCAGATGATCACAACCTCTTGCGGTCCTTCTGCGGAAACTGACGGTCCTTTCGGCGGTCGCGCGCGTCGAATGGAATCCTTCCCGATCCTCGAGGACCGAAACACAGCCCCGACTCGGTCCCAGTTTTCCAATTGAGAAGCTCCCGTTACTCGAAAGGGCAAAAATGAAAAGCGAAGATGACTCTTCGCGGAGGATGTGGAGCTTCGAGTCGAGCAATAATCGGTGTGCGTGTCAGTCGGCGTGGCGCTCGTGGCCGATCGTGACATTTCGGAATATAATTCTCATCGGGTCGGCCAAGCCCGGACGTAGTATTGCAACACCGGGAGCTGGAGAGCCTTGCGCGCCCTTTCCTTCGGAGGTTTCATACGTCCGTCCGTCCGTGCTTACGAGGATTCCACTCGGTCGTTGGGAAGAGGAAGTGCGGGCCCGCTTCCTTCAATAGCGCCTCCACAGACCCTATGCAGCATTGTAGGGGGCGCTGCTCCGTTGGCGCATGCCTCTCTGAAGCCATAAAAGGAGCCTGGCTGGGAGGCTTGCCGGACAATCGCCTCGATGCTCAGGACGAACTGTTGCCGCGTCACCGCTGCCCCAGCGCGTAAGTCCAAACTCCGCATCAGCTGGTCTACAGAGGTCACCTCTAACTTCACCCAGTTCAGTTCGCTGATCGTAAGTTCCTCATATGCCTAGTCTGATAGATTCCCGCCGAGAGCGACTCGCAGGGCTCCACCGCCGACCTTGATCCGCCGTAGTTCCCTTGTCGCTACTGCGACGCAAGAGGATGCAGATCTATCCGCGGCTCCTCCAGGGTCGATGCTTTGGAGTCAAAAAAGAGAATCATTGTCTGCTTGCTGACCAGTATCGCCTTGCATAGCGGAGACTACAAACGACTCACCACCTGATTGATAGAACCGATTTTCCAGACCGATACGACGCTCGGGATCCCGCCAAAGGTCATCCGTTAACCTTAGACCTGGATTGCGTCCCGAGCTACCCAGGTACCTCAGGCTTGACATTGAAACGCAGTCAGGTACCTGAAGTAGCGCGCGGATGCATTCGGAATATCTTCTGGAACCGGAGAGAAAACTACCGCTTGAATTCGCGATCCACTGGCTCTGAGGGCGTGAGTCCATTGTACTTCATCAGGTGCTCTGGTTCACAGTCATCCAGGCATCTCATGGAGTGCAGCTGATTCCACCGTCCACGGCAACTGCTCCCTGGAACATCTGCTCATATCAAACTCGAAACGCATCGACTCGACAGCCAAGATGTCCGACGCTCTTTCGCCGTGCGCCGTCTCCCCAACTGCAGTGCAGCTGGAGCCCTTCACATCCTCGGTGGCTGGTACGGCATAGGACGATCCTCGGCCATCTCGTGGCGGACAATGATGAAAATAAACGAAAAAAATTCCCCCGTGAGAAATCTGTATTTTCCTTTCGGCTCTTCCGGCCTAGCTAAGCTTCCCAAACACGGCGATGGGTTTTTTCGGGCTTTGAAGAACTTTCGGAAAATCTATATGTTTTGGATTTCCTGCGTATTCAATCGGATTCGTGGCCCTCGCATTTCTTTTTGAATCCGCGAACCTCGATCACGGGTCAATTGGCTGGGGGATTCCGTGGTGGGATTCGTTGAGCTGAATCGCTTCCGGGAGCTGCCTCGAATTGCAGATGGGAGGGATAATTTCTCACTATCGTTCAAGTCAAGCGGGCCGGAGAGCTTCAAAGCTGAGCTTCACGGTTGAGTGCGAGGGTCGTGCACCGTACCGTCCTGATACCACCAGTGATTCTAGAGCAAGCCGTCTGGCGGACCGGAGCGAGCTCGGCCCCGAACTCAACTCTGGAGTTCTCTACGGAGAGTGAGGAGTTCCTCAATGTTGCCATAGTATCATCGTCGCGATAGACAACATGACTCATAACGGGATAATGGCTGACACGAATTCACGGGTCGATCCCCGAGCTTCATGACGAGCGGGGCGAGTCGGCTCTGGGCATGAAGGGTAGGAGCGCACCACAAGGCACCTTGACTGACAGCGACCTGAGAGCCGAACGTGCATTGAGTCATCTGTGGGACAAAATCCCACGTCGCTTCGGACCTCTTCGGGGCAATTATCTGATGGAGCCGGCGGAGCGGGATCCAATCAAATGAGCTTTCTAAGGATTTCCGAGAGCCACGGGGAAGTTTGGAAAGGGCCGAAGGAAGGAGAATAACTTCCGCCGAAACTGACCTCGTCACGAGCTTTCGCTCATGAGGCCAACCAGGACTTCGGGAGACGTTCCCTGGCGTATCACGACCTCCGTTGATTTCATATCGGACCCGGGCCCCTTTGCGCCTGCCCCGCTGACTCTTTTTCCGAGGAAGGAGTGACTCATCATTCGTATCGCATACACAGGCTCTGCCGGAAATCCCCAATAGAATCCTCAGTCGAGCTTCAGAAGTTCAGCGCTCACGAGAGACTTATGAGTCATCCTCGGGTTCCTGAGAGATATGCAAACAATAGATACGCGGAGGAACTGAATCTGATCCTAAAGGTCCTCCCCGATGACCGGGGATCCGCGGTCCGACGCAATTCGTCGGATGAAAGCTTCGCAATCGAGTCCAAGATACCCACAAAATTCGGTTTGCATTTATTTCCCCACGGCAAATTTTTCTCACTCCGGACTCCGGGATCTGTCACACCGAGTTCGAGCCTAGCACAAGTCAACGCTCGGGGGCTCTTACATGAATCACTTGCTGCACAAAAGGTGATATTCTCCGTAAACAAATATTGTAGTAGTATTGAAAGTCCGATGGATCTTCTCGCGAATCAAGGGTGATTTTTAGGATCACGAGTGGAGTCCGAACTCCTTCCCCACGTAAAATGCGAGATGTTGGAGAAGTCGACGTGACTTCTCCTCTTCGGAGCGTGTTCCTCACATTGCGATGAAGTTACGACTCATGGGCTTGTCTGCGTCCTGTGTTCAAAATCTGGAAAGAGATTTTTTTCGGAAGCGGTAAAGCCCATCGACCCTCTACCAGACCTATACCAAATCCCTAACCCAATCATGTCTATACCAAACCTATAAAAAGAATTTTCCCTCCAGAATCTCATGTCTGACGTGTGGGAGGAGTTGGGGTTTTCAGTACCTTCATCAACGAGTCGGAGTCGCCCGATAGCGATCTTTTCCTCGGGGTCAGCGCCTTACGCAGAAGCATAGAACGCGCGTCGGGCGAATTTAGAGCCGCTCCATGTAGATGACGTCTTCCGAGAGGCGATTTCGGTGATGACGGCGAGGCCGCGGCGGTTTCTTGGCTCGATATGTTGAAGCATTCAGCCAGCCCACCTTGGTCCAGGTGCTCGATGAGCCTCCGGTACGTCTCAAGCTCCTGGCGGACCTCGTCCTGGGTCCTTGCCTGAGTCAGGAGCTTCCTGTTGAGTTTCTCGCGACGACGGCGCTCGTGTTCCGAGTGTTTCGCGTATTCGCATTCTCTTTGCTGAAGTCTGTTCTCGCTTTCGACAAGTTTCTGGCGCCATTCAGTCGCCTCGCTCTCGGCCGCCTCGGCTCTCTTGCGCTGTTCGTCCAGCTGAATCCTGAGCAGCTCAAAGTCTCGAATCCTAGCAGACATTTGTTGGATTTTGTCGAGCTTGTTCTGGATTTCTGCTTTGAGATTAGCGATTTCAGTCTGCCTCTCTCGGAGCTTGTCCGACATCTGGTCGGAGAACTTCTTCTCGAGTCGTTGCATTTGCTCGGCGAGTTTCACTTTGACTTCGTCGGCCGTATATTGTATCTGTTTTTGGAATTCGCCGAGTTTGGTTTGGTTCATCGTTAGCTCAGCCGAACTGATTTTGAAGCGCTCCTGGAGCTCGGCGTGCTCGATCTTGAGTTTCACCATTTGTTGTTTCAATTCGTTGTATTCCGTTCTTTCTTGCAGCCTCTGCTCCCGGAGCTCGACGAGCTCCGCTAGAGTTGCCTTGGATCCTCTGCGCTCAGCGTTGAGACTGTCTTCGAGTTCTTCAGCTCGTTTCTTGCATGATTCGAGCTCCGACTTTGTCTGGTTCGACAATTTCAGACTTTGTTCGAGTCTCTGCTCGGCTCCGTAGCGCTGCTCCTCCGCCAGAACCGTTTTGCGAATCTGTTCGTCGAGCTGGGACCGCAGGAATTCGATCTGTTGTCGGGAATCCTCTTTCAGAGCAGTATTCGCTTCTTCGAGAACTCTGCATTTTCGCAAAGATTCAGCGAGTCGGCTCTCGGTCTTTTTGGCATCGACCACGTATGAAGACAACCTGCATAGAAAAAACAAGTCTGGAGCTGTCCCAGGGAGACATCCATGTGGGCAATCGATCGATGGACGGGGGAATGCGATGGAAATGAAAGAATGAGATTCGTCTGCATCGAATGTACTTAGGTAGAAGGAAATCAGAGGAAATCAAGGAAAACGATCACGCTAGATAAACTCCGTGACTTACTTGGAATTGAGACCGCTTAGTTTGTCCCTCAGGGCTACTGATTTCGGGGGACTGGCGCTCTCCTCCTTCCCTTCTATCGTGAGAGAATTCTCGAGGTCTTGCCTAATACTTTCTACGTGTGTCTCACCGAGTGCGTTCTTTGATGACTTCGGTGTTTTGATCCTAGTGGACTCGAACATAGAACTGCAATATTCGAAATCAGTGAGGCGTCCGGAGTTCCCCGACAGGTTACCTACATGTCACGATGGAGACGGCCCACTCCTCCACAGAATAAAACCCACTTTTGCTGCTCATCCATCGCGAAGCTTCGTGGAGACTGAGGTAATTGGCCGAAGCAAGAAATCGGGCTGTTTACGCGCTTCGAATCCGCTGCGGCATGCCGCACAACGTGACTCAAAAGTGTGCACGCGACCTCCTCTGTCAGAGTATGTGAATATCACAGAGCAGCAGACAGCTTCGATGAGTTCCCGAGCGGCGGGGGTCACACAAAATTATCGGCTCTCGGTATGGCGGTGATTAAACAAATACGGTTCCCCGGGAGATCCCACCGAATTCTACGATATCGGATATCGTCGCCATTCGGCTTCTCAAAAGGATGCCTGCCTCCTCCGATTCGCAAGTTTCCCCATGGGAAAGAATGCGGGACCCCTCGCAGCGAGTACAGACAACGCCTATAATGGTGCTTCAAATGAAAAATTATCATATGCAATTCTGCAGGAAAAAACGAGAGTTTATTAGAAAGAAGAAACTCTGTTCGGTGGAGATGTGTTCTGGTCGTCGAGCGGGTTGGTGTGATTGAAGCCGATTTTCGATGATTCGAGAAGAAACTTCTCAGCCGTTTCCAGAGAAAACGGTTATGATGGCCAGCACACCAAACTCTCGAAATCACTTTGAGCTATAGCAGGGTGGACATGGTGGAGGTGATGATCTCAGTACTGATCGCCGCAGCGGTGGAATCAGTACTCCGAGACATAGTAGTGTCAGAAGTAGTTCAGTAAGTAGTGGTTCTAGTAGACTTTCAATCAGTCGTATTAGTAGTAATAGTAGTGGTGGTGGTAGTAGTAGTAGGAGTAGTAGCTGTAGTAGTAGTGGTAATTTATATCATAGCCGTAGTAGTAGACGAAGCGCTATCATCGGTTTGTACAACATACTCAAGGGAAGGTCACCTACGTCTGCATCGTACTGCACAATCGGAAACGATTTCTCTGCTAGATTTTGGATATTCACTGAGAGTTCAGTTTATTCAAGAAAAGTTCCATTAGCTAGCAACTGAAATCCTATCCTAAGTCAGCGAATCGGAATGTTCTAGATTTCTGTTTTGATTGATGCCTCCAATGCTCTTCGATGATTTCGTGTAGAGTTAGACAGATAACTTGTCGGTTTGGTTGCTGGTTGGTTCGGGTAGTAGGATGCTCGGTAGATAAATGGATAGTGGATAAAATATCGAAAGATTTGGTCTCACTGTCCAGGTTGGTGGTAGTGGTGGTAAATTGAGTAGTTCTTGGCATAGACCTCCCAGTGCGTCGGAAGACCTGACATCTCATGAAGCGCATCGTTCTGGCCTTCTCATGAATCATGACCATCGGTACAGTTAAGGTTTTGAGATTGGGAATTATTGACGACAGCTCTTCATAGAAAGGAGTGCAATCACGGGAGAGTGGTTCAGATCACTTTGTCATGGGGTTTGTTTCCGGCGATCACGGCAACACGGAACGATGGGCGTCCGTGTAGCTGAATAATCAAAGAGGAACTTGGATTTTCGGAGTTCGTACTTGAGAGAACAAACCAAACCATTGGATATCACATCGAATGAGAAATTCTGAAGTGAAACTCAAGTGAACAAGGATCAAACAGAGGCACAAGGACTCCCTGTATTCTTACTATCGTAGATATGAACGCTCCGAGATGCGAAAAGTCCGCGTCAAACCTTTTCATCGAACGAAATAGAAAAGCTAGATCCCTCTCCTCCCCCAATCAAAGAACACGTGACGGATCGAAATCAATGAGAGCTGCGATTATCGCGTTCGCGATCGAGGTGGAGATGGTAGACCTCTCGCGTTGATATTTGCCGTTGACGGGAACATCATTGCCCAACTTGACCGAGTATCCACGGTTTGAGATTCTCCAATTCGGTTTCTTTCTTTCTTCGCTTAAATTCTCGTGGAAAAACGAACGAATCGATCGAGGAAGTGACGGAGAGTTTTCCCACTCTCCGAGAACTCCCCCACAACCAAAGGAGCCACATCACTGCAGTTCTCGATAAACCACTTTTTTATGCATCCATCAATCAATCAGGCATCAACCAATGTGATCCCATGTGGATCAATCGATCGGCTCATCAAATGAATCACTGCTCCGCAATGAACTGAGGCGGCCTCTTCTTCAGGAAGCTGTAACTCTCGTTTCATCATATGATTAGCCAGTACTCGGTTTCACGTTGTGCTCCCCGTATCGGTGGACGCGTCACAGTACACAGATTGCTTTTCCAGTTCAGACTCCGAGATCGAAGAATAGAATCACGATAATCAGTTCCATCGATCGAAATGAAAATGGCGACATATATATGTATAGTTATAGTGATCGAAATTGTCGCATCCTCAATATTGTGACGATCCGAATTACAGCCGTTGGGGATAATAATTATGGTTGTCACGATAAAAAATGCTCTTATCAATAAGCTTGGTGTTCGTATACGTGTATCATATGGATTTATCGTAATGTAATCTTGGGGAACCGGAATCCGTCTGATCGTAATGGTGTTCTGATTGATCCATGATTTTTTTGGGTTATTTCATCTCTACGGTATTACCATTCTCTCATTAAGGTGATTCAATTTTAGCGAGTTCTACCAATTTGTTAGACAATAGTGTGATACTGCGAAGCACGTTGTTGTAGATGTTCCTCAAGTGGCGCGATGACCCCTGAAACGTCCTCCAACCTGTGGATCCTCATCCCTGTGTATCGATCGCTACCCTTGTGGCTTGAATAACCATTGAGTTCTTCCTTTCTCTCGTATCTGAATTTTCCCCCGTCCCAATTCTTTCCTCATCGACGGAGTCCCTGCTTACGAGGCCTCCTCCTTCTTTTCTTCGGAGGCGGGTTCGTCCTTGGGTTCTCCATCACCTGGAACAGGCAGCTGACTTAGTTCCAACTCGACGAGCTCACAGGCCCAGTTCCGCTATAAATAGAGTCCTCAGCGGGCTCTCTCACTAAAGGTTACAGCTGGCAATACCAGAGAACTTCGACATGAAATCTCATTCTTGAATAGGCGAGAAGCGTCGAAAATTTTACACCCAGAGAACCCCGAGCTCCTTCTCGCTGAGTTTTTCCCGGTAACGGGGACACTCCCCTTCATTTTTCCCTCTTCACCGCGTCTCCGATCGGAGGTCCTTCCGGCTGTCATTACGTTCCCCCTCCGACTATTCTTGTTCGCCTCTACCACGTCTATGGCTTCCCACTGGGTGAGACAGTAACAGGCGTATCTTGTGAATTTTTCGCCAGCTCGCTCGTCTGAAATTCATCTCTGTTGTTCTTTCTTCTCTTAAACCGACTCACCAGACTCATGCTGCATATCGCTAGTCCACAAGGTGAGGTTGTCCCTGAGCAGCTGCATGATCAGAGTGGAGTCCTTGTACGATTCCTCAGACAGCGTGTCGAGCTCAGCGATAGCATCGTCGAACGCTGCCTTAGCCAGACGACATGCGCGTTCGGGCGAGTTGAGGATCTCGTAGTAGAACACTGCGGTCGAGAAAGACGTGTTTGAGTAACTGAGAGTCGACTTGAATTCGTTCGAGGGAAGGAAACCCATAGGCTCGACAGGCCACGCACCCGAGAAGTTCAGCGCAAGTCCCAGTCTTATAGGATGGGTTGGAGGTAGTTCCGAGGTGGCGACGTCCGAGGCGTTCTTGTACGCAGCGAGAGAGTTTTCGGCGGCCTCCTTACGGTCGTTGCCCTGGGCGAACTCCGCGAGATATCGGTGATAATCGCCCTTCATTTTGTGGTAGAACACCTTGCTTTCACCTGCGAAGAGCGTTTTCGGAACGATGATTCCTGGTATCCCTGCTCAGGCATCGACATGGAGGTTCAGATGTCCCCTGAGAAGTCTCGTCGTACCACACCCACGAACGAGCCACTAAATTACTTCATGCATTGATGAATAAGGAGAGAGGCGCTTTGGAACAACACGAACCGGTGGAAGCAGTAGGAATCAAATGTTTGTCGAGAACTCCGAGAATGTCCTCGCACACTCCGCGCAGCTCGTCTTCGATTTGAACACGGTACGTTTTGATCATGGGCATACGGGCCTCGGTTCCCTTGTTTTCTTCCTGCAAAGCGCAAATTAGCATTGAATAAAATGGATTCCGTCGTGGGCTCGTCGAGATCAGCACGCCAGGAGTCGGAATTCCGATATTTATGTAGTTGCAGGCCTTCGCTCACGGATAGCTTTTTTGCAGAGGAAGGTCTGCATTGGATCTAGACATCGGCACGGCAACAAGCATGGAATATCGGCGGAGGAGGACGTTGACTCTTCCGTCAACTATGAACGATTAGATAATCCTTGCGAATCAATAAAGCATCAGAGTCTGCTCTGTGCAACCAAGTGAGAGGGACGTCCGATGTTGTATTGATTCATCGAGGGTCGATTCATCCACTCCGCCCCCCTTCCGTCCCCCTCCCCTCGCCCCGAGGCCCGACTGAGCCCCGAATCGACGGGGCTCTGGCTCATTGCCAAACGGAATCTTCCCCTCGTGGAATGGACTTCGAAGATGATCTAATCGTCATTGTAAATCGATGATATGATATCGATGGAGACCTTCAAGTGTCTTCGAATTGATGTTTCGCCCATCGTCAAGGTTCATTCGGATCGCTGGAATTCCCCGTAAACGTACCTTTTGTTCAATTGATGAAATGATTCTCCAGGAAGCTCTTCGGGCTCCGATCACATTCTTGTAGGCAACCGAGAGCAGGTTGCGCTCCTCAACCGTGAGCTCAAGATCGAGCGAGGCCACCGACTTCATCGATTCGACCATTTCTGGAAATGGAAGTTTCGCTTTAGTGTTCATGTCAGGAAATTTGCATCGTACCGGAGTCGTGCGCGCTCGGATCAGTCGATTCCGGAGCAGGCACTAAATTCCGTTCACTCTCGCATAGGTTGTCCCTCAGGAGCGTCAGCACCCAAGAGTCGGATTCGAATTCAGTGAACGCTCTGGTGGAGCTAAATATGAAGATGGACTCGGGTTGGCGCAGAGCAGAGAAGCTCGAGGAGATTGAACTTCTCGACGAGTATCAGCGCATGACGGATGTCTTCGAGCCGTTGCGGCGGCGAATGATGGATTGAATACATATCACACAGGCTCTCCTCATTTAATCACGATGGGAGGAATCGGGTATGCAGGGAAAAATCACACTCGTATGCATCTCGATGAGTTCAGCGCTGGAGCACTTTCGGCGAATCTACGGATCCGCGGTCGACTCGTATGACAGAAAGGCGAAAAAATAAGAGTGAGAACCAAACGATATTCTTCACGATGGACAATAAGCGCTCAGGCTCTGGAGGTTCCTCAGCGTAAGTCAAGCCATACGAAGCATACTTCCGAGGATACCCTATACCGGTCGCTTCAAGCCATATGTATGTAGACTCGATGCTGGACACCTATGTGAAATAGGGCTGAGCCACTATGTAACGGTATCATCATCATCATACAGGCCGCTGACTGAGCGAACGCTTGACCGACCGGCCAAACAGCCGGCGATGGCTCGGCCGGTCCGCTGGCCGGCCGGCCGGCATGTCTGTTCTTCTGTCCATGGACTATCGGCGGTGGCAGTGGCGGCGGTAGCAGCAGCAGCGGCGGCAGCTTAGCTCGCCGGCTAACCCTTGCTTGCGCTAGATCTGAAGCACGTTGCGGAGCACGCGAACGCCATTCAAAACCTCATACCGGCCATCATTAGAGCCGCCATAGCACATCCATGGAACGAGTTCTCTCGGTTGGATGCGATTTCCTATTTTCACGACGATTATAGTAGGGACATATGTAGAGGAATCAGACACCCATCGATCCATTCGGCCCGGCACTCCACAACCGCTTCTGAATGGTGACGAGATTCCTTAAAACGGGTAGCGCATTCGGAAAGCCCCGCTCAAAAAAATCCGAATGGCGGAGGCTCCAGTCCCAATGATAAAAATTCCTTCTTGGATCTAGCCCACCTCGAGGCCGATCTACCGAAACTTGCAAGACCACTGACTCAGTCAGCCGATGGCTCATCGTTCCACGGAGCTCGGACCCAGCAGCGGACTGTTCCGCAGTCAAGTAAGCATGCGAGCGAGCGAGCGAGCGGGGGACTCAGTGGCTGAACAGTGGCCGAACATTACGCAACTATGCGCCGATATATTAGGGCAATTCGAACATCCACGAGGAACCATGGTCACTCTGAATCCATTTCCAGGAACGATAACGGCGAGACGAACGGAAAATCAATGGTCGCGACGTTGCACTCGCAGCAGGACGCACACACACAAACACACGGGCGACGCGTGAAGAGAACTCAACACCGAAATCCACTAACCATCGTAACGCTCGGCCTGCTCAGCGAGCTTGGCTTTGTAAACGTTGTCCTCGCGATCGGCTACTGCCATGCTTCAGCTGGAACTGTTGACAATGGGGTTGGTTGAGAGACCTTTCACTACGACGGCGACACCGAAGAATTGGTGGCGGCGGCGGCAGAAAAAACGACGAAGTCTGCAAAACGGAGGTAGCGGGCTCTGAATGAAGATGCCTCAGAGCAGGCGAACGAAGAGGATAGAAATCGCCACTGAATCTGTGACTCACAGACGACAGTAGATTCACTTTGTGGGCTGGTGGTTTTCGTCGATTCACTAGCGGCGGTAGCTCGAGCGATTCGACCACCTCACGAGCTGGATCGTCGTTACACGTACGAATGAGCTGCACTACCAAGTATAGCGAAACCGGAGCGTTTTTCGGATTGATTCCGACGTGTGTCTCTTAGCCTGCCTGTCTGTCTGTTTGTCTGCTTGCCTCCTCGACACACGAACGAACGGACCGATGAGCGACGGACGGACAGCTCTGACTAACTCGATAACAACTGCTACTGGAATCGACGAGTTCAGATCGTAGGTCGTTCCGGATTCAGCCGAAACACGAGAACAAGAAAACACTTGAGCAAGACGCGGTGTTTCAACGCAGGAAATCGAGCGGATCTCGGAGCACGACCCAACGAGGAGCTGACAACCGACCGAACTCCACCAAGGCAGGCTTAGAATGATCAACGCGACGAGAGAGAGAGAATGCCTATCCAAGATGGCGCTGCACACGCCGCCGCTGGATCACCACCATTCGCTGTCTCGATTGCCTCGCTGGCGGCGCGGCGCGCCTGCCTCCGATGGATCTCGAGCATAGATTCGGGATGATCTCGAAGACGCAGACCGACGTTACGTCGCCCCAGAGCAACTTCTCCCCTGTATAACACATTACCAAGTGGAATAGAGTGTGGAAGAGGGGAGGGGTGCCGGGGGAAACGGGAACCTGAATTTAATGATGCCGGTGATCTTTGTTTGATACCCTAGATAACCTAGCGGGCTTTGATTTGCGCCGAGCCCCTGATTTCCCAGCCCTCCTGAGGGTGACGGCGGTGTCCCACGTCGGAGCGATCTCGTTCACATCGCTGAAACGAATGCCGGACTCTCTCAGGCATCAATTCCTGGAAACAACTCTCGGTCCCCAAGTCATAATTTGTCAGATGCGGCTGCGACGATATGTGAACGGAAGTCGTGTACAGCTTCAGACTCCGGAGACCCCTTTCCCCCCGCCCCTACCTCCCCCCAAACTCCGACGGAATGCTGAAAGTGAGTAACGATGACTCGAATTCCGGTGCTCCACAAGGCGGACTCTTCTCGCTTCCACTTATTCACCAATCAAGAGGACCTCCTCTGAATAGGAACAGACAGCGAACTAATCCCACTGTCGAGGCAGGGCTTAGCGATCTCTTGCCAGTGCAACTTCTGCTCACCGGGAGGATAATTCGGTCCATTCCTGAGTCTCTCGCTCTGGCTGAGAGAAAACAAATAAGCCTATGCGGAACCGGCAACGTGGAGCTCAGGAATGAGATTCGAAATATCCCATTGGTAATTCGAATGTATCTAGGGCCAGGGAGTCTACTCACTTAGCGCGCCGCGATCGCCAGGCCTTCAGACGCCGGCGCCGCGCCGCCGATTCGAGTAGGCAGAAGCCGCTTCCGGTGTAAGTGGTCTCGGCCTCGGATTCTCGCTCGAGAGCGAGAAGTTGTTCCGGGTCGGTCCTACGTTTGTTCTAAGTTCGTGGCCGTTAGGTTATGTAGTGACGTGTGTCGTGCATGAGAGTCTTCCAAGCCTCAAAATCCGAGGTCATGCAGTGAACTTCGCTCTGTAGGACTACCAGGTGATGGAATCCTTCGCTTGATCGGATCGCTCCCGGAGAGTCCCGATCAAGATTCTTTCATAGGGGTGATCTTGGTAAAATCCGGTATTTGTGGTGCGTGAGGATTCTCCCGGCTAGGCTCGTGCAGGAGGAGCAGAATGTTCCAAGCGGAGAGGAAGGGCAATTCTTGTTCAGTCGAAACGGATACGTGGACTCATGTCATTCGTTGGCATGATACATATCAAGAGGCTCCCCTTACTGTAGACTGCAGAGAATCTTCGCTGAGCAAAGTCTCAGGTGAACATACCGTGTCGACAAATCCGGTCACCGGCCCAGAGGGTGCTGATCGGACTTCTATCGATGAAAACATCTTCGAGCGGTATCAGACCGGAAGATATTGACAAAGCATCCGTCCGTTCGGAAGGCCCCTGAGATTCTCTATTCGACTCACATCTGACATCAGGTGCATATCCCGTTCTTCCCGCTTCGGTTCTCCACTATTCCTGTCTCCGCGGCAGCCTGATGCGATTCTATTGCCGATCCGGTCCGTTGAAACGACTTTGCAGAGCTTGCCGAGTTCTCGAGCCCGATTCGGTGAAATAATTGAATCAAGATCGTCCTCAGATACTCTAAAGTTTCCCTTTGTTCAAGACAAAGATGTCATCCTTAATTTCCGGCGTTGTCGCGCATACCCCTGAGCGTAATTTCAAACAGGATGCCTACGTAGACTACTAGGTAAACTCTTGCGTTCCTCCAGTTTGATACTGAAACCACTTCCCGCCCCCGGTGGTGCGGTGAGCTGATTCCGGCTCCTGACATGTTCGTGATGCACACCTTGACGGTCACTGAGGAGAAGAGAGGGCTTCCGGCTTTTCGGACTCATTCTTCACTGGCGACGCTGGACTGTCCCTCTTTGAACACTCGCAGAATTCGGATGTCGTCGACAACTCTCACTCAGATTGAGGGACAATGAGGGGAGAAAACCGACGCAGAGTGGTTCGAGTTCAAGGACCGTCGGATACCGAATTCGAAATAGCCGAGTGAAGCTGTCATCGTCTCCGGCGACATCGAAAACGGCTGAGACACCTAGAGGAGAGCTGGTCGTCGATATTGACTGCGAAGAGAACTTGACCACCCTCCCGTCCTTCACGCATGTTGCCGGAGCCCCAGTTGTCGCCCGTCTCTCTCAACCGAGGGTAATCACGAGGGGCTCTGTTCTCAAAGTCCATCGGTCGATCTCCGAAACAGCGATTTTGGAGTTTCTGAGTTGCGTGGGGTTCTCTAGCCATTCCCACCGTGGACTTACACTTCCCCGCGCAGCATGACGCCTAAATTACACTTCGATTAATTCTCTGGACATTAGGATCCCCAGCTTTTCTGACGATGGAAGATCTTCCCCAGTTCTTCGAAGCCAAACTTCATCATGTTTTGAATCGTATCCTGCAACAGCAGTTCTCGATTAGAAATTCCTGACCCGAGCGTACACCGACTTCGGCTCTCGGGCTTGCGTCTCTTTCCTTGTGAGGCAGTCGTGCACATGGACGTTTCTAGATGACCACCTATGAGAAGTCTGCGTGGATTTTTCGACGAAGTTCCCGTCACCATGGTCATTGAGAGATTGTCTTTTGGGCTCACAATCGGCTCATCCGAGGAGACCTCTTCGAAAGAGTCGCCCGCTCTTCTGCTGGAATGTGCGTCTTCTTGAGCAGAAGTATTTTCAAGCATCACTATCCGGGTACTTCCGGCTCGACGAATTCAAGGTTCGAAGTCAAGTTGCTGGCCGAGAGGGCTCGGAAGGGTCATAGCCACTCATCCGTGTTTCATTAGTTGATCTCTGCTCCGGTAATGGTTTCAGACAGGAGTACGACGGAGGAATCCAACGAGCATAAGTTTTCCCTCTTGAAGAATGGACCTGAATCGCTAGAGTCGGGAATTCTACGGCAGCCAAACCTTCTCTCGGAAGTGGCGCCATGTTGTGACCCTCCCTGATGGGCTCTGATTGCGAGCAGCGGCCTAAGGGATGATCAATAATTCAAATTATGGTCGGACCGAGACCCTCGAAAATCGACGGCCAACCGCGCTGTCAGATTGGTTTGCACACCGGACGCTGCCTTGGACCCGGGACACCATCGGAGGAATCTCTGGTCAAGGATGGAAGAGAACGTTTTTGCTACTTCGAAAAAGCGCAGCCCAGCAAATACGCGAGTCGATCACGTGCTGACATAGGGAAAAATTGGGCGAATTGGGCGAAAGTGGTAAGGATCTTCATCCACGAATAGGTTTCGGTTAGCGACGGAGACGCCGTTAAAGCTGAGGATTTTAGAGGGTTCGTGGGGTCGAGAAGGTTGAGAAACTCTGAATCACATGATCCTCAGTCGCTTCGAACGAATGTCGAAGAAGATCGCCCAGGCTTGAGCCATAGCTCACGGAGCTCACCGATAGAATATTTTAATGTGGTAGCTCCAGTACGCTCATTATTCTTATCCGAACTGGGGCAAGCCCCAGGCCTCACTGTTTGCAAGTCATTCACCAAAAAGCGTTACATGTGCCAGAGCGTCCCAGCTCGAGAACATAATCAGTTCCCGTTCTAAAGCGAGGGAATAGATCTCTGTGGTACTTCTAATGCATCCGTTCTCCACCGATGAAAAGTTCTACTATTGAGAATTCGCGGGTCGATCGTCATAGGGATGGGCGCAATGATCCGGATCGTAGACTGAGGGGTTTCGACCCGAACTCGAGTCTGTTCTGTCGATGTCGAGCTCTACCCCTCGATACGCGATCGAGAATAGATATGAGCAATCCGCGGATACGGTTGTCATCCGATCGATCCTCCTTCGAGATTTCTGGTATCAGATCGAGCTCCTTTTCGGGAAATCCGCACAAGGGTCAATGACCTAATCTAGCACTCTAGTGTCGATCTGAATGCCCCTATTCAGTGGACAGATCGGACATCCCCCCTCATCCTATCCCCACTTGCGAAGCGATGGAACAATGACCCTCATGATTGATCTGGTTCCCCCTCAATGAGGAACGTTCACAGACGACGCGACGTCCGAGTGAGTAAGCAGCAGCTCTGACTGTACCGATCGACTTTATCAGGTCGCGATCAAGCTAAGAGAATGTACAGAATCGATACACCGAGGGCAATCGAATCCGCTATGAGCCATGTCGGAGGGAGCAAGGATCGATGTTCGTTGAAGGGGCTCGAACCGCGTGGGGACTGATTCAGCTTCCGAATGATGTTCCGTGTTAGATTCTCTGTGCTCAGGTTCTGCATTACATACGGATACAGCGAGGAAATACTCATATTGTTCGTTACGAAGTGAAACTTCTCCGAGACCCAGAGTGAGCCTTCGACAACTCAGAGATCCGATTCCGATAACCTACGCTTGTGTGGAAGTTTGTCGACGCGAGCCGCCGACGGGATCGCTCGAAGCGAGGTTTCGTCATAATTCCTTCACTGAACTTGCGTATTCAGACGGATCGGAAATCGCTCGAGTCGGAACTTAGACCGTGGGAATGGCCTCGCGACCCACGGGATCAACGCGGCGGGAAGTCTTTCGATGAAGTTTCCGTCTCCAAAAAGGTATGAACTAAACAGCCGAGCGGATAATAATTGTACCTAATTCCTTCGGTTGCTCCTCTGATGACATATGATGGAACTATTGTCGCACCAGAACTCTCGAAAGACAACAAAAATCAGAGAATTATCCAGTATTCCAGTGTCGTGGGAGAGAGCTCCCCCGCGGGACTTAAAACTGTCCGGCCTAACTCCGTCGAGAGGTGAGTTGAGCGGCCGCCGGCCGCGACACCGCCCGCAGCGGGATTCACAAGAGCCTCACTACGCTGTACGAGTATGCGTTCATTCTATGTTTACATCAGCCCCGAAAGTCCCCGTAGGAAGGATCATCAAGCAGCAGACGTGGCCGATAGCTCGGTGGTGGCTCAGCAGCAGCACTGCTCGTCATATGTGTTAGCAGCGACAGAAGGTGTTGCTTTACGGAGCGCTGCTTCACCTTGGTCTCGTCCAGCGGACTGAGCGATTCGCTTTGACGTCGACGTCATCCGAGGCTTCGATTTTCTGCTAGAAAGCGCCGTGCGAATCGTCGCGTTCCGTCATCTCAGCCGGTGTACTCTCGCGAACATCAATCAGTGTCCCACAGGAACCAGGAGAGATCTCCAGCTCCCTTGCGTAGCAGCTTGCGCTCCCATTGGAAGCTGTTGCTGAGCTCATTGGGTGTTCTGTAAGTTGAGCAGCCCGGCGTGAAGCTCTTCTCAATCGAATGAAGTGATATTCTTCGTCTTTCCTTGGGTTGAAGGGGGATGCTTCCGATACCATTGATGGATGGCTCGCCAATGCGCGATCGAAGCGTTCTCCCGATAATTGAGTATAGAAGAAATGTGGATTTTCTCCATTTTATGATCGTCGAAACACGGCACGAATCCCAGGATTCGGCCATCTGGTGAAGTGCACGGCGGGACCATTCTCATTGAGTTCGACGACTCGCGGAAAGAGCGCTCGATATCGACTATTCCAAGGCTCTGAGCAGTATTCATATATCAACAGATGACCGAGAGCCGATAGGCCGCGGAATGGACGAGGGCTCTACAGCTTCACAACCCTCGGCAGTGGCACTTTTTTTCAGAAGTCTCGGACAAGTGAGTATTCTGGCGCCCTAGGGAAGACAAGTATGTACTGACTGGGTGGAGTAGCAGATGTCGTTACTACAATCCTCGAACTCTTGACCGATTTTTCCTCCTGAGTCCCATCCAATTTGGAATCATGGAATCATTCGACGATTTCGCGACCTATCGCTCTCAACACTCTTTCGGTATCACTCTCAGATCAGCCTCTCCCTGAAAAATTCGAGCTATTTCCGAGCAATGTAGGTCGCGCTGTTAATTCACCGCTGCTGGCTGCAGAGAACTCTCACGGAAAGACTCTTGGAATGAAGTGTTTCATTTCCAGCGCTACCAACGTCTGCTGGACATTAGCACACCGTTTTCCGCTGCGAGATGGGGATTCTGTCTATTCCTGCTGCTGCTATTTCTACTTCGAGTTTTTCTACTCCAAGTGAGTCGTATGTGGATGGTTCAATGAAGGCGGGCTGATAATGACGGCCAAGTCGCCTCGCGCTTTTACGCGTTTTTTTGGAAGAAAAATTGATCCGAGTAATTAAGGTGATGATATATCTTACAGGGATGGTACATTGTGACGTACGCTCTTGGAATATACCACCTCAACTTATTCATAGCTTTCTTAACGCCAAAAATAGATCCTGCTCTATCACAATCATTAGGTGAGCTGTGTTCGATCGAATGTCGTATCGATCCTTCTCTAAACGAAGAGCACATCCGAGACACTGGAAGAAATCCATTCCGTCCATCTGAGAGGATTTTCAATCCAGAAAAATCTTCTCGCCGTTCTCGATCTTCTCAATCTAACATTTCTTTCGGTTACGCGATTGGCCCTCATTAGAACATTCTATTTTCGCAGACGAAGGGGATCCTGGGCTTCCGACCAAGTCGAATGAAGAGTTCCGGCCTTTCATCAGACGATTGCCCGAATTCCATTTCTGGTATTCGGCGACAAGAGCGAACGTGATCTCTATAATTTGCACGTTCTTCGATGCCTTCAACATCCCCGTTTTTTGGCCCATTCTCTTGATTTACTTCATCACATTGTTCGTACTGACGATGAAACGTCAAATCAAGGTGAGTCTCCCGGCCCGGGCCCGATGCGGCACCCACTCAAGAATAGATGCTTCTGCGAACGTCGGGAACTAACGTAAAATGCTTCCTTCCAGCATATGATCAAATATCGGTACATTCCGTTCACGTTCGGCAAGCGAACTTATAAGCCGAAGCAATCCGAGTCAGCGACCAGCTTCCTCTCAAAGTGAGCAGCCCGGTGAGCACTTCGTAGAAGTGTTGCGACAGATAAAGATCCGCGAGAAAAATAATCATAGACCACTTCTACCTTTGATTATTGGGCGGCATGTATATGGGAAAAATGAAACCGCTTCCACGGTCCACGTTCCACGACAAGGGTGGACATGGGAGCCTCATGAGAGAGGGTGGATGACCAGAGGACGCGCACAGAACGATCACTAGAATACCATCGCTGCCGCTGAGAAGATGTCGCTTCCCCCAAATATTATTCTAACCGTCAGTGTTTGCAAACATACCGTCTCGACTCCGAGAGCGAGAGAGGCCTTGAAAATTCGACGAAATCGCTGGCATCAGTCATTTGAACAATATCGATATATGTAATAATAATTCCGGCCTGTAGTAGTCAATGCCGAGAGAGGCGCTATCTTCCCTGCTGTAGGATCGTGAGCTTCGCTATGATCGATGATTTGAGTGTGATTCGGACGGGGAATCCGAAATATCCAAGCTCCAATCAACTTACGGACAAGCAGTATACTCCTCGACGGGTTGGATTTTATCAAAGCTTCTTTATTCAACCTCTAGATATACATTTAAAAATTATGCATCGTGCAATCGACACATTTTGACACTGAGGAAGGATTCGAATTCTCGAGCGCGTGCGAGGAAATTTCCTGCTGGTGCGCGATGCCCTGTCCCGATGCGTCTAATCAAGCCCTCGAAAAAATTATCGGATATTTTCCCTTGACTTCGAAAGGCATCCGATGAACCCGATATTCTCGGTATTCAAATTCAAGGCGAAATACTTTTTAAACGCTGAGGGATGTTCTCACTCGGTTCCCGATTTGTGTGATACCCTCACCAACTGGGGTCAGAGAGGATTGACGAGTCTGGCAGGAACTGCTTCGATAACAAGAAGGAGACTTCTACGCTTGTCGAAGATTCTCCGTATGACCAACAGTCGAGATTCGAGCCAGCGGTACACGATCAACAAGGGGCATTCGGCTCGATGCGCGGGGGAATTATTCGGGGTTATTCAGGTATCTGTCCGAAGCCAGCTGGCGAACTTGAATAAACACGACCTAATGTTTAGAAGTGGTTTCGGCTGTTTTTTCGGGAGAAGACAGCACATGGATCCACTGATCCCATGCCTGCTTTTCGCCGCCCTCCCGGAGGACTCTATCAGAACCCAGACTATGATCTCGGAAACTACCAGAGGATCGATGTTCACGCAGATGTTTTAGCCAGAACTCTCTGTGGCCCAAATGTGGTCGACGGTGGCCTCAGCATCATGATCACAGGTGGCATCGTCGTTTCAGGGACGACAGTGCCTCCGCTCCCCTCGTGCCTCCTTCAGTGCAGCTTGAAAACGTATGAGCAACATCGAATGAGGGGCTCCGGAGGCGGCGGGACTCTGTCGACTCGAACGTGGACAACTCGAACAACCTCACCCAACAGTCATCGTTGAATCGCTCATTCACAGACACGCTCTATGAGTCAAAAGTGCATTATTCGAGCTATTTATTCGTGATCCATGTCTCTGCGTTCCTCGAGAGGATGCAGAGAGCAGCCGATCGCATTGCATGTTGAATTCTTACGAACACGGTATGATTCGCAGAACCTGCGATGGAATGATTGGTGTTCGGACTTCAGACGTAGACGAGACAAAGAGTATTTTCACAAAACAAGTCATGGATTTATCGTAAAGTAAAGGTGCAATGAAGGTCATGTGAGATACGGATACGAATAAAGCAAATCCGGAACTCCGGATGAAAATCTTATCTATGTTTCTTCGCGATTTCACGAAGTTTCGGCTAAGCTCCGCACGCGGCTCCTCTTTTCGAGCCTCGGCCATTTTTCCTCCCGTCGAGCCGGTCCGGTCAAAATATTCCAGGTCCCGATCTTTCCGGGAAGCTGAAGAGGCTGGCCGGCGAGATTAGTTAGGATTGGATTCCTCAAGGTCTAACCTCGAGCGCGATTCGCCACCGAAACATTTGTTTCTCCTGGCTCATTCCTCAGTTTCAGAACTCTCAAAAAGTTATCGTCATCGGTGCCAGTGATCCCTTGGAGGCCTCCTCGGACTTTGTTTAGAAGCCCGACGATTGACTGCTGCAATCCCGTCGGCAGAGTAACTCTTGTATCGATACCAAGGAGGACCGGCAGGAGCAGTCATTCGCGCTGTCAGAAACTATCAGCTACTACCGAAATCATACGCGGAGAAGGAAGAAGCCTCGCGCTGAATGATGGGGAATCCCGGAGTCAAAACTCACCGAGATGCAGTCATGGCTGCGTCAGCAGAAGTTCGACTCTCCAGATGCTGGACCCCTTCGTCTTCTCATTTGCATTTCAATCCAGCGCGCGGCGTGCGGCAGACTCTTGAGATTGCATAGGGAGACGAAATCCAGATCGGAGCCACAAAGCGAGGTCCATAGATCACCCAATTAACAATTTTCATCCGCAAATGCACTCAAGAAGAGGCTCGAAAAAAGAGGAGGAGGAGGGAACGGAGAGTGTTCAAGAAATTACCACCACTTGTGATTCTGGTTAGAGGAGGCAAATGGCATCCGATTTCTAGCTCCCGAAAGGAAAGAATCGTAGACGAAGTTCCCTACCAGGATAAATGTCGAATTATGGTCCAGAATTCTCAGATGGCCGTTGATATATAATTCTCGAGAACGAGATCACTCCTAAATCACATCAATAAACGCAGAGCAAACTTTCAAGATTTCTGGAATCGATTCGCAATCGCCTCAGTCCCCGCTACTCGAGCTCGAACAGGCTGCCCGTGTCCTATTCGAGGATGGACATCTGCCGCTTCGCTCTCAAAGAATTTGTTCATATTTTATCGCGGATCTCGCGTCGAACGTCCGGAAGTAACCCCGCGATCCTTTCAACGCTCCCGACCCGGGAGGTTCCTCACCGTCAGTCCTCAGTCCTTCCGGGGTTGAGTCCGGGAGGGGATTCATCGAGACAGGCTCAACTGATCACCAGCGCCAAGATCCCTCAGCTCCGGTCGCGCTAGACGCATTGAACATAAATGGAAGAGATATCTCATCTAAGGTTGCTGTCAAGCTCAGTTCCGGGTCATCAACGAGGCTCGCGCAGGCACGGGGGAAGCGAATCTTTGAAGTTTTGCGGGTCTTGCTCAACAAGGGAGCAGTGCACTCTCCGTGTCGCCCTCGCGCCCCCGATCAGATAGAAAGGGTGCCCGCTCGCACATGGAGGAGGTTGCATTAGCTCCATGGAGCAATGAAGGTCCGGCTGCTAGCAGCAGGTCTTTGCGAATTGAGTCTCAGTGGTGGGCTCACGGACTTATTCATGAAACGGAACTCTAGCAAGGTGTGATCGATCCTTCCTGAGGTCAGTAGAACACGAAACGTTCATCTTCCACCTAGCCATCGGGAAACCCATGCTTTCATGGAAGTCCATCCCAGGTCTTTCAGAGATAGATGGGATTTCCCCTACTCAAAGGAAATTATTCGGAACTCGAATCCGAATCAGATAATATTTCCGGAATTTCGGAGCACATCCAGGCGCAGGGGTCCTGCTACTGGAACGGCTCGTCCCCGAGTGTTCGAAATTCGAACTCTTCCCCTCTCGTAGAAAAAATCGTGGTGCTCCCTATGGAATCGATTCTCCAATCGGAGGAACGTGCCACACGTTCTCGCTCCGCGTAAGGGACAAGTCCTTGAATTTTCCCCGATGTAAGAGTTCCCGATTGACGGAGGAAACGATGAAACGGTCCACCAAGCGTTCAATGTTCTTTGCTCACCGAGACATTGCTCGCAAAGTCTCCGATCTCGACGGGTGTTCTTGTTACTCCTCTGGGCGATCGAGGGAGCACTTCGCGCGCTTAGCTCGATGCTTTCACAGGAATGAGCACTTATGCTCCTGACCCTCCTATTGGCCATACCAGGCGGAGCTCAGAACGCTCCTTTCTTCCGTGCTCCATTCAGGGGTCTTGCGTCGATTGGTTGCGCAGGATTCCATCGTTCAATGAGAGGAGACCGATTCTGAAATGTTCCGAACATTTTGCATCGATGGTGAATCCCCTCCCAGTTTTTTCTTTCCACGAATCTCATACCACCTGAATCCCATCCTAAAGAAGAAAATGACAGCGCTGCAGATAGAATGGCACTGCTCAATATTCTGCCATCGATCAAGTATCGACGAGAGATTTCGCGAGAGCTCCGATTCCCTCTACGACTACAACGGATTCGACGTACCGGAAGTCATAGTAATACGCGAATAAACCGAGGATTTGCTGCCCATATGTTGCTAAGGGACCGGGATCGGGATGCTCACGAGCCGTTTGCTATCCTCGACGGTCTGAGTACCGGAGTCGAGATCTAATGTCCCGAGTCGGAGCCATTCCGTCGAGCGCAATCTGTGTTGCCCAAGCTCAAGCATGAAGTGATAACTGCAAGAACCCGAAGGCTTCTGGCTTCGGAGATAGGGACCCGAGGGGGGGGGTATAACCTACCAAGATATTGGGAGAGGTCCGAGGACGGAAGATGTGGAATCCGAGCACACTCCTGACCAGACAGGCGGAAGGCGAATGCTCCACAGACCTCGATAGGAACGGCAGAACATCCAGATACGAGAGCCTTGAGGAAGCCATGTGCTCTGCATACTTTAAAGACGCCTGTATGATAGTGGACCCACCTAAATTAACTACTCGGAACCGTGAGCAGGACCAGGACAGAAATCCTTCCCTCTTGCTCCGTCGCGTCGGGCTGCAAGGGATAGCGGAATGAATTGAGGCAGATCAGAGCCCTCCGCCCGATATCTGTGTGGAGTAATACTTGACTGAGTGCACGTTCCCCATCGACGATGATCCCAGACATGGCGTTCCGATGCAACAGGTGTCAGCTGTCATTTACGACAGCAGGAGCAGCTCTTAGATGGAGGAACGCAATTGGAACGAGGGAGCGACTCGCTATCACGGAATCGAATCAGGAATTTACGTTCTGCGGAACGTCGTATTCTCGCTCGTATCGGGGATTCCGGTGAAGCAATCGATTAGCGGAGATCCCTGGCGGTGATCCCGATCCCTCCCCCCCCGAGTTACGATTCGTGACTTCGACCGAGGAAACTATCAGCTCACTTGCCGATGAATAAGCCACCATGGAACAATGTCTCTCAAATAGAATTTGTCGTTCCATTCGGTAGGGTTCCCGACGTGATCCGCAACCGAGAATCACGTACCGTTCTCTCCTTCACTCTTTCAGATTTGATTCACTTCTCGTCTCTGATCCGATCACCAGGATAGACCATGTCTTCTGTCAAGGTGAGTGACGTTCTCGAGTTTGGGAAAGTCGTGGGCTTTCTACCGAAGACACTGCAATGGCGGGATCACACCGATATTTTCCGTCGACCATTGGGTTTCTCGAAATAATTGTCGAAGCTCGTCGCACCGCTAGCCTTTGCTCGCCGGCTACGCCGTGGAGAATATCCGCGCCCAGCGAGGATATTCTGCTGCAAATGCGACAGGAGCGGCCGTTCCGGAAACTTTTCGGGGGCCTGAGCGCTCTTCTGCTCACTGGCGTCGTTCTCTTCCCCAGGTGGCCGTGAGGGTTCGCCCTTTCAACAAACGGGAACTCACCAGAGACTGCCGTCTAATAATTCAAATGCAGGACAATACTACAATGATCGAGAATCCTAGGGACAGTACCACGAAGAGTTTCAACTATGACTATTCTTACTGGTCGTCGGATGTGAGTCCTTCCTTAATCCCCATTTACCTTCTCGCGGCATCACCGTCGCGTGCCCGGATTTTTCCGGAGCCGGCACAGCACTCAATTACGCGGTAGGCTACGATCGCGCATCGTCCCGATGGCTGTCACGTGACACAGGCCTGACCGTCCTCTCCTCGTCCCGGAATGAGCCTGGTCTCATGAGTCACCGAGTCTCCGGTCAGGCGGGCTCCTATCCGATGACGTCATCCCGTCACCATGAGTCTATCTCCCGGACAGAACTCAGTGAATTGCCGAAAACTTCCCCGCCTTATTCAAAAGATCTCTGAGCAGAGAATCTACGGAACAATAATATTTTAGCTGTTGCGCAATTCGCTCGTGAATTGCCAGTGATGTAGCCCTTGAAGGACCACGGGCGATTCTACATACACAATTCCTGAGCGCAATAACGCCGAGAGATGAATTCGTTCGTTGCAGACGTCAGACCCTCATTTTGCGGGCCAGGACCAAGTTTACAGCGATATTGGCGAGGAGATGCTGCAGCATGCGTTTAATGGTTACAATGTGTGCATTTTCGCATACGGCCAAACAGGAGCCGGAAAGAGCTACACCATGATGGGACGACAAGAGGAAGGAGAGGTATGAATGCTCCGTTATGGCACGTACGAACCGCGCACTCGGTCTCGTCAGCACGGCTAGGGCCGAGCGTATGAATAGGGCGTGAAAGTAGATCGTGGAAATCTGTTGTTTTCAGGAAGGAATCATACCCCACATATGCAAAGATCTATTCCGAAAAGTCCGGGGCGATCCCGAAGACGGAATTTTGCACTCCGTTGAGGTGGGTTGGGAAAAAAAACAGAAATCCCCATAGCGCTCGGGGATCCCCACTCCTCAAGCTCACCCTTTACCCTCTCATCGGGGACGGGGGACAACTCGTCTATGGGGGAGTTCGCGGCATAATCCATCCTCAGTATCCATAGTTTTTCTTCCCATTCCATGCGCAGGTGTCTTACATGGAAATCTATTGTGAGCGAGTCCGAGATTTGTTGAATCCTCAGAACAAAAATAATCTGAGGGTTCGCGAACATCCGCTGCTCGGACCCTACGTCGAAGACCTTTCAAAGCTAGCCGTGACCTCGTACGAGGACATTAACAGTCTGATGGATGAGGGAAACAAGGCCAGGACGGTTGCCGCAACGAACATGAATGAAACCTCGTCAAGGTCGCACGCCGTGTTTACGATAATGTTCACACAGCGGAGGCACGATAGAGAGACGGGTCTGGACACTGAGAAGGTCAGCAAGATCTCTCTCGTGGATCTGGCCGGTAGTGAGCGTGCAGATTCCACGGGAGCCCAAGGAACCCGTTTGAAGGAGGGAGCGAACATCAACAAATCTCTGACCACCCTCGGAAAAGTGATATCAGGCTTGGCGGAAATGGCGGCCAATCGAAACCTGAAAAAGAAGAAAGCCGATCACATTCCTTATCGGGATTCCGTATTGACATGGCTTCTCAAAGAGAACCTCGGAGGTAATTCCAAGACGGCAATGATCGCCGCGATATCGCCGGCCGATATCAATTATGACGAAACACTTTCCACATTGCGGTATGCCGATCGCGCGAAGCAAATAGTTTGCAAAGCGGTTGTCAACGAGGACGCGAACGCCCGAATGATTCGCGAACTGAAGGAGGAGATAGCCAAGCTCAAGAATCTCCTGGTGGCCGAAGGAATAAGAATAGACGATGTTCAGAACAGTCCGAGGCCTCGTCGGAAGTTACTATCCGGCGCTACGGAAGACAAAATTGAACAATTGCAAGAAAGTGAGAAACTCATCGCTGAACTCAATCAAACGTGGGAGGAAAAACTCAAGAAAACCGAGGACATCAAGAGACAGCGGGAAGCCGTCCTCGCCGAAATGGGTGAGTTTTGGGAATGGGAATCGAAGGAACGGATCGGCATTCCGGTCCCGGATTCGCACGGCACCTTCCTCCGAGAGACGCTATCCTATTCTTGATTTCAGGCGTGGCGCTAAAAGACGACGGGGACACGCTCGGCGTATTTTCCCCGAAGAAGACACCTCATCTCGTGAATCTCAATGAAGATCCTCTGATGTCAGAGTGTTTATTGTACTATATCAAGGACGGTCTCACCCGGGTGGGACGGCCCGACGCCAACGTCCCTCAAGATATCAAGCTCACAGGCAGCGAAATTCAGAACGAACACTGCACGTTCCAGAATCACGAGGGAATCGTGACGCTGCTGCCATGCGAAGGGGCGACTGTGTTCGTGAATGGGAAAGAGGTCGTCAAACAGGTCGAGCTCCAGAGCGGTATGCGAGTGATCCTAGGCAAGTACCACGTGTTTCGATTCCAACATCCGGAACAGGCGCGCGAATTCCGGGGTCGATCACCGACCGCGGATGAGCCCACAGCCGTCGATTGGACTTTCGCCCAAAGGGAATTGCTGGAGAAGCAGGGCATCGATCTCAAAGTTGAAATGGAGAAGAAAGTGGTGGCCATCGAGGAGCAGTACAAACGAGAGAAAGAAGAAGCCGATCAGCAGTTTGCCGAAGAACGCAAGAACTACGAGGCCAAAATCGAGAGTTTACAGCGTCAGGTGGAAGAGGTTTCAATGATGTCGTCGATGGCATCGTCGTACGCGCTGTCGTCGTTCCTCGAACCGACCGAGGAGCCGTTGGCGGAAGAGGACTTTGAGCCTCTCGACGAGGCTCAGCTGAAAATCGCCCGATGGGCTTTCGACAAGTGGAAGTTCCACCAGTTCACGTCTCTCCGCGATGACCTTTGGGGGAATGCAATCTTTCTCAAAGAAGCCAACGCGATCAGCGTCGAGCTCAAAAAACGGGTACAGTTCCAATTTGTTCTCCTGACCGACACACCGTACTCACCGCTGCCTCCGGACATGTGTCCGAGCGACGGGCGAAAAACCATCGTCGCGGTTGAAGTCCAGGACCTGAAAAACGGAGCCACCCACCACTGGTCGCTGGAGAAACTGCGACAACGACTTGAAGTAATGCGTGAGATGTACCAGAACGAGAATGAAAGCTCACCAACGGCAGATTCGGAGACACAAGGCGATCCGTTTTACGACCGCTTCCCGTGGTTCCGGATGATTGGGCGAGCCTTCGTGTATCTCACCAATCTCATGTACCCGAACGTGGCCCTCGTTCAGACCGCGGCCGTCGCCAATGAAAGGGGCGATGTTGTTGGATATCTCCGGATTGCAGTTCAGGCGGGAACAGCCGGAGACGAACAGCCTGCCGGGGTTCGACAATTCGCGAGGATTCGATTCGGAGACGAAAGCGGTGTACGCAACAGTCGAACACTCGATGATGGAGAAATCTCAGGAGACGAGGGGGAAAGAATCGTCGAAGGACGCGGGGAAGAAGACCTCGACAAGGACGTCGATGGAGGTGAGCCTCGCTGTTTCGATTCCACGAGCTCGATGCCCCGGGTTTTTCGGGAGAATCCACGGCTCTGGAGGCAGTTAATAAATGAACCTATTTTACATCAAGACTCGCTGCTTTCAACGGAGGACACCGACAGCGAACTAGACGAATCCCAATTGCCCGACCACTTGCGGCTCGGCTCCGAGTTCACGTTCCGCGTGACCGTCCTTCAAGCTGTTGGCATCTCGAGAGAATACGCTGACATATTTTGTCAATTCAAGTGAGATATTCCCGAGAGACTTTCCGCAACGCATACCATACCTGAGGATATGTTCGCTCCCGTCGGAGAGAAAAAAGACTCCGCGTAATGCTCGCTCTACCCAACAGCTTCCTCCACCGACATGATGAAGCGTTCTCCACGGAGCCTCTGAAAAACACAGCGAAGGGACCGCCCCCTGGATTCTTTCACGTGCAGAATGTGAGTGCAATATTCACCTGGAATTTCTTCCAACATTATCAACTGTGCTCTCTGAATTCCGGAATTCTTCCCTTATTCTCGCTCGTATGAAAATGAATTCATTTGCCTCCTTAAACCATCGACAGATAACCGTGACCGTGACACGGGCGTTCGTCAAGTACATCAGGAGTCGACCGATCGTTTTCGAAGTGCTAGGTCACTACCAAGCTCATCCGCTGCACAAGGATGCGTGTACCGAGTTGAGCGGGCCTCGAGGGGACTGTCCCTCAACACCCCAACGCCAGCCGCCCCGACGGATGTTCCCGAGGTCTCTCCCGATATCTCAGCCGGTGCGCTCGCCAAAGTTCGGTGTCGTTCCTCAAGCAAGGTATTTTCTCATCGTTCATCGTTTAGTTGCTAGCTTGGACGTGTGCTTCCATCAACTACTCATGGACCACCATGCTGAGAATGGTATTCCGGGAGCTCTCCAACAGTGGAAGAAGCTTCAGCCCTGGAGACCTGCCGGAGACGGCTATGAATCTTTGACAATCCTCAACCGTCGTATCGTCTGGGGCTAGAGATAGCCTAGGCCGTCATAAATATGCAGAATCTGTCGAGGGCTCAACGTCTCCGGATCGGATCTCATGCCGCTCTGCGCTTTCAAATATTCTCGTACAACTCTTCGTTGCTCCCGTTCTACCATGATTGAATTTATTTGATATTATTTCGAGCATTTACCATCTCCATCGATGCATTCGAGGAAGCTGTCACGGATTAATTCATTCATTAATTTTTGGCTTCGAAAATCATTTCATTGACAAGTTTTGCCGAGTTCCGAATTCGTCCGCTTTCCCCTCATCGGAAATCCCGTTTACTCAGCATCGAGACTTGACCTGGCATTTCGGAAACTCTCTCGGTGTTCTCGTCGTCATCCATAACTTGCGTTTGTGATCCGTGCCCCCATCGGCGATCGTATTTCGTAGAATCCATTCGTTCGATTCTCCTCGAATGCTCTGACACCGACTCCTCTTGATTTTCAGTACGACTACTCACATCGTGGCGAAACACGATGTTTTAGTCTGGTTCGAGATATGTGAACTGACTCAAAACGGAGAGTATCTCCCTGCCGCTGTCAATCATCACGAGGAGAACCCTTGTTTGAGGGGTAGCTTCCACTTGCACCAAGGCATTCAGCGGCGTATTCGCATAACTTTTGTGCACGAAAAAACGGACAACCTTCCTTGGAAGGACATAAAGGTGAGACGCGAGACGGTCCTACCATTAGCATCCGGATCGGCGTGACCCGATTTTAAACTCCCGCTTGCCGTTTCCAGGAAGTCGTAGTCGGAAGGCTACGATCTACCCCGGAATGCGAATCGTTCGACGATGAGAGCGACGAGTGCGTTCTCAGTTTGGGACTTTTCCCACCGCGCCAATTGGAGATGCCTGCCGGCGATGAAAGATGCTTCTATCACTTCGAAGCAGCCTGGGACTCATCGTTGCACAACTCACCGCTCCTGAATAGAGTCACCCAATCCGGAGAGCACGTCTACATGACGATCTCCGCGTATCTCGAATTGGAAAACTGTGCCCAGCCTGCGATCATAACAAAAGATCTCTGTCTCGTAATCGGAGGGCGCGATGCTCGATTCCATTCTCGACTCTCGCCCCATGCACGATCGCTGAAAACTCTGTTCAGCGGAGGGGCGAGAAACTCAGACGCCGATCACGTCACGGGCCTGTATGAGGTAGTCCTCAAAAGAGCTTCGGATTCCGGCGGCCCTGGCATCCAGCGTCGTCAGCGACGCGTTCTCGACACGTCGTCGACCTACGTTAGGGGAGAGGAGAACCTGGCCGGCTGGCGTCCGAGGGGTGACTCGCTGATTTTCGACCATCAGTGGGAACTCGAGAAATTAACGCGTCTAGAAGAAGTCGAGAAAGTTCGTCACTACCTTCTGCTTCGGGAGAAGCTCGGACTCGAAGCTGGCCCGAAATCTCAGCGATTCTCCGTGGAACATCTCATGTCACCGACAGGACAGAAGTCGTTGCCTACAGTGGACGAGAGCATCTACGACCCGTGGAACATGTCGGAACACGAAGAGACGTTAACACGCAAGATGATCAATCTCATCAACAGTCATATCCCTAGTCGACCGTCTCCAATACAGGACGGGGCTGTGACCCCCATAGCAGAGGAAGGAGGAATTTCGCCATCGACGTCCAGCCATTCGCTGTGTGGCCTTCTGTCGCCTACTTCCGAAGCCAACGCCACAACCGGACCTCCCCCTGGTGGTCTTAGACCCGTACCGATCGACAGCAGCTGTTCGGGGGGGCTGATGCTCTCTAGCGGATCGGGATCCGCAGTGTCGAGACCGTATGTTGCCGAAGTCGAAGAGATTAGAGTGAGCCCCGTTGTGAGTCGTAAAGGATTCCTCAATCTGCTGGAAGATAAGGCTCAAGCCTGGGTCAGGCGATACGTGACCATCCGGCGGCCATACATGTTCGTTTACAAGGATCAGAACGATCCGATCGGTGAGTCGGTCGTTCATCGGGCAGGGATCGTAACAACCTGGAATTCATGATGCTTCTTGCGTGGGGGGACAAGAGCAAATCCGCGAGGAATTTCATTCGATTCAATTTACAGAGCGTGAGATCGTCAACTTATCAACATCCGAAATAAATTACAATGAAGAGCAACAGGCGATGCTACAAGTGCCTCCACATTCAACGTTCTCCGTTGTTACGGCTACGGGTGGTTATCTTCTACAAACGGAAGCTGGCTGCGAGAGGGAGATACACGACTGGTTGTACGCAATCAATCCGCTGCTTGCTGGCCAAATCAGGTGAGCAGTGACTGAGAGAGGAGGACTTGTCCCCCTCCTCACACCCCTTCCGGGGAGGAGCCAACCGGATCGACGTTTTCAATTCGATGAAATTAATTCCAGATCGAAGCGATCGAGGAATTCGTGAAGAGCCCACTGTGATATCGATGTCTCGGTCAGGATAACATAGGCTGCCTCGCTAGAGCGAATCTGCGGAGCTCCTCGAGAGAGAGGGAGATTTAGGCACTCTCTGCACGAGAAGAAAATCGCCATTCTGCGCTTTCATCAATCCCCCAGCTGCGGACCCGATCAAGGCCTTCTCGGCTAATGAATTGACTCCGGAATGCGCATCAGGCGATGTGAATCACAGAGAGAATGAATGGGTTCCGGAGCCGGATGGATTCACTCAGATTCGGTCCGCGTTGATGAGGGGTAGATATGGCTTCGGATATGGTTCCACGTGTTCACGAATGGCCTTGTCTAGGTATCGCCGGATCTGAGCGCAATGTTATCGTCTACTTCCACGAATACTACTGCATGAGCCGGGGAAACCACTTGTGGAGGTGATGAGCGTTGGCGTAATTGGGCCGATGAGGACGACGCAACTCAATCATGGAGAAGCATGATCACGCGACGGGTGTAGCCAACTGTACTATCCAATTTTCCACGCAGTTGTATTCAATTCACTCTTTCGACGAAGTGCCGGTTGAGGCTCGGAGCATCGCTAGACTCTTATGCATATATAAATTCTTGGTGAGCAAAGGTGTAATCCAACACTTCCCGCATCTCGATTCCCAGGAGAAAGATTTCCGCATTGGTTTTCGTTGAGCACAGTTTCGGGAGGGAAAAGTCGTGGGGCTCGCAATCGACGGTACCGCGTTGACCGGTATGTGAGCAAATAAGCAACGCAGTGAATCCTTTACTTGAACGCACACATCGAAGAGTCAAATAAGAGAGCAAAACGGTGAAAACAGTTATAGGCACTACTTCCTCAATGTCTCAATTCATCGTGAAAGAATAAAATCGGGACTCCGTCTCCTTCCCCCGAGAAATTGATGTTCCTGTCCCTTGATGTCCACATGAATGCTCTGTTCGAGATCAAACTCCTACTCCTGACGGAGTAAGAAACCTCTGACGAATATCGGCTCCCGATCGGATCTCTGATCCATAGCTCACATTGAAGAGCAGCGGCGAATTCAAATTCGAGTTATTTTCATCAGGCTCTCCCGAGCGAGTATATCGCGCTAGACTTCTAAACTTCGTATCTGATTGATGCCGGTCCTTCCGAGCGATCATCTCCGAAGCATTTGCGGAGCAAGTCTAATTATACACGTTTTTTGCTGCTGGGGTGACATCATCGCGTGATTTCGTGACTTCATCTCTCGTTCTCCAATCGCCGGTTCGACGAGCGTCCAAAGACCCTCTGGCATGATCCTCTCGCGAATAATCGCGGTAATCCTCAAACGTCATCCCTGGATCTGAGGCCTCCCGCTCGTTGTTCTCGAGTCTATACACATTAGTTAGCACGAGCCTCCGTCTCCCCACTAGAGAATAGCGAGCGAAGCCACGACCGGCCGCCCGCCCTCGGGAATGATCAGCGAAAAACCATCCTCATCATTCGCTACTATTAGTGGTGGGGGAGAGTCGCACTTGAAGCAGCACTGGTTGGCTCGACGGTCGTGTGTGCGTATGTGTGAAAGCAGCCCTCATTTCAGCAGGCTATTACACCCCGACAGCAGTCCGCTGCACTTGCTCATGGTTGTTGTTCGATGGTGGAGGGGCGGTCGGTTTTGTGCTCTGGGTTCTCATAACCCCCGTGAGTCCGAGGATAAAATGACGATGAGGAAGTGAACCTCCGCGAGTCTTTGCGAGAGCAGCCCGTACCCGTGTGTCGATGAGCGAAGATCCTGACGAATTCGTTTCGTACTGACTCTCGTCCATCAGTCAAAGACAGCTGACGGTGCCAGCCTGAGTTTGCCGCGCTCGGAAGGCTCAGTCTTAACTCTTGTGCCAAAATGGATCATCTTCCAGCGTTGAAGTGCTCTACGCAAGAGGACGTCTATCTCCTCAGCGCCGACATCGGCCGCGAAATCGAACACCTGGTAGATGTCTTCGGCGTCGATTCAGTTAAATCGCTTGTGCCCAAATTGATTCGAGTGCTGGAATTTCTCGAAACAGCTGTACGCCAAAACGAAACGCTCCGTGAGGAGGCCGACCATCTCCTTCAGACTGTCAAGCAGCTCGAATACGATAAAAATGAAAAAGCCGTCTATCGGAAAAAATTCGAACAGGTGAGCACATAGATCAGAGCTATTCTTCTCTCTTTCTCGGTGAAATCGGCCTGATTGTAACGACTCCATTACGATTTGGTTTCGTGCAAGCACCAGCATGTTTTCGGGGTTTTTGGTTGTGGCATCGGCTGCAGCTACCGACCACTTATCTGAAGGCCATACCGCTCGATCGGGATTGCTGACGAGGCTCGGCTATTCGGATTCCGTTTAGGTAGTTGATATTTTAGTTGGAGCGTTTTCCTGTTTCCCTCATCATCCTCCCGAGTCTCGTTCAAGGCTTCGGCGTCGCTCCGAAGGATTGCCTCGAGATGTCGGCTCGACGTTTTCTTACGTGGGTCACTCACGCCAGACGGCGAGAGCTCTTCGCAATGATTCATCCGCTTCGGGTTGAGTCATGCGGCTGGCGGAAAACAGTCTGTACTGGTGTCGTCAAGACGGCGACCTTCACATCCACTGCTGACGTCACAGAATACGGGGATGAAGCGGCTCCGTATGTCGTCCGAGATTGCGTCTCGAACTTCTTCCGATGGCTCTGCCCCTGAGTCTGTCCATTTGCTTGAATTTATCGTGAGGCGAGACAGAATGGAGCGTCCATTGTGGCTACGGCAGTTCTCAGTACGGAATCCCTCGGACTGGAATGATTGCGCAGCGAGGGTTTCTGGAGCAGGCTCGTCATTTGATTCGATGTCACTAGATACCAGATCCAGCCGTTTCGAGCATGCTGGATGTACGTATCGATTTCGGAACTCCGGAATGAACACTTTCTGACTGAGGTCCCGCGATGATCGTTGGCCGGGTTCCTGCTTCCGCTTGGACTTCCTCGGATAACTCTGGGAATGAATATTCATGAGCTGATATCCAGAGGGAGAAGACATAGATCTCGAAAATTGACAATCGTATGATGCTGCCGGTCGGCGCTTTCTTACCCCGATGTCCGGTCAGAACCGACCACGCGTGGCTCAAGGACGACGTTAGCTGGCTCGGGTGGTAGTGATTGTTCAATCCGAATTCTATCTTGACCCACAACATTCTGTCAGAAGTTTTTTTCCCTTGGAAGAAATATGTGAAACTCTTGATTCGGTAATATTTCAAAAGCTAATACCGTCTTCACGCTCGCGCCGATCCGAGACTTGCCGCGGCAATGTCTGGGGAGCTCAGTCGTTCCTTCGGAGGACTACATGGGAAACGCACGGTTCATGCAGATGCGGGGAACCCAGCCGCCTGAGAAAGCGAAAATAGCGGCAAGCAATGAGGACAAATCTTGTCCCGAATACAAAAAGTAATACCCGGAGCATTTCTGTTTGCCATGAGCTCCAACCGTCTGAACAGCAGGGAAGGAAACGGCTATTTTCGATTGATCTCGATCCGGAGGCCTTGTATAACTTATAACGCCGGCGCTCGTTCGAAGCTGCTAAACAAATGCGGTAACGTTGCGTAAATGCTTGCATGCTTGACGGACTGTGCCGGAAAAAAAGTTTCTCATTCTTCCGGAGGATGGGGGATTCCCCATGTTTTCTGAGGAATTCAAGCGGTCGTGTCCACAAATGATGTCTGAGTCGAGCATCAATTTTACCGCGACTGTCCGTTCCGCCTTTGTTTCTCCCATTGACAGGCCGAGCTGGAACTCCAGTCTCCAACACAGCCGATCAATCTTTCATCAATTATTCACGATAATGTTCTTCCAGGAGCTCGAACAAATAGAAGATATGTGGCGGAGTGAGATGAAGGATCTGTCGTGCCTCGTGACGCGCTTGCAGGAGGAAAACACACGTTTGAGTTCTAGTCTACGGGAGAAAACCGAATCCATGATTCAAGACGAATCGACAGATGGAGGCCCGGGAGCTTGTGATAGTGGAATATTCACGAACGGATTATCTCAGTCCGACATAGAAATGCTTAATCGTCTGAAAGAAGCTTTCGACCGACAAGCAAGCCAGCTTCACACTCAGGAGAAAGAGCTCGCGCAACGACTCCAGGACATCGAGAGCGTAAGTTCTTATATCACCTTTCATTCCAAAATTTCCTACCCAACTGAATCCATGAGCAATGCGGGAGGTGTCCCCGGTTGCGGAACCGCGCGCCGCGGCCTGTCGAAAGCTGTTACGCAAGCAGAAGTTCCTGTTGGGACTTTTTCTTGGATATCCCAGGAGTTTGCCGCACACGCGGTGGTTTCGACTACGGCTCTAGAGGATGACCGAGAATCCCTGAGAAGCAAATTTTCCGAAAACCTCAATTACGATGTCTAAATCTTGTCATATGATGACGGACTGTCAGTGGCCCCGTCTCGGAAGCTTTCGAGAAGAGTCCAATGTCTCGATGCGAGATCATCTCACACCGCGCGGCATCTGGAACCCATTAGAACGACATCAATTTTAATCACATTTGAACGGCTCGATAGGATCCGTGCTCAGTCTTTGGACTCCGATAATAATTCATGGACATCTGGACGCCTGAGCTTCGTCATGGAATTCCGTGCCCGAGAACTGAGATCAGAATGAGCTTAGTCGGGAACTCTCGCTGTGGATCACTCTCGTTCAGGATGTGATCACAATCCGAAATTTATGTAAATGTATCCATATGCGGAGAATGGGTCCAGGGATAGCCGCGCAGAATCGACATTGATGCACGTACTCATTGGGAATTCCTTGGAAGTTATTCCGAATGAGCTCGACGCTTCTTGAGCGGTCATCCTTCGTGCCGATCATTAGGGTGCTCTCATTAGGTTAGACTCGTGGCGGGAGTCGAATGTTCCGCAGTCTAATTTCGGGGTCATGACACCGGAATCGCTGCGTCCTACAGCGAAATGCCAGCGAGGGCAGTCAGGCGTGAACTTTGTTTGCGGATCAGTCATACGGAATCTACGTGCCGCCCTGGCTCCATTCGTGGCTACAGGGTATCAAGGATTCGACATGGCTTACTCGCCTTGCGCTCCTTGATGTCCTGTAGCTCACGGAAGCAGAAGCTTCGTTCTCGACCTGCTCGGAGCCGATCTTTCCATGTTCTGATTACTCCGACCAACGAATAAGCGACCTGTGGAGCGCACCCAAGCCAGAGACACCCAGTTGTATTTCCCCCTCTCTAGCGGTATCAGATCAATCTAAGCGAGAGAATTCACTCGGAAACTTATTTATTCCAGCTTGAACACCAGGTCGAGAGGCTGCATAAAGTCAATGCAGACGGTTGCGCGAAAGTCCGATCGCTCGAACACCAAGTCAATATAGTCACGGGGGAACGAGAGGAAATAGCTAGTCGTTTGGAGGACATACACCGAGAACGCGATCAGCTGAGGTAATAACTCATCCCGGATTTCCGTCGAAAGAACAGGAAACACGAAGCTCGTATTCCTTAAAGTAATCGGCTGATGCGTCAGAACGTCTGCCCGGTGGGATGTTCCTCATGGAAAGGAATGTGCTAAGTCTTCGGCTTACTTTCACAGAACGCAAATTTCACTGGAACGCAAAGACAAACAAGATGAGCTGCTTGAAGCGGTCATGAGGAACTCACCGCCAAGCCTCACAGAGTATAAAAAGGTTCGCTCCCTACTCCAGCACATGTATATCATGATTACTGAGCTCTCCGTGATCGTCGCGATATAATCCATGGCTTCAGTCGGGCTCTGCCACCAGTGGCGTACCCAGGGGGGGGGGCCAAGGGGCCAGTGGCCCGCCAAAATTCTTTTTGCGTAATGCAGGAGTACAGGGTACCTCATCATTTTGGATCTCTGGGCCCCGGGAAACCTAGTCTGGCCCCCCCCAAAAAAAATACCTGGGAACGCTCCTGTCTGCCACAGACCAGCCTGGGAGAAGGATCCTGACTGCTGAGCATTCCGTTGAACTTCTACTCTGTATTTCAGGTGTGCCAAGATAAAAAGGAGCTCGAAGCTCGCGTGAGATTCCTCGAAGGAGAATTAGAGGTGAGATGAGACGGATCGTTGAGTACTGCAGCAGAAAATTATCGATGTTGAACTGCATATCAGTCTCACTCATCCAAGGAACTCGTTTGCGGAGCATTCGTTCACCTTCGTACTGTTAGGCTGTTCGATAATTCCGGAGTCCCTGTTCCTGGATAGACAGCGAAGACTCGCCCCGGTTTCGCATTTCTGACGGGAGACGACTCTCGACGATTGCGAAGCCGTGATTTCCGATAGGAGCTCTCACGTGTCATCCTTCCTTCCAGTTCTACAAACCACCGGTAGCTAAAACGCCGTCAGAAGACTCTGGTGGCGAGGATGAAAGAATACAACTTGAAGGCGAAGAGGTAAATAGATATAGCCGAGACGACTTCAACTATAGAAAGAGCTTTCTCCCGGGGCGTTTTCCGGTTCGAAACCTTGTCGAAGTCCCGAGAACGTCCATGAAAGCTCCCCGCATTCATCGAGGTGTTCTCTTTGTTCCCGGGACCTTGAATTCCTCACGGCTCCCGGGACTCCGTTCGTCCGAAGAACTCATAAAACTCAATTAATTTCAGGAATTCCCTGTTCAGGGACCGATCAACAAGGAGCCGGATGAGAAATTGGATTTTTCTCGGGAAAGCACGTTGGGCATAAAGCGATTGTAAGTAGGGATTCTAGCTCTGAGGAATACTGAACCTATGCCTGGAGATCGTCCTGTCTCTTCACAATCCTCTGGCGATATGGGTCCTCTCAAGCTTGTGGTCGCTTACGGGTTGCGTTGCTCGCCTCTGATCTCACGCTGATGACTTTCTATTGGAGTTGCTCACGTTTTAGCCCAGTTTCATTATTTCTCTTCTATCGACAATTCTTGGATTTCGATAGGTTGCTACTTGGTTACTGCTTGGCATGATTCTCTTTATTTTGTGCTCGTTTCGATCTAATTCGCCGACACTCACAGCTTCCCTTCCAGCTTTCCGAAGCTTTTCTGGACCTCACGGAGGAGTTGATCAGAATACCATATCAAGCCGCAAGTGGACACGCAGATCAGTCCCGCGGGCGTTCGGCGTCTCCTACTCTGACGCTATTCAACATAAGCATAGTGCCACCATCGATGTCGGATCTCGCGTCTATTCAAGAAAACGCCTGGAATGATTTCTTCCTGGATTCGTCGAGGAACTCCATTTGAGATTCATCGACGGAGTCATCCGCTAACAAGACGCGGACGCTTGTGGGAACTATACGTATGAGAGAACTCGATTCGAATCGAGCTCGCTTAGCGTAGTCTACGGCATTGAGATCCCACGCACTGTGAGGCCAGAACAAAAAAGTCATAGGGACCGAATACATAGAGAAGCTCACCAAAACACCCGTTGAAAAACTCCGATGGGAACGTACCTAGGTCGGAATTATGTAGCTTTGTTAATTTACGCAGATGTTGCGAACGTCGTTGTCATGTTGGCTCCACATCGGTCCATAGTCGTATACTCTGTACATCGGAAATTTCCGCCGTCTGGTCGGAATCTCTATTTCAGAATCACGCTCCGTTTCCCATATTGTTCTGTTCTCGGACGATGTCCTCAAAACGACGACTCTGGTCTGATGTTCTAGCCAACGAGTTGAGATGAGCGAACTGACCGAAAAGCCGATCATAATCATATCCTTAATATATTAAACAGAACCCGACTCGATCCCAGCTGGAAAACGAAATTCGTCGTCGACGTGCGGACCATGCGGGAAGAGGGAACTCTCCCTGCGGCATTCGTGATAATCGCGACCTGGGGATATCAGAGGATCTTGTATGATATCAGAGCCGGGAGGGGTGGGGGTAACTTATCATAAACTATTTATCTATAGGCAGTCCTGGGCATAGACAGGGGGTTGCGGAGAACGTGTGCGAAGCGTACCGGTTTCGGATCACTCAAGAGGGATAACATGGGGGGCTACCTGATGTTGATCAGGCCAATCATTCGCCACCCCTATTGGATTCTAAGGCGCCACCCCCTGCGACGAGTTATGGACCAAGATCTTATAATCCTAGGCGCCCTAGGTCCAAAACAGGAACATGGCGCGAAATCGGTATGCTTCCCCTGGATGTCATTCGAAGGTGATCCGGGCGCGGGGATCTGGGACATAGGGGCGCACCCAAGTTCCCTTATGTTAGGTGTTTGAGTGCTCCCGACTTCCCCGCAGATAGTCCCCAAGGCCAGGGAGCCTCGTAGTCGATGTACCTTCGAGAGAATGCCGTCGAGTACAGTTCAAGGCCCGGAAAAACTTAGGCTCATCGTTAAATAAAGAGGCGCACAAACGCACCTATGTGACGTCAGAGTCTTAAATCCGTTTTCATTCAATCTCGCCATGCACTTAATGAAACTGGGAGTATGCCGTGTATCTCAATTTATCCTCTGTGGAAATGTATGCTCTTTCGGGGTAGATTGGCTTCTCGACTCGGCACGAGAGAATCACAGAGCTTTCCGTAAACCGGAGGAAGCTGTCCTCACATAGCTGGGCTCTCTGCGATGGATCTCGGGTTCTTCTCGGATCCGGCCCTGGTTCGGATCCGGCCGTATTGATGACAGACGCCGAGCGCACGGACCGGAGCCGGTGAGTCTCTATCGGATCTCTCTCACGTAGTATTTAGATCCGCTTACCACCACCAAAGATCGGGGGCCTGACCTGCGACTCCGGCTTCGGAAGTGAATGGGAATTAAATTACGCGAACAGAGAGCTCATTCCCGATCTGGAGTCTCTCTTCAGGCTTCTGGCTTTCGTGTTATAGCTTGAACTCATCTCCGGAGTGACAGATTTTCTCCGTCGAAAAGCGAGATCTACCGACGAATCATATCGGAGTCAGGGTCAATCTGCTTCGTCGGGTACCAATCTGGCGCCACGCACCTCAAGAAAGAGTCCCTATACCCGGAGCTGGAGCCTCGATATCCACCAAGTGCGACAGGATTTTGATTTCCATCAACCTATCAATGGATGACGACGACCGTGATGGTGGAAGTCCTCTGACCGCATCGTTGAACCGATGCTCTTCAGCCAGACACCGAAGTGATAAGGGGAGGATGGAGGCCAACGATCGCGGGACTCGGGTTTTATGGTTCCTATTGCAGGAGAACGCCATTCGTTTCCAGCCCTTCCGTCATCGTGAGTGAGGTCAATACCTATGATATGGATCGGAAAAAGCCTCTGCATGTAGACACCATCGCGATGCCTCTCAAAGGGTGAATGTCTCTCGATCCTTCGCCTGTGCCAGCATTAATTGAGACCCGGATACGATATCTGGCAGCATCCGTCGAGAACTCGGATGGCCGATAAGGTGAATAAGTGAAGTTAATTATCCATGACCAATAGAGGACCTTTCTTAGAGAGGAACTTGGGGCCACATTGAAAACCTCTCCCTGGGGATTGAAGCTGGGCAGCACGATTTGCTCCATGAACCAATGTCAGAGCTAGCCCCTTACACGCTCCGCGAATGATTGAGCAACCAAGTTCCCAGCTCAGTGGAATGCCAGCAGCCGGCATACGGCAGGCCCATCTTTCCACAACCGAGAGGACCGGGTGGGGATGCGAGGGCCGGAGCCGCTCTATCGATCCGCGGGTCGGGAGCGTCGCAAATTGGCCTCTTTGTACTTCCGAGAGTTTATCCCGCAGCGAGACCCAACCGCTCATTAGTGGTGGCGGTTTTTGCTTGCGAAGCACCCACTTGACAAGGAACTCCTTGGAAGCCCTGCGGCTCCCCATAATTCAGCTCTGATGTTCGTCTCCTTCGGAATCTCACGGTGTCATCGACAAGAGCAGACCAAAATCTCTGTATCGATATTCATGGATCTGAGAATAACGTTTGACGATTGGATTATTCACCTGCTGGAGCAAGGAGTCATATCTTTTTTCGTCATTCGAGCTCAGGCAATGATCCGAATAAAAATCTGGTCTTACGTGTCCAACTATCGTCGCTCGAAACGCGGCAGAGACCTGTAGATGCGGAATTCTGAAAGCTCGTGCCGGAAAACACCCAGAGCTCCGACTCGGACAGGCGGAGCGGCTTATCCGCGTCGAATCTCCGCTGATCGAGATTCGAGGAGATCTCCACTGGAATACATCCCATCGCGAGAAGGGAGCCTTATCTGACATCTGGAAGCCTCACCTGATCGACTGTCGGACCTCTTCCAAGAATGAGACCAAATATTGCGGGCTCTGGAAATCTATTCTGAATGCGCTAAACTCATGCGCCGACTAGCTCTACGATTCGCCACGCCTTGACGATGAAGGTCTTCCGCTATTCTCGTTCGTCAAGGCGGACTCGTCGATCGCGATTCATCAAGAGAAGCTTTTTTATTGATCAGACTCCGCAATCAGCTGAAATCAAACATCAATCAGCAGATTCTCGAGTTTCACCCTTCGCTTACGAGTGTTCGGAATGCTCGTGATCGACGGTCGGAGAATAATCCGCTCTGGACTTCATTGGATACCGTCGGGGAGTCCCGTGTTCATCATTCGTATAGCACATTGGTCTCATTCGTATGCCGGCTGCGCTGGTCGGTGGACCCATCCTCCTAGCGCTTGGGCCATTAAATGAGCGTCTGTGGTAGCCCAGACATGCCCAGAGACCCGTTTCGAGAGCGAAGGGGGCGAATTTCGAGTCGATCCTGGAATTTTACATCTGCGATGCTCATCGTCGGGAGAATAGACTCTCCTAGAGGATGATGCGCAGCTTCGGATGTGCAACCGATCGAGGATCGAGCCCACTGGTCCTCGGTCTTTCCGCCTACGACTCTAGGAGGGTATCGGTCTCAGATGTCCTCGGACGGATTATGTACCTCTTCGCCGGACACTGCGAGGAAGCCTCGTACGATCCTCGTCAGTGTCTCCGAAGGAAAAATATCCGTCGGATGTCGCTTGTATCGCTTCCGTAGAATCACAGGGAATATCTGAGAACAAGGCTGGCCTTGCCCCCTTCGAGAAACGAACGTCGAGTGAGTCCCCGCCATGGTCGTTGGTAACATCATGAGGGGGATTAAGCCCCAGATAAGGGAAGAAATCTCAGTCCGGAGGCGGAGTGGAGTTTTTGGGACACCATGATGGGTGGGCCATCGCCTCGCGGAATCATTGCCCGCAAGTCCAGACGCGGAGCATCAGGCACCGGGCTGATTTCAGTTTTGAAAGGGTGCTCAAGTCGATTCGAAGTACACTGGACGAGCAGGAATTTATCAGCCGCATGGAGTGGGAATATTTTCCAGAGGCAGTACTGCAAGCCCGAGGCGCGCGCTCGGATGGCCGAATAATATTTTCTCACATGTTACGTCAGACCGGTGGGAGGGGGCTTTTTTACGATGCCCCAACGCAGGAGAGCACTCGCAGTCGAGGTTCTCTATCAGGATCATCTGGGGAGTTTCCCAGCTTGACTCCCCAAGCTGTAACCCTCGGATAGCTCAATGAATCCTCCGCTGCGAAAAATCGCTCCGAAATCGCGTTCCTAGTCCTAACGAAAATCTATTCCCACGGGGAACGGACTTTGCCTTTGATGTTCAAGATTTCGAGAAGATGTGTTTCCCGGTCTGTTTCAATATCTCCCTGTCTTTGAGGTGCCCTCCTGTCAGGTCAGTGCGACATCCCGAGAATCGGGGAGTCGAAGCACCTGACCATTCCACTGTGTGGAAGCGCGCGAGATCCGGCGGCCGAGTCGACAGACGCATCGGAGCTACAGCGATCCCGTCTGTTTGCCGCGAGTAATGAGGGAATCGAGAAATCGCTTCGAGAGATTTCCATCGCTCCCTTCGGATCTTCCAGACCGTGTCCAACAGCGATTAATCGACGACGAGGAAACTTTTCGCGGGGTTCTCGGGAGCGCATCATTGGGGAGTCGAGCAGTGCTCGGATTCCAGTGAAACTCGGAGAGCGTTCTTTGACGAATGGCCGCCTCGCCGATGGCCCTCGTTTGAGTCGACCGACCGAGTATCCATCGAATGGCGACCGAACCCGACGACCACGAAACGGAACCCGCGGCCAATCCGCGTCTCCGAAAGAATGTGGAAAGCGAATAGCAGTAGCTGAAGTGGAGAGGAGGAAGCGGTCCCATTGAGACCTAACGGAGATTCGAACTGGCGCGCCAAAAGCCGCCATGCTATACACTCACTCACTAATGGCTGATGGCTGCTCCGCTATCCGCTAGATCTCGCCAAGTATACATAGAAGTCTCTGTGTATTTTCTGTCGCCTTTCCGAGGGCTTTCGTTAGAATCCGTCAGCGTGTGCAGGTCGGCAAGTTGTCCCGACGAGTTCGACCCTTATGCCGCACATCGATAGGAGGTAAGTTTGCCATGTGCGCGACTTCGCCGAATTCGTCACTGGAGCGTCCGACTTCAGCATGCCGACTCTCGGCGGCCAAAGTGAAAAATACCTCACTCACCGCTCGTTCCTCGAGCATCCGAAAGGCTGAAGAAAGTTTCCAGACCTAGTTGAGGATTGAATGGATTTCGGGCAGTCGTGACGGTCCCTGAGCGGTCTGCATCCTCACATGAAACGAGCGGACATCGAGAATTCTCTTGGTTCGAATTTCAGATCTCCGTAACACTTCGGCCCAAAATCGGCCCTTAGTATTCTCCCGACACAAAGATATTGACATTCGACGCCAAGCGTCGCGAGCTGCTCATAATCAGATGGGCTTTTGCGGCTCACGGCATCAGAGATTTGCTTCGATGCTGAATGGTTCCGGACGAAAACATTCCGTCCCGAAGCGGCATCTCGTAGCCAGTGGCGAAACTCAGAGGAGTGCCGCCCGAGACGGTTGGTGGATGCCCCATCCGGGGTGATTCGGAGGCAAGAAGCCTTTTTCCCCCCTGGAGACCCATCTGACCTATGTCTCTCGGAAGAAGACGCGTGCCGAACGTAAACAATGCGATACCAATCGCTCGCTCTGGGATGGCAGCGCAGTTTTCTCCTACTTCTCCTAATTATCGCGGATAATTTGAAGGATCTGGTGAATTCGTCGTGCACTCGACGGTCCTTCCATCATGGCAGTAGAAGTTGGACGACCTGTCATTCGGTCTTAAGACTCACTCAGTATGGCGGAGCTCGGAACCATCCAATGAGGGAGCCACAGGTGGGTCGCCGACTGTGCGGAGCGATAGACGATGGTCCTAAGAGCTCCCTCTCACCGTTGTCCTCGATCGCCAGATCGAATTTTCAAGAATCTCATGCAGCATCCGAGAGCGCTGTCGGATGTTGCGGCTCCGAGAGCACGATTTCGCGAGAGTCAGCGAGCGACGCGGGGTCCGCAACTTCATGCGGCTAGAAACTGTGAAAATACCATCGGGTCTTCTCGGAGAAGCTCCTGATCACGGCGAAGTTTCCCCGCTTGAAAAAATAGTCCCGGGCGCTTCCTGGATCATTGAGTGTTCATGACCGTCGCTGAAGCTTATAGCGCTCTCCCTCAGGCTGCTCGAGAGGCAATTTGGATTTTCAGTCGACCCGCTCAATTAGGGAGCGGACGAGCCCGGGGGAGTCAAGCGCAAACTCGATAGCGACTGCTGCCGTAATTATTCTCGGGCAAGTCGATTCGAAAAGTCCCGCCCCGCCATACCTTTCCCTTTGCGTAGGAGAGCACCGCCAATCAGTAGAATCCCCCCTAGAAACCGCGCTGTCCTCTGATTCAGTTTCCATTCGGAATCCATGCAGTCTCAGGATCACGGCTCCCGGTGAGCGCGGGAGTTTTCATCGAGCATTCCCTTTCCTCCTACATTTTGAAGGCGTATCCGCGCGTTCATCCATCGTCTGTATCGACTCGCGGTCGGATCTCTGAGTTTGCCACCGATATTTTCTGTACACCGTTGGTTGAGGTATTTTATCAACATCTGTTTCTTTCCAGGTTTATCTCCAGCGCGCGGGCCCCATGCATTAGGATCTTCATGCAAAATTAGGGGGGGAATCCGGATTTGTGTGTGTGTATTTTTTAATTTAATAGTGAACTTCGAGGAACTCAATAACAGCCCTCATAGATGTCTCGGCCAAAAGATCCCCCGCCACGGGCACAGCATTCACGGCAGGAGGTGAGTGGGGCTGTGCAGCAGCGTGGCATTTTCCCGTTTTTAGACTCGCCTTCTCGCCTGATCTCTAGACCAATCCGAATCATCAAAACTCCGCGCTTTTCAGCAAAATGACGACGAGGAGAGCCCGCAATTACAATGCCATCTGTGGGCCAGGGACGTCCAGACGTTACTCAACGACGAGACGGGATGCGCTCTCTTCGAGAGATTTCTTCAAGAGGAGGAGTGTGATAAGTCGGAACTGTGCTTCATTTACGTTTGTCGCGGTCTCCGGTAAGGACAGCTTCCCGACGGGAGTTTCAAGCCTCATGACCACCAATGGGATTGTATCATTAGACCGAAGGATGGGGAATTAAATTGAGAACGCCTTTCTTTACCAGTTCAAATCTCAAGTCCGAAAAGAGGGATCGCTCCGCCTGGGCGATCTACAGAAGTTGTTTGAAGAGCGGCATAGTCAGCGCTGTGTCCGACGATGTCAAGGCGACCATCAGAGAGCGACTCGAAGCGGGCGACATCGGACCTGAGCTCTACGACGAAGCCGTTCAACAAGTTGTGGAAAACATGACAAAAACTACCTTCGTCAGATTTATTCAATCGGACATCTATATCGAGCACGTTCAGCGTGTGATGGCTTGCGGGGAGGGTGCCGACTCGACACCGCCGACGGATAATGACCACAACGAAGATTTTGAATCTAGTAAGTCTCCGGTGAATCTCGACTCTGACGAAGACTCACCACCTCCGATAACGCATAAACGTGCCAACAGCAGTGCTCCGAGCGGCGATGTGGCGAACAACGACAACAACAACGACAGTTTCTTCGCGAGTCAGATGCCCACTCTCGACGAGGATGAAGAGCTGGAGAACTCGACCCTCCTACCGTCTCGGTCGTCGGGCCAGAGAAAAGCCTCGCACGCGGGTGCGCCGCCCCCGAGACCACCTCAGAGCAAAATGATTCAACTTCAGAAGCGACAGAGTCAGATTGGACTGAAGTATATCGAGAAGATCGGCCAGCCCGGCTTCCGTCCGCCGCCGAATCCGTATCACGTGAATAACTCGTACTTCGTGCCGCCGTCGGCCTACCACTCGGATATGCAGAGCTTGTCTTCTGGAAACTACACTGATCTCGACAACGATGGCAAACGCATCGATCATTACAGACGGCACTCCAATGAGATCGACCGACGAAAAACTCAAAGGTGAGTGATCGTTCGATGTTCCCCTCGTCTCGGATTCGCCACTGCCTAGTAGGGGACCGAGTGAGGCTCGAAGGAACTCCCTTATGTAGCGTAGTGACTCAATGCGTCTGTACTAATTGCAGGAAAACCATCAATGGCCGTGACCCGCTTCCGCACACGATACAGAGGACACAGTTTTTGATCGATCGGAACGACGAGAACTTGTTACGAGAACTACCGAGAGATAACCCAAGGGAGTTTCACCGTATACTTTGTGAAAAACTACAGAAGGTCCTCGGGGAGTCTACGGAAGACGACGTGGTGAGTTTCCCCCAGATTAATTTGCCCCTTGGACTCGTTCGAATCCGATCTCGAATCAGTTGAAAATTCGCTTCGGGCTTTCCCCGACACCGCAAGTTAGTCACCACCAGTTCGCATGGTCATACATGATCGATCGGGTCGGATTGCTCTCTGATCTGACCGAGAGGCACTGCTCACCCTTCCAGCACAACCAAGCAATCCTGGACAACCACGTCCAGCGGGTATTCAAAACACCACCAGTTCAGACCCCGCGCGCCCCGTCCCCACCCCTCGAGAGACAAGTTTTTGCGAAAGCAGGTCACAAATCCCCGTATCACATGAGTTCTGGTCTGCTGCGAAACAACAACCGCCGCGACGAAATCGATACCTCGATCCACGCATGCTTCAACGGGGTAGGCTCCGGTGCTCCGATGGCTCCCCCGCGTGGTCGTAGTTACCCGGGCGACAGCTCCGGCTTCGGCGACAGCGTCCTCAGTGCTCCCGCATACAACCATCACGAAAAGTGCGTCGCGTCCTCGTTCGTCCCTCCAATGATCTCGCTCCTGTGTGGCTTCTCTTGATTTTCCTCTAAACGTTGAACTTTTTCAGTGTATGCGAATGGTTCAACCGAACGGGACACGAGCCGTCCACGTCTTCTAGAGGGAAAAACAAGGCCAGTGACTGCTCCGGGTCGAATAGATCCTCGAGATCAGGCCAAGACAGCAAGAAGTCAGTACCAAATAGTCCAGAACGTCTTCGGCTTCCAAAATGTGGATAATTCTTGAAGTTTTTTTTCGGGAACGATGCGAATAATACCCTCTCGGGTTTGCAGGAAAAGCCAGACTTCGAACAAAGACGCCGAAGTCGTTGTCGGTTATCATTACGAAGGTGATGCACATCCATTCGTAATACGGTTGCAGCAGAAGAACTTGCGGCTCAAGGACTTCAAAGCACATCTGACGCGGAAGGGCGTTTTTAGGTGAGATTATCGTCGACTCTCGTAGAATTGTCCCTCTTGAGCTCGAGTCGTAGCTCATCCTCCCGAAAGAAGAGAGCAGAATCGAATCAGGCTCGTTTGGAACATATCGCTTGATTCCAGATATTTTTCAAATGCCCCATGGACGAGTTCGGGGCGAACGGAGTTTATGAGGAGGTGAAAGACGACGACCAGCTTCTACCGCTCTGGGACGGTAAAGTATTCTCCCAGATTGTCCCTGCTGAGCTTCCAACTTCGTCAAGAACGGCTCCGGAAATCATGATGTGAGCTCGGGAGCCCGACTTTGTTTGCAAGTGTGTAAATACTGTAATTTTGTTAAACTACACTTTGTTGAGACACCCCATAGAAAACGAAGGAAAGCTGACGCTATGGAACTGTACTGTACAACACAGCCGCAATCCTAGGAACTACCGAAGTGCCTAAATGTTGATTATTGTTTTATAAATAAACGAAGATACCCGACGAACTGTGACCACACCTATTTCGTACACTGAATTCGAATTTTCCGGAGCGAATTCCCCAATCATCCTATCTCGAGGCATCTGATGAAATTAGTGAGGGGAGGCAGGAAGCTTTTCAATGCCGAAACAGAAGAGGCATCATCGGAGCATGCCGCCAAGGTCCGGCTCTGCCTTCTATTTCCACCGTGACAAACCTCCGTGAACCTCTTGGTTCTTGCCCATGATGGAATTCTTCCGATTGGCGGGTGCAGATCCGGTCCCTGGAAGCCTGCATAAACCCGTCCGGAGACCCGCTTGAAAGCCAGGGAGCAGCTGGGACCGTCATTTCCGATCAGAGCAGGACTTGAGGATCAGTCGAATCCTCGTGCGCTCGGATATCTTGAAGGTCATTCTACCCCAGACGCTCATAACAAGCTGACATCAGTGGTTAAATTGCGCCGTGGCGGGTGATGCGGCCGCTGAATCAGCTCCGATGCCCGTGTTTGCGGCCAAATGACCGCTGATCCATGGAATCGAGAGGCTTCTATACATTCTGATTAGCTTCCTCGCCGGTGAGGGCTTCCGTGAGGGAGCCTCGATGCTGGCTCCCGACAGGGCACACAAGTACTGTTCCTGAGCGCCCATATATTGTTCATTCGCCCTGAACGATCGGTGAACGAGACCCGCCGCACAGTGGGGCCAAACCCGATTTTAGGCGGCAGAAACTCAAATATCTCGAATCGGGGAAAAAATTGTCGCATCGTGTAATAGGATAGCTGGGGACTCCAAAAAGACATGCCTCGCCGCTAGCGGAAATCTCAGTTGGTAAAAGGAGACCGTCTTTTTGGAGAGAATTTTCCGCTCGGGCCGTCTGATTTTCTCATTGCATCGTTGTTTTCGCATCGCGACAAGTCAGATCGATCCAAAATGGATTCAAACGTCGAATGTGAGTCTAAACACGCTATAAACTAGTCGATGATGATCTTTTCCGATGCCGGAACCGATTTCCGAGGTCTCTCCTCGATTTTTTTTTGTCCCGAAAAACACTCCTTCCCGCCAAGCTTCTTCATCGAAAAAAAGTGTTTCCGAGGGCTTCCCACGGGGCGCCAATGGTCAAGAAATCTTCTCCGACTCTTGGTCTTTCCATTCCTGCAATAAAAAGCTCGGCAAGTTCCGGCCATTTATGGATGCGGGCATCTTACAGATCTCCATGTCGTGGTCGATAGGAAAGAATTTGCTGAGAAATTCATAGAGGTCTGCGGCGGGAAACCCCTCGATGACATGCTCATTTTCGTCTTGAGCCGCGCAAATTGGCCTTCTTCAACTCGTGAATCTTGAGGACCTCAGAAACCAGATCAGTAGGTGTGTGTCTCGAGTCGATAAGAAATATGACGCACGTAACCGCAAGCTACCGCGATTCTTCAAATGTGAGTCTGATTGGCTCGATAATGAGGGCTTCAAATTCGAGCTCCGAGTCAGTCTCCGCCACTTGAGGAAGAAAGAATGCTCGGGAAACCTCGCCCTGGGGGGCGCCCATTGAAGAACTTCTCAGACCTGGCGGAGAGAACCAAGAGGGATAGAGTGAAGAATCATTGCTGTAGGCTCACAATAGAGAGTACGGATTGCAATATGGTGAAATTCTAATCTAAAGTCACCATCCAAAGTCGCCGACGAACAACATGGACGCATCCGACCAATTTTTGACGAGACCGTGACTCAATTAGGGCTTCCGCTGGGGGAATTTCCCGGCTCGAGAACAGTAGAGCATGCTCGAAGAGCAAGAAAGGGGAGGGGCGGAAACACTCGATTGCTGACCCTATCCTAGGATCGATTGGGACGCGACAGCATGATTTACGTGGATCCCGTATCCAGAATTTCTCAGAGATGACCAGATCGAGCTCGAGGCACTCGAATATCTTGAATGATTTGAAGAAATAGTTTCTGCCGCCTAAAATCGGGTTTGGCCCCACTGTGCGCCGTCTTCCTTTGCCTCGGTATCCGAGACCTTCAGATTCGGCTTGGTCAAAAGACTTCGGACGAACGATCGGGGTGGTCAATCCGCGCGGGTACATCACAAGTCGGATATCTATTGACTTCGAATAAAAGTTTAGAATTCGGGAAATAATAATATCGATTTGCTTTCCTGCCTAATCTTGGGACATGGATACGCAAACTTCGACATGAGTAATTGTTCATACAGTCGACCGAGATTACATTGCACTGAACGAAGAGAACGGTTGACGATGCTGTAGTCTTCCTGCGGAGTGAATTCGTGCGTGCGGTTAAAGCCTGACCACAATGATGAATTTTGCGTTCGATCGGGTTGATGGGGAAAATATTTATTTCGAGGCACACGATCGATTGAACTCCGAACAGGGAGTGACCTTGGGGAAATCCATTAAGACCCGAAGCCGATTCCAAATGCACGAGGGAGTGTGCGCTTTTGGGCAAGGAGGAACTCAATATAGTTCGTGCTTCGGGAAGACTCGATCAATAGGTCTCGATGATAAGTGATAGTGCGCGTTATCCCGCTGGAGAGCTAGTTCGGCAATGCATCGGAGTTTCGCACAGCGGGACTCTTCGCGCTCTGGCCGCCGGCCCTAAAGTGCAAAGTTTTTCCCCCAATGAATTCAGTCCTGGTGAATATATGTAGTCGTCGCCGCTAAACTCAGTGACGCCGTCGAGCTCGTGGAGCTTTTTGACCGATTGAAGACGTCCGTACGGTGAATACCTGCAGTACCCCGAGGACAGCAGTGGAAGAGAGTGGCTCAGCCTGTCGTAAGCTCGAAGCTCACTTCTCCATGATTTCCGCTACCGGATTACGCCTGCGAGTCCGCCGCCCCATTGTGTGATTAATTAGCGCTTTGAGACTGGCGGCTCCAGAGAACACAGGTCGCGAGATGAGATCCTCGTCGAAGCGCGAGCTCGCGGGTATGTACTTGACACCAACGAGCTACAGCGAGCGGCGGATTCTTCAAATATGATGCCATGACTGCCAACGCTGAGATAGCTCCCGACTCCCGAACATCGAGCGACGGCGTCTCCTAGTGACGGGACGCACGGTTCAATGATTTTATCAACTAGCTATCGGAAGCTGCCATGAATCAGAGGGTGACGGTTCCTGGGGAAACGTTACAACAATCCTGCCGAGCGTAAATCAAGACCGAAAAAAAGAGCACTTCCAATATACGCCGGGGCGCTGTATAGGAATGAGCGCGGAATTTCCGCTTGCACCCGCCGGCGTTCTTGTATCCCTCCCAGCCAGGCGCTAGAAAAAGAAGCTCCGGGAGGGACAGGCGTTTGCCGACGTTCCTACGAAGATCTCCCGTGAGCGCTCCTCCATTGGATTCGAGGCGGAAACGCCTTCGGCATCGCATTCCAAGCGACAAGGAATCTGAAATGTTACTCTGAGTCAAGGAGACGAGAAATTCCGCGTCACATTCCCGCACGCCGATCGACACTGATTCGCGCTGACTGGGGGCCGAACGTAAGCGGCACCGTTAGATTCGAACAGAAGAGGGAACAGAAAATAAGACCGTCAGAGACTATCCGTAGAGTATAGCTTCGGGAAGAACTCTCGAATCTTATCGAATGCCTCTTTATATCTGCGGAGCCTCGCTCATCTGTCATGACATTTCCAGTAAGCTGCCCGCTCGTTCTCGCGGTCAGAGGCTCCCGGACTGCGATCCGAGTTCGGTTGTCCAGGAACCTAATCCTTTCGGCAACGAGGAAAAACATCGATCCGAGCTAAATTTAGCGAGCTAGCAGGCGCATGAGCCCTAGATTCAGATGCGGTCTCGTCGGAAATTAGGTTGAGCATTGGCAGACTGCACACAAACAAAGTTAGTGGTGTCCTCGTCGGAGCTGATGCTGGGGAGGTCATTCCTCGAGTCTCGGCGACACAGCTTGGTTCCAACGCGGACTGATCTCTCGGACGGGAGGTCTCTGACTCCACGCAGACTGGCGATTCCGGCGCTTGTCTTATCTGCGTCGCAGCAGGGCAGAGCTCACCATTGACACGGTTACTTCGACGGAAGGGTATCGGACGGAGCTCTCGGAATTCAGTCGACGATCCTCATGAACCCGTGATTTGACTTATCCTGTGCTACCAGGATCAGCCGTGCGGTTCGACTCCGATTCAAGGTCTACGGTGTGGTCGCTCCCCGGTCCGAGTTCGAAGTTCCCGACTGGGCCATTGCCGACGTCGAGACTGCCTGAAGCTATAAGAGCTCCGTGAAATTAGTCTGAGAAATTGAGTCGTCTGAGAGATCTTCGAAGCAGCTCGAATCCTTCTCCGAAATATTATATTACTGAGAGAGGTGGATACCGACAGTAAGCGAAGGTGCGACACGCGAACTCGGGCGTTTCTTTCCGTGACAACGGCGTCTGACACTGCTTGTATTGGAAGTCATTCAAGCAAGTCGAAGCAAGCGAAATGAGCGGCTCCATTTAGGTATCCGGATCGCGTAATTGGGCGAGCGTATGTGCTTCTCGGGATCGCCCGTGTCCCGCGGGGTGGGCACGTGAGGCGACAAGAGATACCAGCAATGATGGCGCTTCCAGTAACAATGCACGCATCATGAAAGTTGCGCCGCGGGATCATCACGAGCGAGAAACATCAGTCGGTATTGAACAAAACTTTCCTCATAAGTGAATCAGGTTGCAAGTCTCAGGACGAGGAGCTCCGCGAGTGTACGTGCTAAGACTCCGATTCATTTTCTGCGCTCGAACCGATAGAGATGGCATTCGGCCTGCACCGGTGGGCGAGCTCCGTGGCAGGAATGGATCCGGGAACGAATTTAACCCAGAAAACGATTCCTTGAAAAACGGTCGCAGCTCCTTTGTAATGCATTTCATTATTCCTACCTCTTCGTTCCGATCGTCCGCAGGTTCGCCTATTCATTTTTAGGAGAGCGCATCGCGCTCGTCGTGGGGGGCTCGGCTCGCCAACACCATTCGTGAAGCGGAGACTGGACATTGTACATACGTT